GAAATCAAGGTATCAGCGGGGCCTCGCTCCCTCTGAAACTCTGGATGGAATCTTCCTTTGCCTCTTCCTCTTCCCGTGGCGACTGGCACTCCACGGCCTCCACCTCCCTGGGGTCCATCACTCCCCTCTGTGCCTCTACCTCGCCTGCCTCTCCCTGTGTGTCTGTCTCCATGTGGCGCTTTCCTCTTCTATGACATCAGTCATCTGTGATTAGGGCCCACCCTAATGACCTCATGTTAAGTATATCTGCAAAGATCCTATTTCCAAATAAGGTCACAACTGTAGGTACCGGGGCACAGGATTTCAATATATCTTTTGAGGGGACACAGTTCAACCCAAAACACATTTTGATATTAGTAGAGGGAAATTATACACAAAAGCCTTAGGGTGTTAGATGCCATATTTCATTGGTTTCTATGCACTTAAAGAACATTAAAAAAAAAAATTCTCCAAAACCAGGATGCATCCCGTATGGTAGTTTGGGCTTCCTACGGCTTTGGGTGATACTGGAGCTTTTTGCTCAGAGCACACAGGTGCGTCTTACCTTGAACTTCACCTTCCTGGCTTGTTCTCCTTCCTTGGATTACTGAGCTGCTGCTACACACAGTGAGGGAACAAAGCTTAACTTCCTTAATAAATTATTCTAATAACTGCTTGCGTGTACATAGGCAGTTAGTGTGGGTTGTTTTCTTCTTCAGTGATTCACTCAGTAGGTAACTGTGGCGGAAGACCAGCCATCCCCTGAGTCATCTCGTGTCCCCATGGGCCTAAGTGGGAAGTGACCAGTCAAAGGTCAGTAGCTGAGCTGGGGACCCAAGCCAGAAGCCGTCTCTGGCAGATAGTTAGAAAGACTTCAGTGGTGTCTGCAGTGGAGACTGCCCTCCCTTCCCTAGACTAAACACCTCTCCCTGCGCCTGAGCCTTCTCCCCAAGCCCCCTGGCTCACTAGGGTGGCCCATTTCTGCGTTCTGACATCCTGTTTCGTTGGACAACATGGCCTCAAAATAACTCTCTTTGATGTATTGTAACTTCCACTGATTCCAGCTCCCTTCTTGTTCCCTCCTTTTCTCTCCATTTTTCCCACCCTTTGTTTTTTTTCTGCTTCTGTGACTCTGACCCATATGCCAAACCACAGCCTTCTGCTTTCCAGGCAAACTGCTGGACTGGTCCTGGCTGTCTTTTCTAACTGGCCTTCTTTTCTTGGCCCTGCCTCCAGGGGCACTAACATTCCAAACTCCACGGAGAAGCCAAAGTTGAAAATTGATCATTTTATACTAGCCTGATGGTTTCTGACTCTGTGCTCCTCACCCCCACCACCCCCCATTTGCAGCTCAGTGTGTAGTGTCCTGTTCACTTGTTCACTTCAGGGGAAAAAATGTCAAGCATTCATTTCTTCAACAGCTTGGAGCTCAGGATAAAACCAGCAACTACACCAGCGTTGCAAACCACCGCAGCAGCACTTACTAAACTAAGTGCCTTCTGTGCTCCTGCTGTCAGACTTACATTTGACAGGGATGCTCAGTTCATTCAAGCCTGACAACCACCCCGTGAGGACCAGGGCCAGTCCACCTTGTTTCCTTGCTCTGGCTGAACAGTCAGCAGAAAGGGGTCCTAGGAGTTGTTAGTTCTTTTCAATGACAAAGTTTGATGAAGGTCCGCAGGGCTGAGGCTGAGCAGGAGCATAGGTTCTTATGAATGGAAACAGAGGCCCCAACTCCTTCCACATGCTCAGGAGGGAGGGTGGCCTGGGAGCAGCAGCTCATTGAATCAGCATGTCCCAGGGCCAGACTCCCATGAGTCAGTCACTTTCAGCCGCTGCATTCCAGGGAAACTGCCCTTGGTGGCAGGTCTTGGTGGCGGGACTAGGGGAGACCACTCTTTCTCACGAAATCAACCTGTGATTCATTAAGAAGAGGAGGTAAGGGGAACCGGGTAACCATGACCCCTCCAGGCCTGATTTCCTAAAGAACAGATCCCAGCCACTGCCTCATTCTCTGGGGTCAGGGACTGCCTGTTTCTGGGACATGCTGTTATTTATTTCCCATCTGGCAAGGCCTTCTATTGTGGCTACAAGTCAAGGACTCATGGGGGAATGCTAATTTGCGAATGAATGGATAAGTGGAGAGACTGGGAAGTTTTCAAAAACAATTTGACAGTGCCCACACCACCCAAGGTCCTCTTGTCTCTCCTGACTCTTTTGGGGGGGGGGGCCCTCCTTTTGGTTCTCCTTTCCCTAGTAAACATTGATGGCCTTTATATCCAGAAATCTACCCCCCACCTTGCCAATTCCCATGGAAAGTTCAAAGAGGGAGGCTGATACCTAAAATATCTCAGGCGCTGCTCCTCCTCTCAGAACTCTCAGTAAGGCAGTGAAGAGCTATGTTCACATAGCTGGGAAGAAAGCTATGTTCACATCTGACTGGGAAGAAAGAGCAGCTGTGAACTAAATGGTGGCAGGGCTGCTTCCTGGTGACATTGCTGGTTCTGGACATTCTGGATTCTGAATCCACAGCCTACCTCTCCTCTTTCTTTACAGATAGTGGTGGGCTTAGGGCTGTCCCAGCTCAGCAGGGGGCCTTGGTGCTTTAGGGCCAAGACTGGAGCCCCTGTCATCACCCCCACCTCACAGTCCTGCAACTTCCAGGTGCTCAGATAATGCTGAGGCTGCTGTTGAGTCAGAGGCTGGAGCTCCACGTCCCTTCTCACGGACTTGTAGTGACCCCATGTGCAGAATCAGGGAGACCTTGGAAGTCAGACAGATTCAAGATGCCTTGAGCAACCTGGGACTTCCAGGAATGCTTGAAGACTCCACATTTAGCTCAGTGCTTTTAGGGGAATGAAAGTTTAAATTGTCTGAGGAACTCTTTCAACCCATTGACATGTTTTATGTTGGAATTCTTTATGTAACTTGGAGAAATGAACTCAGTTGCTTAAAACAAGGAAATAAAACCGACAGAGTCCAAACATTTCAATTTGCTCCAAAATATATTTGTTGAGGATCTCTGTTGAGCCAGGACTGGGCTGGTTTGGACTGAACAGGGCAGGGCAGGCCTCCAGAGGCTGAAAATCTGTTGGGTGACAGTGTGAAGACAGACAGAAAAATAATTATGGTATGTTAGGATTATTAGAGTTGAAGAAATTGAGACTGAGAAGAATTAAATGACTCCCCCAGCCACATTCTTAGTGGGTGACTCAGTGAGCCCCACAATCTACTAATTGTGTGTGTACCCTCTGCCCCCCTAGTGAGACCTTGAGACACTTTCTGTTAAAGTGTAATTTTCAAAGAATTGTAAGTATGAATCCATGCAAATATCAAATCAACAAATGTCAAAGATTTTATTCAACTTAACTAATGAGAGAACTGATGTTAAGACCAGTTCAACAGAGAATTTGAAGAAGGACATTTATAGGAATGCTAAAATAAATTATCTAATAGATTAAACATTGGTTAATGTTCTACCAGGCAATAAACACTCACCTTTGGGGGCTACCTTTTCTACCAGGCAGAAACCATTTACAATGCTGTTGACCAAGAATCAGCTACATTGTTCTCATCAAGAATCATTTTCATTGTTAGTGGTTTTCTGCAAGGTGACCTCTAATAAGTTGGTAAAATTGCCTCATTGGTAGAAGTCAAAGGTACATATCCTTAGAAAATCAGATAATCCCCAAAGATGGGAGTTTAACACCCTGTACTGCATTGAAAGGATACCTACTCGCTTTATTTCCAAAATCTGGATAATTTTCTTAACATTGCTCTGTGTGTGTGTGTGTGTGTGTGTGTGTGTTTACATGCACATTTTCTGGGTATATTTTTGTCCAGATGTTGGAAGGGAGTTTAGTCACATGGTAATAAAATGGACAGACATTCAGCACCATGAAAGTTTTGGGGGTATCCACAGTGGTCTGGGTGATTTCTTCAAAAATCACTTTGCAGGTCTTACGAGCTGTGGGCAAAAGGGTCGCTTTAGAAAACTGGATAAAGAAATTGTGAGGGTGACTGCCACAGGGAAGCACAGGCTGCCTCATCCTGCTCCTCCTGTTGGGAAAGGCCTTCTAGGGGCCACCACAGTGTTGGGGTTTGTCTGACTGAGGCCAGGAGGCAGAGTGAGGGGAAGCAGGACCAATGGTGGCCCCTATCTCAGCAGATGCCTGGTGTTCTTGGGGCTATTTTGATCTCCCTGGTTGTTTCTGCTCCTCCCAACCCCCTGCTCTGCCTCCCCCAGTCTTTTCTCTGTCAGCCTCTGACAGCATGAAGATTGAAGATTGTTCCTATTTAAATGGTAGTTTGTAGTATTCCAAATGCTTCTCCTTAACCTCATCAAATTCTTGCACCAATCCTACGGGATAGATATGATCATTTCAGACATGAATTGAGCTGTTCGAGGTCATGGCAAGACTGGTAAGAAGAGCATTTAGAACTCAAATACAGGCCTTTGGACTCCAACATTCCAGCTCACATCAGCCCACTTCTGCCTGAAACAGTCTGTGCTCGATCCCAGAATGTATGTATCTGGAAGCCAGAGATGATTTCAGAGGAGTTGCTTTCCCCGGCAGACCTGTGGGGCACTGCTGGGGAGTCACCCCCACCCGACTGTCTGGGCCTTGGATCCTCTGTGTAGTGGACAGAGGGCACCTCACCTTTGCACTGGGCCTCAGCCATTCATTGGAATAATGTGGGTGTCAAATCATTGTTAATTACAGCCTTGCCATCAGTTATCATCTGACACTTTGGGGCCATGGCTCAGCTTTGCCCCATCAGTTACCATCACTGTAGCCTCATCAATTCAAGGAGCTGATAAATTTGTCCAGATATTCCTCATTCTACATCTTCCTTAGCAAAAAGCTGGTGTTTGGTAAATGTCTATGGTATGGGTAGGATGTGTTTGTGTGCATCTAAGAGAGGTAAACCTGGACATTTGGGGATGTCGGGAAGGATGGGGCAGCCAGTTACTTCTTTGAGCCAAACTGGGCACTCATTGCTTTTTCTCTCTGCTGCAGGGCCCAACATCTGTACCACACGAGGCGTGAGCTCCTGCCAGCAATGTCTGGCTGTGAGTCCCATGTGTGCCTGGTGCTCGGACGAGGTAAGGAGCAGATACCCGGCCTCACTTCATTCCCAGACTGCCTTGTACTGACCATGCCGTCTCACCTCCCTCCGAGATACACAAACTTCTTGTCTCTTCTGAGCAAATCTAGTTGAAGCCTTCCCTTGGATGGATATTGAAGTGAGCTGTCTCGGGGGATGTGGCTGGGATCACCCTCCTGGCCACATGGCCTTGTCCTTGGCCTGATTGATGGGGTCTCCTGGCCTCACCATAGTCACTGTTACCCCGTGACACACTTTGCTTGCCTTTTGCTGCAATGGAACCCTCTGGGAACCAGGGCCTCGGATCTCGACGGCAGAGGCAGGCAAGGGCTATAGGAACAGAAAGGATGCTGCTTGAAAACATCTAGCAGTTTAAAAGGGTAAATAAAAGAGAAACCTTGCATTTGTGGGGGGAGTGTTTAGATAGTGGATCTCTCCTCCCATGTCCTCTCTGATGATGGGGACTCCTAGGTGTCAATGAGGAAAGGAGCTGGACCAATTTGTCAGGATGGGGGTAGGGGGGGAGCAACAGGAAAGAGTTAGCTGTGTCTGGGCAGAGCGTTTGTTGTGTCTGGGGCCTTGGAGAATGAATGTGTCTGAGGGAATGGCTGTTTGTGGCTGGGATGGGAATTTGGTGCTGGCATGAGCTGGGGTGTGTATGTATGGGGTGAGGGGTGAATATGGCTGGAGAGATTTCAGTAATTTCAGAGTCTGAGGCTGAGTCATTGGCCTATCTCTCCATCCTCCCCACAGGTGGTTACCTGGACTCCTGCTGGCTGTTCTACGGTCACCTGAGGGGCCATCTGTTACCACAGATGTCCCAGTCCTTTGTGGTCTTAAGATGGCTCTATCCCAGCCCCGCATGCATTCTCTCTGTCTGCTTTTCTTCCCAATCAGCTGAGTTTCCTAATAAGGCAGCCTCCCTGGCAGGCTGGTTGGGGGATGGGGGATGTGAGCGTGGAGGCTGTGTTTATCCCCCAGAGGAGGATTGCCACAACACACCGCCTTGGCCTCTGTGCAGTTCAGCACGGGAACTGCTTCCAGAGGCAGCTGCCCAACATCTGGGCCACATTGACTTCATTTAGCAAATGAAACATTCCCTGGGGCAGGGAGGGGGTGGGGGGAGCCCTTCCCCTCCACCCCCACAGGTTCTCCACCCCTCTGGGCTGAGCTGGCTGCTCAAGTGTGAGGTGGCCGCCTCCCTTCTCACTGGCCTTAGGATGCCTCCCTGGGTTGCCATCATGGTATTATTAAGCCGCTTTGACAAGGAAGTTGGAATTCAGTAACTTAATCCTGGAAGAAGTGAGACTGTGTGGGGAGGGTGCCTCACTGGACTGGGTGACCTAAGCTGCTGGGACAGAGAAGGAGCCAGGGAGAAGTCCTAGCCCAGTCAAAGGTAGCTCCCCGCTCCTCCGCCCCTCCTTGTCAGCCCCAAGCAAGAGGAGATGCAGGCAACTGTGGCCCAGAGTCTGGGGTAAAAGAAGACGTTCTCAGGGTGTCTGTCCCCTCTCTTGGGCAGCACAGGACAAGTCACGTGTCTGTGGAATGCTGGGGCTTGGTCAAAGCCCTTAGGTTGCGTGACTCCATTTTGGAGGCGCAAGTATAGAATATTTATTGATGACTGGTGAATCCTGTCCCCTGGAGTAGGCGGGGGGGGGGGGGGGGGGGGGGGGAAGAGGGCAGGGATGGAAGGTGCAGGGTAAAATCAAAGATGAGGCAGGACCAGTCGAGGAATGGGTAGTAGAGTCAGAGAGGAAATGGGTCCAGCTAGGACCAAAGAAAAGTGATGAGGGGAGGTAGGAGGTCCAAGAAGATATTTTCTTAGACGAATGGAATATAAATAGGAAAGTAGGAGAGGCCAAGGGCGGAGCGAGTGACTACAACTATCTCTGTGCAAGGGGTGGGGGGGAGTGGCACAGTGGAGGAGCCCACTGGGGGACCAAGTGTGACACCCCTACTCCCTCTTCCCCTCCCCCACACTGGAACTGGGAGGTGGGAATCCCAGGCTGGAACCTGAGCAGGGCTGCTATTTTTTTCCTGAGGACTTTCCCTGCACAGGCTGAGTTTCACTGCTGAAAGTGCCTTGGTCGTTGACTTAAAAACCCAAAACTGTACCGTCTGGGCCATTTTGTATGTGATTTGTTGCCTAATCCGCCCTGGAGAGCCCTCTGCTCTTGGCCTGCGCCCCCAGCTGCAGGCTGGGTTGGCAGTGCCTGGAAAAACAACTGGTTGGGCTCCGCTCTCCCTTGGTCCTAGAGGACGGCTGGGTGTGGAGAGCAAGCGCTTGGCAGTAGGAAAGCTGGCCCATCTGCCTAGGGTGTGTTCCTGGGGGGCAGGGGGAGGGGCTTCCGATGCTGACACGGGTTGGGGTGTGTGCGATCTCTGGGCCCTGAATCTAGCACAGAGGCTGGCCCCACACAGAGATTCAACTTCTGGTCTTGATCTCAGTGGTACCATGATGGAATCTAGAACCTTCCAAACTTGCCTGGTGGTGAGAATCACCATGGGTGCTAATTAAATATAAAAATTTCCCAGCATGGACCCTGGACCTATTGCATCAGAATGAATGGTTATGATAGAAGATCTGGCAAATCAAAGCAGCTGGTCATCTGGGTTATGGTGTGTGGAGGTGCTGGTGATGTTGCCGATGTGATACAGGACACCCAGTTAAATAGGAATTAAACAACCAATAACTCTTTAGTATAAGTAAGTCCCCTGAATTTGGCAAACCCAAGGTGAAGGGAAGTACTCAGGATTCTCATATTGTCCAGAGTGTACATCAAAAGTGGACTCAGCCTGACATCCAACGTAAGAACGGGCTTGGGTCCTGGAAAGCAGAAAATTCCAGTAGAACTTCCTTTCCATGTTCTTCTCTTCATCTGCAGAGGAAAATTTAGGCCACTATAATTCCTTTCCTAACGTAATTTTATTCTTATTTCACTGTTACTTGGTCTTTCTACTTTTTTTAAATCTGAAGGATAAATGTTCAGCCTGAGAGTTTTGCTGCACCTTGTTATTGTGTGAGTGTAATATTAAAAGTGCTCCTTCCCCTTCAACCAGTGGGGCGTGAATGCCAATAACTATAAACAAAAATACGTTCCCTTTCCTCTCCTCTAGTCTGTTCCCTTCACACTACTTCTGTCTCTACAGTCAGGTGATTTCTTGTCCTCACCAGATGTCAGTCAAAAGAGCAATGTGAGTTTATTTGAGCTGGAGTGTTTGGTAATCCTGATCAACCCTGTGAGATAGGAAAGGTGATAGTCATTCAGCCTGAACTTGCACAATTTCCAAAATGGGATTCATGGAAAATGCGACTAATAGCATGTGTTGCTCTCCCAGGAAAGGGAGGGAATTCAGCTCATGCAGCACGTGGGCTGGGACTTCCCACCTCGGTGTTTATGATCTTCCCTTGGGTCTTGGTTATTTTTGCCCTTTTTATGTAATATCCGGTTTTACTGGAAGCTGGGACTTGAATATTCCTCTCCCTTCCTTCCCATTTTCTAAGTAACCTGGCGATATTTCTTCTCCCTTCTCAGCCTGTGTTGTCAAGAAAGGGAAGGTTGCCTGAGTGTGTTGAGGTCACTCTGTTTCTGGGACAAGAGGCTCTCAGGGAGAGCTTGGCTGGGGCCTGGCCTGCTATGTTCCTGACTTCTCATGTCAGTGACCGCAGAAGGGAGGGAGGGAGACAGCTTTGTTTCTTAGTATTTACATTTCTAAGGAAGTTCATAAGGAGCCTACAGATCATTAGCAAGGCCTCTCATTTCAAGCCTCCTCAAAGGCACTGTCATGTTAGCAAGCAGGGCCGAGGAATCCCCCTGCCAAAGCATTCTCTTCCTCGTGGATGAGTCCCTTTGGGGGTTGTTCTCATTCATTTTCTTGGCCTCCTCCTCCCCTCTCTTCTTCCCAGTCTCAGCTCTGGGAAGGATCAACTCCTCAGTGCATCTCGGTCTGTCCAATCATTGCCTTTTTGGGAAGGTTTTCTTCCTGGGGCTTTGTGGGCAACTGGGATCAGAGATACAGGGGGGAGCTTTTGAGCAGGAAAGATGCTGCTTTCCTAGGGGAGGGGTGGGGAGAGAAAGGCAGGGGCCGTAAGAAGAGTTTGGGCACAAAATTCCAAGTGCTGTGAGTCCTCCCCACTGCTGCTCTGGGTGTGGGCGAGGATGTTCATTTCTCTCAGCGAGTTGGAAGACCCTCGATGTCCTTGCTGGAATCTTTTAAGGCCAGGAAGACTTAGTCTTACACTGTTTCCCGTGGCTCATGCATTTCTCTGCCCTCAAACCTGTGAGGCTGAGAGAGAAAGAAGGAAGCTGCTGGCTTCCAGAAGTCCTCTCCACTCTTTGCCTGGGTTAGGGTGACCCTCATGCCATTAATCTCAGCCCGTTCAGGTGGCTGTAGCAAAAAAACCTTAGGGTGGGTGGCTTAACAACCGTCATTTATTTCTCACGTTTCTGGAGGCTGGGAATCCCAAGATCAAGGGCCCAGCAAATTCTGTGCCACGTGGTCTTCTTGCCAAGTGTCCTCACATGCAGAAAGGGTGATGTGACCTCCAAGGCCCACCCCCCACCCCAATACCATCATCTTGAGGGCTAGGATTTAACTTATGACTTTTGGGGGCAGACACATTGGTTTATGATGCCATTGGTGTTGTTCATGTGGAGGAGGGCTAGGAGGCGAGGGAGAGTCTGGGGGTGTCTTCAGTTAGGGTCCTGATTTTCAAGTGTGGATGACTCCTTGAAGCCCAGTCCCTTCCCTGGAAGTGCTCCTACCAGTCACCCAGGGGCCTGAGGAGGCAGAATGTTATCTACCCTCCCCCTACCTCTCAAGTCCCTCATTGGGGCACTCTCGGGTGTGGCTCTTTCCAGGACCATCACTGCCACGTCCTGCTTTTCTGCTGGACTCTCACTCTATCCTAGAATGAAACACAGCTTGCATTTCATGGGAGAATTAGTCGGACATTTGAGTTAGGGTCTCACTTCTGACACTTCCTACCTTTGTAACTTGGGCAGATGACTTAACTTCTCCAAGTCTCATGTTCCTTCCCTGTAAGGTTGGGTTCCATGTTTCTGAAAGTGCCAAGCCTCGGTTCCTCACTTGTAAAAGAATCCTGGTTCCAGCATCGCAGAACCATCATCAGGGGGATGGCAAGAATCCATGTCAAGTGCTTATCTCAGAGCTGGCCATGCAGCAAGTGCTCAAAAGTGGTTGACATAGCCGTCCTGGGCTACTGGCTGGTTATTCAGCTGACTTCTGGATATGGCTGGAGGCGGGATGGCGGTCAGGGATGTCAAGGACCTGAGGGCCCAGATATTGTGAAATAGTCCTGGGAGGTGTTTTCCAACGTTGGCAGCCAGTGCCCTCAGCAGGGTAAGGGCCCCCCTTGTGGGTTGGTGTCCCCATAATGCTGGCTCACTTTGTGAATGTCAGAGCAGGAAGGGACTGAAAACATCATGTCACCTAGTCCCCCCACTCCTTATCAAACAGGTGGGAAAACTGAGGCACACAGAAATGAAAGGATTTATCTGAGGTCACTTGGCTAACTAGTGGCAGACCTAGGATTGAATCTGATTCCCGTGTGCTTTCTGCTATGGCAGGTCAACACTGAGGTGTAAAGGCACATGGAGCCCCCAGAGAGCCAAGGGATGCTTGCCATGGTCTCGGGAGGGTGCTCCACTTGTCCTTATCAGGGGGCCAAGAGGAAGCTTAGGCCATGGGACAGGCATCATGATGCTTGCCCAAGCGTGTGCAGATCACTCATAAATGATTTCCCCAGGAACTATATTTTCCCCTATTTTTTTAAAATTCAACATCCATTCATGATGGAAATTTTTTTAAATTTATTTATTATTTATTTATGCATACAAGAACTGGGATACAGGCCAGAGGTGTGGGGGGTGAGAGGATTCACCAGAGGCAGAGTGGGGAGCAAAACAGGCAGACTGACTGAAACACACTGCTGAGGGGAGCAGCGGGGGAGACAGGAGAGGTCTGCTGCACCATGTGGGTAGCTTCCTGGCCGGGGATGGAACTCAGGCCACAATGGTGATTATGCTGAGACTTAACCCCTAGGCCACCAGGGAGCCCCCCAGGAATTGTTGATGGAGCCTCTCATTACAAGAACTAACAGCCAGGTGTTCTGTGTGCACTGGCATGTTTAGTCCTGTGTAACATCCTTGTGAGGATGAGACTGTCATTGTCTTCGTGTTGAAGCTGAGGAAAGTGGATTTGGGGAGGTTACGTGACCACCCTAGGAACCAGTTGGCCAGTAAGTGGCAAAGCTGAGATGTGGTCTCAGCCAACCTCCTCCTGTGCTCTTCACCCCTGTCTCTGCCTCCTTTGTGTTAAGTCCTAAGGGGTGCTAGGAATAGAGAGGGGGCAAGACACGCACAGCCCCTGCCCTCATGGATTGCCCACCCCAGCCAGTGCCTTAACGCAGCATCTCCCAAGTGTTTTGACTCTGACCTACAAAAGAAACACATTGTCTATCATTATTTATTACATGTATTGTACACCTCTCCCCAATATATAAATGTGTCCAAAACAATATTTACTTTTTCTATTTATACACATTGATACTTTCTATTCTATTCTATTGCATTTTAATAACCAGGTGACTGAGATCCCCTGAATTGATTTTGGGACCCACAAGTGGGTTTCTCGCAGTTTGATAAAGGTCTATTATTGTTCTGCTCCACTTCTGAGCTTCCAGTCCATGTGTAGTCACCCATGCGGCCTTTGGAGGCTTCAGCTTCCCAATGGGCTCGCAAGCGGCCTTCTTGGGAAGGACTGGGCCAGTTCATTTATGCTGGTTTGGCTCCAAGTGCCGGGTGAGCTCCAGGCCTCTGGGAGGTGGCAGGGCCTGCAGGTGCGGGGAGACCCTGCAGCTCTTATCACAGACTTGCCCTTGGTCTCCTGTCTTACAGGCCCTGCCTCTGGGCTCACCCCGATGCGACCTGAAGGAGAATCTGCTGAAGGATAAGTGTGCCCTGGAGTCCATTGAGTTCCCCGTCAGTGAGGCCAGGATCCTGGAGGCCAGGCCCCTCAGTGACAAGGGCTCTGGAGACAGCTCCCAGGTTGTTCAAGTCAGTCCCCAGAGGATTGCACTGCGGTTACGGCCAGGTAGGGCTGGGGCACTTATGGGCAGAGGGCCTGGGCAGATGGGAACAGGGCACAGTGGCAGTCTGGGCAGGAAACCTGAGCAGGAAACAGCTCAAAACAGAAATGAGGGAGGAGGGGATGAGGGATGAGGGGAAATTATGTGCAGAATGCAAGAAAATGGAAGATGTTGAGACTTTGAGTCAGATCTGAATTTGAATCTCAGTTCTTCCATGTATTAGCTATTTGACCTTGAGTAAGTTACTTAACCCTCCTAACATAGTAGGTCTTCAAAAAACATTTGTTTCTTTCCCCCAAAGTCTGTTTTATACAAAGCTTGTAGCTTTGTATTGAGGCTGAAATGAGATATAAGATAAGAAAGCAATTTTAAGTCCCCTTTTCATGTGATATTGGCACAGGAGCACAGGGGCAGAGAAAATAGGCTCAGAACATTAGAAGGAGGAAGAATTAGATTAAGGGACTGGCTTTTTGAAGCATTGACTTTGGCTTTTCAATTAGATCAAGAAGAATTTAAGAAAGTACTTTCTTTGTGCAAGGCATGTGATAGGTGTATGGGATTCAAAGAGTAGGACATACAGTAGTCCCCCCTTTTCTACAGTGGATGAATTTCAATGCCCCAGCAGATGCCTGAAACTGAGAACAGTACTCAGTGGACACACACACACACACACACACACACACACACACACTTGTGAGTATGTATATATACATATATGTGTGTGTGTGTGTATATATATATATATATATATATATATATATATAAAAACTTTACTTTTTCCCTACACACTAAGTCCTCTCTTAATGGGATTGATTGGTTATTGGAAACTGAGATTTTAAGTGAAACAACATAAAATGAAACCAAATTTTAACACTGGCAATTTGATGTAAACAAGAGTTAAGTTCCTAAGGCATATTTAACTAAGGCATATTTTTGGTCATGAAAATATAACTGAACTTCTAAAATAAAAACCCCAAACAATTCTAATATTAAACAATAATTTGCATTCATTCATTCATTCATTTTCCAACTTATTCTAGTTCAGCATTGCAGGTGGCTGCAGCCTGTTCTGGTGGCAGCTCAGGGCAAAGGCAGGACCCAACCCTGAATGGGATGCTCTCCCATCACAGGGTGCACTCACACCTACATCCCCACATTCACTCAGGTTGGGATAATTGAGACATGGATAATTGAGACACACCCATGAACCTAATGTGCACATCTTTGAGATATAGGAGGAAATCAGAGCACTCAGAGAAAACCCACACAGACATGAGGAGCTTATGAACTCCAGACAGATACCCTAGACAGGAATGAAGGTTTTTTTTTTCTCATCAAAGGTATAATGAAATGATATTGATTGAAATGATATTATTTGAGGACCTGCTATGTATCCATACCTATGATAAAGTTTAATTTAGAAATTAGGCACCGTAAGACATTAACAATAATAATTAATAACAAGATAGATCTCTTAAAACATGATAAAGTAATAAAAGTTATTACATTTTTTGTATTATGTCATCGTATGGTGGGTCACTGAAGCCTTGGAAAGTAAAAGCACTGATAAGGGGCGCAGTTTCCTGCCTCCTGCCTTTTGTAGGGTTTGAAGCGTAGAAAGTGCCAAAACTTCTGTGACTCAGGGCGGTAGATCCTTGAGACTTAGAGGTTTAAACAGCTGGTCATTTAGAGAGGATGGAGAGTTTTAGAATGGAAAAGAAGAGGTTAAAATGGGGGGAGGAATCAAGAGATTGAAAGAGAAATAAAACTGCAAGGGGAGAGAAGAGACCAGGGCTTTTACTTTTGATTTGATCAAGAAGTTACTTAATCCCAACAATGTCCAAATCCACTTGGAGGGAGAAAGAGGAGGAAAAGTTCCATTCTTCTGTCTTCTAGATGATTCGAAGAGTTTCTCCGTCCAAGTCCGGCAGGTGGAGGACTACCCTGTGGATATCTATTACTTGATGGACCTGTCTTACTCCATGAAAGACGATCTGTCCAGCATACAGAACCTGGGCACTAAGCTGGCCTCTCAGATGCGCAAGCTCACCAGTAACCTGCGGATTGGCTTTGGGGCCTTTGTGGACAAACCCGTGTCACCGTACATGTACATCTCCCCACCAGCGGCCCTCAAAAATCCTTGCTATGAGTAAGTCCCTTCTCTGGAAGCCAGAGTAGCACCCCTACACTTGACCCCAGGCAGGGCCACATCCTGATTCCTGATTCTAGTTCTTGGGTATCTGTTGGCCGCCTTCTGGCCAAATCACATTTCCTCTTGGCCTTGGTCTTCCTGTCTGGCAAGGGAGTGGGCCTGTTGATCTGAAGTTTGTGTTAATGGAATCCAAGGCTAGGAGACCTAGAAAGAAAATCCATCAGCATCTTGATCTTGGTTACAAATAAAAAGGCAAGAATGGGAGGAAATGATGTCAAAAGCAAAGATTAATTTTTTTTTTTTGGTAAATATAATGCTGGCTATTTCTTTTCTTTTCTTTTTTTTTTAAGATTTATTTATTTATTTATTTATGCATAAAAGAACTGGGGTACAGGCCAGAGGTGTGGAGGGTGAGAGGATTCACCAGAGACAGAGTGGGGAACAGAACAGGCAGACTGACTGGAATACACTGCTGAGGGGAGCAGGGGTTGAGACAGGAGAGGTCTGCTGCAACATGTGGGTAGCTCCCTGGCTGGGGATCGAACTCATGCTGCAGTGGCTGTGGATAGTTTCATAGGTTGCGTCTTAACCCTTTGCACCACCAGGAAGGCCCAAAAGTAAAGATAAATTTGTGGATAAGTAGATAGAGGAATTATGGCTTCAGAAGGATTGATTCCAGTGTCCTCCTACTCCTCAAATGTATGAATCCTACAAGGATTAAGATGCAGCATTAAAATAAAGTCCTAGAAAAATGGAAATTATACTTATTGAACCATTGAATCATCTGTAAATTGATAAAGTGTGCCTCTGTTGACACTTTGGTTTATAATTGATTGAGTGACTTGTTTATTTAATTGGTGGAGGCCATGCAAATCCATGTGCTTTCCTAATTTAAAATGACAGTGACTGAGTCTGACATGGGTAAGACTTTTTGTGTTTTCAGAGTTATATGATGTATCTTTTAACCTCCTGTCTGGGTTCTGTATTTCCCCACTACGCTGTCAGTCATCAATTTAACTAACAAATTAATTAGGCTGGGTACAGAAATAGTCCTCTCTGGCACAGACCTATTTATTAATGGTGCAGGGACATTTAGTGACCCATGAACATTTGCCATATGTTTGTGTTGGTGTTACTTCAGAGAAGTGTTAAGCATAAGGTGATAACAAATAAGTCTCCCTCCAATCAGAGTGCTTGTGTTTATTAACTCATTGAAGCCTCACAACACCTCTTATAAGTTATGTGCTGTCATGTCCCCATTTTTTAAAAATGATTTATTTATTCATACAAGAATTGGGGTGCAGGCCAGATGCACGGGGGGTGAGAGGATTCATCAGAGACAGAGTGGGGAACAGAACAGGCAGACTGACTGAAATACACTGCTGAGGGGAGCAGCGGGTGCGACAGGAGAGGTCTGCTGTGCCATGTGGGAATTTCCCTGGCTGGCCGGGATCAAACCTGCACTGCAGAGGCTGCAGACAGCTTCACAGCGCTGCGCTCAACCCACTGCGCCACCAGGGAGCCCATGTCCCCATTTTTGTAGCTGAACTATAGAGCATCTTGCCCGAGACCCCATGACTAATAAATGGAGGAGCTGGGATTTTTTTTGGTGAGATGTTATTTTTCTAACAGCGCTTATAAAACTTGCAACAAGGCATTTAATTAATGCATCCTTCTGTTTAAAAGTAGGTGTTAATATGAAATTTATTTTTTATTTGTTTTTAATGTTTAATTAATTTTTAGTTTTTTAAACTGAGATTTATTTATCGTCTTACATGGTTGTTCATCTTTGGACAATATTTGATTTCTCCCCTCAGGCGTAGCCCCCATAGTTCTTCCACTGCCACAACACCCGAGATCCATCACCGTAGTCCTTGTGTTCTTCCCTCTCCTGTTTCGACCCTTCTCCCTACCTCTCCCCAGCTGTATGCCTCAAGTCTATGGTCATCTTGCAAGTTTTGTCTGTTTCCTGACCCTTTGTTTGGTTTTCTTATATTCCCCCATAAGTGAAACTATCTGATATTTATCTTTATCCTTCTGACTTATTTTGCTTAGTGTATTGCCTTAAGAGCTGGGATTTGAACCCAAGCAGTCTAGTTCCATATCATTTAGGCTAGCAGCAGGTAAGGTCAATATGGGGCCTAGGTATTTGAGGGTTGGGGGGACCATCTGCCACTGGTGGTTATTATAGAGCTGGTTATTATAACCACTGTCTGTATTTACTGCCTCCTACTCCCCTTCCCATGCAGCCTTTTCCATCATGGTGTCTCCCTCCCTCTCCAGTATGAAGACCACCTGTTTGCCCATGTTTGGCTATAAACACGTGCTGACGCTAACGGACCAGGTGACTCGCTTCAATGAGGAAGTGAGGAAGCAGAGTGTGTCCCGGAACCGAGATGCCCCTGAGGGCGGCTTCGATGCCATCATGCAGGCTACAGTCTGTGATGTGAGTTCAGAGGGCTTGGAGTGCCAGGTGTGGTTCTCACATGTCAAAATGGGGAAGGAAGTGGCTCAACAGTGCAGATGTCTGTGTGCAGCAAGAGGCTGGAACTAGGCAGAGGTCCTATGGTTTGAGCAATAAGTTGCTCCTAGTACACAGTTGGTTTCCCTTCCTGGCTAGAACTGACATTTGTTTGAACCTCAAAAGTCCTGGTGTCCTCCGGGGAGGGCTCTCTCCAGCATCTCTGGAAGTGTACCAGTGTCAGGGCTGGGTTCTCATGACCTCAGCCAAGTGCACAGCTGTTCAGATGGGATTTCTTCTAGCCCAGCTCTGCGGATGCAGGTGGATTTCTAGATGGGTCATGTGACTATCATCAGAGAAGTTATTTCAATTTGAAGTTGAAAAGGTGTTCAGCTATGAGACTGTTTTCTTAAGAGAACACAAACCCCGAAGTCCCAAGATGGAAAGCTCCAGTTGGTGCTCCAAGGGTTGGGATGAAGGCCTTTCTCAGAGACGTCTCATCCTGCCCCGAGGCAGGAGTGTCCCTGGATCTTGCCTACGGTGGGCTAAACTTCTTTCTCTTTTTGGCCCTTTATTTTTTTTAAACAGGAAAAGATTGGCTGGAGGAGTGATGCATCCCACCTGTTGGTGTTCACCACCGATGCAAAGACTCATATAGCACTGGATGGAAGGCTGGCGGGCATTGTGAAGCCCAACGACGGGCAGTGCCATGTTGGCCGTGACAACCACTACTCTGCCTCCACGACCATGGTGAGATTCTGCGTACAACATGTGGTTCCTGTTCACCACGGCCAGTGCTGCCCTAAGCCTGGTAGAGTCTCTGTGAATATAAAAATGGCAGCCCATACTCTGGGCAGGGTGTGGGGTTCATTTCTTCCTGCTCCCACCCCTACCAACTGAAAACGCTCCTTCAGGGTACAACCTGCACAACCACTAGAGAATTAGAGATGGCCCTGACCATGGTCAGTGTTTCCACCACTTTACAGCCTTCAGCAGCAGCGTAGCTTTCAGAATGGACCCAAAGAGCTTTCACAGATCCAGCTGGAAAGCCAGCCTTTCTCTTCACTCTGCACTGATTAGCCCTTTCTTGGAATTCCATGCCCTTATTGGAAGACAATAGAGGAAAAAGATCAAAAATCATCGCAAGCACAGAGAGCAGGTCATATGGGGGAAGGTTAAAGGACTCAGTCATTTAGTATGAAGGAAAGGAGGCAAAGGATGATTTAATGATGCATGAGAAGACTTCTTATGTCTTCTATGGCTGTACATGGTTACATAAGAGAAAAGAAGTTGAAATGAAAACAGAAGAAATTGTCATAAGCAGTAAAGAAAACGTACAGACCCTTAGGATGCTGATACTCTGGGCATCTTGGGGGAGGTGAGAATTCTTCATCTCTGAAAGACAGTAGAGCAACTACCTCTTCTAGGTGGCTTAAAGGTATATCTGTGTAAACGGGAGCCTGAGCTGGATGATTTCATGAGCTCCTTGTAAGAGCTAGGATCCCAGGGATGTGTTCACAACTTACTCACATACCCAGTGTTGCTTGAATTCCTTGGTATCAGTAATATCCAAGTTAAGCACTACCTGGCAATGGGTGATCCAGTAACTATTGACCCCCCTCTATGCAAGGTACCTTATCAGGAGCAGAGGTCCTGAGAGTCTATAGGTCTTCCCCTTAGGGAGTTTTCGGTTTAGTTGAGGAGATATATTACTAATAAGACAAGGTACATGGTCAGCGCTAACTGGGTGGCATAGTCAATAAGGCTTGAAGTCATCAAAGGAGACAGGTGTATTATAAGTTGGGGTGCTTAGGGGAGCCTTGTGGGGAATGTGGGACTTGATCTGAGTCCTCCACGTGGAGGTTTACTGAAGAAGCCCATCCCGGTGGGAGAAATAGAGTGAGCCAGGTCTGTGGTAAGTGGAAGAGGGAGAGGGGTAAGTGATGGTTAGAAAGGAAGATTGAGGCCACACGCTGAGGTAAAGGTGTGTGGCCACACGCTGAGGCCACGAGTGTGAGGTAAAGGTGTGTGTCTGTTACTCCAAGACAGGAGGAAGCTGCTCCATGGTGTGAGTGCGTCAAACCTGAGTAGGAAGAAAAGGGCTTAGTTTTGACACCACCAGGCTGTACCTCTTCATCTCTTACTGGAGTTCTCATCTCTTGCTGATTTTGTGCTTCTGCTAACCCTTCTTGCCTTGATTTGGTCGTGGGTGAAAAGCCGTGAGCACCATCACTGGCTGGACCACAGCTCCAGACAGCCAAATTCTAAGGCTTAGAACCCAGGGGGCTACGTGAGACCCCTTACTAACCTCCATCTCCTCCCTCTTTCCAGGATTATCCCTCTCTGGGTCTGATGACTGAGAAGCTATCCCAGAAAAACATCAATTTGATCTTTGCAGTGACGGAAAGGGTCGTCAACCTCTACCAGGTGACTATGTCTTTGGGGCTTCCTGGAGTGGGGGTGGGGACGTGTTCCTGGGAGATAGCCCTGGCTAGCACTGGCCACGATCCCCAACCAGGAAAGACATGTTCCCAGGAGCTAATGATTCCTCTCTCCTGCCTCTGTCTGCTCCTCCTCCCACCTAGCTGGCTGGGGGTTGATTTTGTAGTGGTGGAGTGGGGAAATTCAGTGGGCTGAGAGGTGTGAGGTGTTCTCTATAGTTTTGCTCAGGGCTGAAAAACTGCCACATAGATTGCTGGCAGTGACAAGTAAATCATCTCTTCCTTCCCTCAGTGTTCATTTCAAGATCCTCAGTCTGATTTGGGGAGGGCTTTTGGAGGTTATCACTGATACTCAGTCAGCTCTGGACCTCTGGGTCTTCCTTTCTAGAACTACAGTGAACTCATCCCAGGGACCACAGTGGGGGTCCTGTCTGCTGATTCCAGCAATGTTCTCCAGCTAATTGTTGATGCTTATGGGGTAAGTGTTTTGCCTTAGAATGGGCCTGTTTGGCATGTTTTTGGGAGGGCACAGTGGCCTGGCTGCCACTCCACCATGCAGCCCTCGCTGCCTCCCTTTTGTTCTCCCAGAAGTTAGATGATGGCAACAGTGGGCAGATGCAACCTTTTGAGAAAGAATTTAGCCCAGAAAGGAATGCCAGGGGGTGTCAGGAGAACAGGGGAGCGCTTCAAGCAGGTGGGAGGGAAAGAGAAGATCGGGATGGTAATGAGAAAGAAGCAGAGCCCTGAAATTAGTGGGGGGGGTGGGGGGGTGGAGGATGCAGGAGAGCTGGGCTCCAACAATAGAGAAAAGAGGTAGCTGAGTCATGGGGAAGGTGAGACTGATTAAAAATTATGTGGAAAGTGCTCAAAGGTGCCCAGACTGGCACCCCCCATTGCATGTCCATGAGGCCTGCAGGTTGGTAGAGCTTGTTTAGATTTTACTTGGATTCACCTTGACACAAATGGGAACACTGAGAAGGAACAGGCCCTGGCCAGGAAATAGGCTTCTGCGGTGCCCTGGCAGCTTGCGGTGAACCTCAGCATCTGGCACTGCCAGGGGGAGTCCAGGGCCACCAGGTAGGTTTTGCCTGGGATAGAATTGACTTTTACCAGTTGCCTCACAGCACACATGCTTTTCTTCCTTTTCCTTCTTCTGCTCAGAAAATCCGCTCTAAAGTGGAGCTGGAAGTGCGTGACCTGCCCGAGGAGTTGTCTCTGTCCTTCAATGCCACCTGCCTCAACAACGAGGTCATCCCAGGCCTCAAGTCTTGTGTTGGACTCAAGATTGGAGACACGGTGAGTTGGCTGTGCAGGGGCTGACCCTGGCCCGCGCCTCTGAGTGACTGTGGGTGCCCTGCCCCTTCTTTCTCTGAGCCTTCTTCCTGAAGGTCATTACCAGCAGATGCATGGAGGTGCCACCCACTTCCTCTGAAGTGGGTGCTTCAACTCTCTGTTAAGTAGACGTCATAAGTTTTTAAAAACTTGCATCTAGGCCATGGCTGTTGGTTCATGCATACTTAATTGCAAATGAAAATACTTACCTTCAGAAGGCTCCTAACTAGTCTCCAGCCTTCTCCAAGGTAATGCCTTTCCCCCGCTCCACTAGATATTGCTGAAAGAACAGCGTTAGCTTTGAGTGTTTGCTGAGCATGGACTTCGTGGCAGCCATTGTTCTGGCTGCTGAAGCTTCAACAGCAAATGGAACAGTGAAAATGCCTGCCTTGGGAATTTCTGAATGTAAATGTTCACTTTTCCCTCAGGAGCTTTCCTTCATTGAAGAATATTTTTCCTTAGCTTCTGCTTAAGAGTTTTGTGAAGGGGGACAGATGGAAGGGGATATCTCTCTCTCTACCTCTCATCTGTATCTCTATGTACCCTTATAGTTTTAAGAATTTTTTTCCCCTTATGTAGATCTCTATCTCCATCCACCTGACTCCGTATTCTCGGCACATGTGCACACACCCCTTGTAAGAAATATCAGCCTAAAATGCATTTGATTGCATGAGTGATGATGCAATGTTATGTGGAAATTGAACAGCAGGGCCTGAGCTTGCACACAGTGTGGCATTGTGTGGTGCAAAAGAGAGCTTCATCTCACTGATGTAATGCCATCAGGCCAGCTCACTCAGTGGCCAACGCAGAGGGTCACAGGATGACACTTGAGCTGCTTGATTTCACCTGTGGCATAAAAACACACACCTGTCTCCTGACTGTGGACCATGTCTCTGTACCCAGCCAGATATGCCACCCTGCACAACTCTCCTGGGGCTTGTGCGTTGGCCTTGCGAACCTACGTAGAAGGAAGGCAGGAGAACTCCAGGTAGCAGAAGGATACCACACCCAGTTTGGGCATCTTTGTCAGGGCAGGGAGCAGCTTCCTATCAGGGCTGGCATGTTAACTGGGCCTACCTGTGTTGAAATATGATCTTGCTTTTTAATCCAGGTGAGCTTCAGCATCGAGGCCAAGGTGCGGGGCTGCCCCCAGGAGAAGGAGAAGTCCTTCACCGTCAAGCCTGTGGGCTTCAAGGACAGTCTCACTGTCCAGGTGACCTTCGACTGTGACTGCGCCTGCCAGGCCCAGGCGGAGCCTGCCAGCAGCCGCTGCAACAATGGCAATGGGACCTTCGAGTGTGGGGTGTGCCGCTGCGGGCCTGGCTGGCTGGGGTCCCAGTGTGAGTGCTCGGAAGAGGACTACCGGCCTTCGCAGCAGGATGAGTGCAGCCCCCGTGAGGGCCAGCCGGTCTGCAGCCAGCGTGGCGAGTGCCTCTGTGGGCAGTGTGTCTGCCACAGCAGCGACTTTGGCAAGATCACGGGCAAGTACTGTGAGTGTGACGACTTCTCCTGTGTCCGCTACAAAGGGGAGATGTGCTCCGGTGAGTAGGCCTGTACCCCTCTCCGCCGTCCTGGGACCCACACATTCTCACACACCTGCAGCCTCTGGCAACATAGGCCAGGGCTCCAGGTGGACCCCGTGAGGCTCAGTGGGCAGGGCTGAGTAGATGGTGTTCCACTCCAATGGCAGAATTTCTTTTTCCTGTTGGGGGGAGAGGGCTGCCTTAGGGGAGGCTCACAGAGAGCATCTTGGGGGCACCAGGGACGAGGGAGCCCTGGGGATCCTGGTCTGGCGTGAGGCAGTATGGGAGGGATCCTGGCCAGAGTTTGTTTCCTTTGGCTGCCGGCCCCACTGCAGCCACAAAACAAAACTGCCTGGGTCAATGGCCCTCGGTTCCTGTCTCCCACTGGTGTGAGAACAGCTCGTCCTCACGAGCTCCAGCCCATTCATGAGGGATCCCAGGCAGCCTCTCAGTGGCCGCTCTCCACCACTTCCTGCCAGGCCCCAGGTGTGGACCCTGTGGTGCTGTCATCACTTTCTCCAGTGTCAGAAACCCAGGGACATGTGTTGTCCCATTGTGTACCAGGTGCTCGGTCCCTGTGGGTGAACAGGGGTCAGGCGTGATCGCTCACCTCTCAGACTCCTAGCCCAGCTCACCTTTGTCCCTCCCTGGAGCTGCTGGCCGTGTGGTCTTGCCACAAGCAGGGGCTCATGAGCAGGAGTGTGTGACTCGGTGGTCTCTCTAGCCCCTACCTCTCCCTTCTGCCCTAGCCACTAGATGCATGATCTCCATGATGGTCTGTTGTCAGCACCCCTGCCTTAAATATCAGGGTATATGTCGTTTTCCTCAAGGAACTCTTCCACCTGCCTTATCCATGAACATAGTTTGGCCAGGCTTTCCCCTGAGCCTGGTCCTGTGCTGTCTGTTGTTGTGGGACAGAGAGGTGTGAATAAGATAGTTTTACCCTTGAGGAAATTATCTAAGGGTAATTCACAGCACGAGGCAGAGCTGCCAGATCCTGAAAGTGCAGTGTCCTCAGGGGTCTTATAGGGGTCTTTCAGAGAGATTCACTGTGGGCAGGGAGACCTGGTGGTTTTATGGAAGAGGTGGGGTATCAGAGGCAGAGCTGGCTCTTAAGGAGAGGAGCGAGTGATGCATCAGCTCAGAAGGTCAGGCTCCACAGGGAGAGCCATTGCCTTCCCTCTCCCTTGGAATAATGGCGCTTTCCTCTCCCACTCCTCACCCCCATGCTGCCTTCCTTCCTCCCTGCCTCCTCCTCTTTACACTTTGCCCTCATTTCTTACCCACCTCCTCTGACTTCCCTCTGAACTCAGGCTCAGCCTCCCTTTTGCTGGAGGAGGGCCTGTCCTGTGACATTACCACACTGTGGCTTCCTTTTAAGGGCTGACCCTGCCAGGGCTTGGGGTCAGCCTGCTGGCTCTGGCCTGCGGCTTCCATTCCTAACCTCATTCCTTGGCTGGCCTGGCAGACCCTTTTCTCAAAGATCACTTTGTTTAACCCACAAAAGAAGCAATAGGACAAGGGTATCTGAGGAAGTGGAGGCCTCTGAGTCTGCCAGGCAACTGCTGGGTGGGCCTTTCCCCGGGAGCCGTGGACAAAAACTAGGGATAGTGGGCACTGTGGAGCCCAGTCGCTGGCTGGCTCACACATCCTCCAGCTGCTTTTCAGGCAGCTGGTAAAGCTCATAACTGCCCCTTCTCTGAGAACTGCCAGTGACCTATGGGCAAGAGGTTTCACAGGCCAGTTCCTTTGCCTCCAGTGAGGCTAGCTCTGGGGTGCTGTTCATGCTCTGAGCCCACTGTGGAGTCAGACTGAAGGGGGTCCCTGCTGAGCCACATTCCTATCAGCTGTTGACTCCTATCTGCTTCCTTCCACCCCCGCCCCACTTCCTCAGTAAGTCATTTGTACCAGGTTTCTTGCCACAAGCTCGGGCAGTCTTTCTCTTTCCCCACCCTCCTGCCAGTCTGGTTTCGCTGCTCCATAGACAGACTTGGTAGCAGGGGCAGATGAGCGTGTTCCCCATCTTCCTGGGGGCAGACATTTCATCTCCTCCTCTCTAGGGCACCTTCAATTCAGTGCATCCTTCTTTGCAGCCAGAATCACCTTCTAAAACATGGGCTCCCAAATTCAGCCCTTACTGCATTTGGGGCCAATAATTCTTTATTGTGGGGACTGTCCTGTGTGTTGTAGGATGTTTAGTGGGGTCCCTGGCTTCTCTCCATTAATTATTAGTAACAACTTTCCAGCTGTGACAAAAATGTTCCAAGATGTTGTCAAATGTCCCCTGGGAAACAAAACAGCCCCTTCCCCCCAGTTGAGAAGCATTGTTTTAAAGCCTCAGTCAGCTAGGTCCCGCCACTCCCATGCTTAAAGATCTACAAACACTCCACATTGTCCAGGGATCAAGTCCAAAGACCTCAGCTCAACACTCAAGATCTTCAAAATTGGGTCAACCTGCCTTCAGCTCTGCCTCCCATCACAACTCACACACTTACGACCACAGTAAACTGCCCATCTGCACTGTTCTCACCCCCTCATACTTCCATTCATGCTGTTCCCTTCCACCAGGTGACCATTGTCAAATTCCTACTCACCCTTCCAGGCCCAACTCAAATGTTCCTTCTTCTCTGTAACTTTTCCTGACCTCCCCAGGCCAAGTCAACTGTCTGCCTAGTTCTGTCCATTGGGAATATTTGTCTCCATGGTTAGTTTGCAAAATAGGTACCATTCTTTTCTCTAAACACCTCTGGAGGCTGTCACACCACACTTCTCAAGGATACCTGTGATGTGTGCCAAGGTGAGGTTGAGAAGAGGATCAGGACAGGAAAGGCAATGGCGTTGGTGAGCCCGAGAGACAGATGAGTGGTTTCTGGGGCCTTTGAGTGCAGATCCAGAAAGGAAGGAGGTCGACAGACACCTGCAGGAGGCTGCCTGAGGTCGTTGCTAGTGGTTGTCTCTGCTGCTGCTCACCTTAGGAAAACTCTCATTCATTTAGCTTCTCTTATTTTCTTGCTGCTTTTCTCTATGGCATTCATGGGTTTTATCTAACAACCCTGACCTTCAGCAAGCCGAGAGGAGGCTTTTTATTCTCTGCTAGAGGGGGCCAGCTTGTTCAAATGGGGCCTTTATTGTTGTCTAATCCCATGGGGCCTCTCAGGTCAGGTAGAAGAGGGCAGCAGCCCTATGTCAGAGTTTTGGGACATGAGGGGCCTTTGCCAACATCAAGTTACACTACCAAGGCCACTGAGTGCCCTCTCTGGGCTTAGTGCCATCCCAGCCTGCAGGGCTAAAAAGCTCATCACTAGCCCACAAACTGGAGCCTGGCAGAGAAGGCAGAAGGATTCAGTATTGGGCAAGAAAAAGGGTTGGAGAACTGGGAGACTTAGCTTCTGAGACTCTTTTGCCCTCCGGTGAGCTCGGGCCTTTTCCTGTCATACCTTGGGACACCTGGAGAATCGTCCCCTCTGGGCAGGGCACCCCTGGTGATGAGCCAGTTGCTCGCCAGCCAGGAGGACCATCATCTGTCTAGCTAGCAGAGCAGGGTGTGCAGCCCGTGGCCTGGGGTGGTCCCTTACCAGCTGGCCGGCCCCTGGGGCTGTGTGCTTTCAGGCCATGGCCAGTGCAGCTGTGGGGACTGCCTGTGCGACTCCGACTGGACTGGCTACTACTGCAACTGCACCATGCGCACCGACACCTGCATGTCCAGCAATGGCCTGCTGTGCAGTGGCCGCGGCAAGTGCGAGTGCGGCAGCTGCACCTGCATCCAGCCCGGCTCCTATGGGGACACCTGTGAGAAGTGTCCCACCTGCCCCGATGCCTGCACCTTTAAGAAGTGAGTGCAGAGAAGTGAGTTGGAGAGAGCTGGGTGTCTGGGAGGGGGCAAGTCCCCAACTTTCCAGGTTCCATCGAGGGAGAGGAGTTTGCCCCAAGGGGGTGGCTCGCTTGCCTTTCTTTTTTCCACTGCCAGCTTTGTGGAAAGTCAGAAGTACAGCTGACCATGAAGGGGCTCAATAGCACTGGCTGGACTCCGCTTGGAGAAACCCCCTTTTATAGGGTAACATCCTGGAGCCCTCTGAGTTGGGAGGAAGGCTAACCCAGATAACTTCTGGGGAACGTTCCAGTGCTGACATTCTGATCTGTGGGAGATGCAGGGGCTGGAGTTACAAACAACACTATATGGAACAGGAGAATTTCACCAGGGCAAACCTCACCCACCTGGGTGGGAAGCGGCTGTCAGCATGTGTGTCAAGGCCGCTTCTCTTACTGTGTCCAGAGGACTGGATTCATGGGCCTGCAGTGTCAGGGGACTGTGCTGAGAAGGGCCCACGCTTGGTTGATGCTCTACGCTCAGTCTTGACCTGACGTTTTCATTTTGTCCTGAGTCCCCAAAGACTTTCAGGCTCCCAGAAGTGGTCTGGGGTTTGCCTCCTGTCCTGGCCCTGGGTGGAACCTGAAGAAGTTGTACAAAGGACCTGGGAACCTCTGCCAGCTAGGCCCGCCCTATGGGTGAGGAGGGTGGTTCCACTGCTGAGCCCCAGACTTGGCCACCTGGGCCCCCAAGGTTTTCTCACAGACATTTTAATTTGTTTTCTGAGGTAGAGCAGGCCGAGGGTTAGACTGAACCGCACTTAGTCCTGCTCCTCCGTTGCCTTCATCCTGTGTCCCTTCTCCTGCAGGGAGTGTGTGGAATGCAAGAAGTTTAACCGGGGAGCCCTCCATGAGGAAAATACCTGCAGCCGTTACTGCCGCGATGAGATTGAGTCTGTGAAGGAGCTCCGTAAGTTCAGCGCACGCAAAGCTGCACCTAGCCGGCTCTCAAGCCCTCTGCTCCCTCCCAGCACCTAGCTAACTCCCACCTGTGAAGCGTTGGAGTCATGTATACCTCAAAGGAATGGCATGCATACTTGGTATACAGTAGGCGCAGGCCAAGTGCTGACTCTTGGAGAGTCCTCCTGTGTTCCTACTAATGTGTTCAGGAGACCTCCCCCATCTGCTTCCCAGACACCACAGAGTCAGTAAGATCCTTCCAATAAATCAGGCAACCCTAATTTTCCTCCCCAAGGGAAGGAAGATAATACACCTCATCTTGCAGATGAAGGAACTGAGGAGCAGGACTGAGTTCCCTTAGTCAGCTAGTAAGCATTTGCTAAGTCTGCTCAGCTGAGAGTAAGTATTGAGCAAAGCCAAGGTGCACACTTTGCTGGTTGTGGATTTGTAATCAAGATCACTGTCCTAAAGTCCATTTGGCTCTCTGGTGCCCTCCTGGAATGGGGCGTATAGAAATGGAGTGGTGAGCAAAACTCTCGCCTACAGTTATTCTGGTTTATACTTCATCTTGACTTAAAGAGATGCTGGGCAGCTGTGAGAGCATTTGATGTCGTTATTTGGGTCGGGTTATCTGGTTGGGTGGTGCCAGGGAGATAGCAGTCGCTTACGAAAGCAGGAACCACATTTTTTCAGTGAGAGCCACAGCCAGTCAGCTTCTAGGTTGAGTTGTTACAGGAAAACATTTCTGGGTGTCATGGAAAACAGTCATATTGGCTAATATCAGAAGTGCAGCTGGGGTGAGGGTAGCTCTTTGGGTGTTGAGTTTGAAGAGGCAGTTCTTCCTCTGGAGGAGACTGGGCTTGCTATGATTAGTTCCTGGGGAAGAGGCTACTGAGATGCAAGGAATCTTTATTATTGTCTAGCCCAGATGGGTGTTACAAGTTAGTTGATAAGTATTTTTTCTGCTCCCCCATTCAGCCATGATAATAATAAAAATAAATGCTTTTTGTATGGAATTTTATAACTTAGAAAAATTATGAAAGTATTTTTTTCATGCACTTTTTCTTCTTCCCCTATGACCTAGTAAAGTAGGACTATATAATACTATTTTTCTCTTCATTTTGTGCAAGAGGAAATTGAATCTCAGAAAAGTTAAGTAATTTACCCACGAAAATTAGTTAAGATTAGAAGTAAGTTTTGAAATACTACTCTTGCCACATACTGTGGTGATACCACAACTCGACGAGGCTTTTTTTTTTTAAAGATTTATTTATTTATGCATACAAGAGCTGGGGTACAGGCCAGAGGTATGGAGGGTGAGAGAAGATTCACCAGAGACTGGAGTGGGGAACAGAACAGGCAGATTGAAATACACTGCAGAGGGGAGCAGCAGGCAAGTCAGGAAAGGTCGGCTGCACCATGCACCAGCCAGGGTAGCTCCCTGGCTGGGGATTGAACTGGTGCTGCAGCAGTTGCAGACACTTTCACAGGTTGCGTCTTAACCCCTTGCACCACCAGGGAGGCCCCATCACCGAGGGCTTATTGAGTTCAAGTCTGCAGGATGTGCTGGATCTTATCTGGTTCCATCACTTGCTGTGTGACGTGGGTACTTTTGCTCACTGTGTGTCAGTTTTACCCACTGGGTTTCATCATCGTAGGGCATAGTGCAGGGTTACCCCCCCGGTGGAGGGCAACCCACAGTTTCCCTGTCAGAACAGCAGGTCTTAGAATTAGGAGGGGTGAAGCCTGCAAAACATGATGTGAATAAGAGAGGAGAGTTTGGTTCTGGAGAGCAACACAGGGTCAGGAGTGGAACACAGGGTCAGAAGCAGAAATAGAAACATATAGAAGTAGAAGGGCTGAGTGCACAGTCTGTTTAGCTCACCGAGCAAGCAGAGAAAGGAAAGAGAGGGAGGGAACACCCACTGTGTGGGAGGCACTGTTTACTCTTGCTGTTTAATACTCCACCAACCCTGGGAGAGGGGTGCATCCTCTTCCTTTCATTCAGGAAGAGAGACTTGATGAAGTCAAGTAACTTACCCAAGACCTTACAACTGGTAGGCAGTAGAGGCTGGTTTGGGTCAAATTATGTAACACTGTTATGTGATGTCCTTTCTACGGAAAGGAATGAGAACCAAAAATGGCCCGTGAGGGACAAAGCACATCAACCAGGGTGATCTGGAGGCAGCTGTCGGCCGTCTTAAGTGTAGACTTCTTGCCTAATGTCGGGTATAGCGTTTCCTGCCCCCTATATTCCCAGAAATCTTATGAGTGGGGTCTGTGGGGTGGCCCCACCTTCCAGGCATTAACCCATTTTTCATTCTCTCAGAGGACACGGGCAAGGATGCCGTGAACTGCACCTACAAGAACGAGGATGATTGTGTTGTCAGGTTCCAGTACTATGAAGACTCCAGTGGAAAGTCCATCCTGTATGTGGTGGAAGAACCAGGTGAGTGAGTCCTGAGGACCCCAACCTGCTCCCAGAGAGGTGGAGAACAGTGTTAGACCGTGGTTTCCACTCCTTATGCTCCTATATAGAACAGCCAGGCTAGACCTGCCCTAACAGGTGAGCCTAGAGCTTGTCATCTGCATATGGAAGAATGTAGTAATACAAATATTAGCAAGAAAGTGACTTGCTAATCGAGGACAGGAAAATAAGGTGGGCAAGGAGAGGAAGAAGATAGGTATGCACCCCCTCAAGGAACGTTTTTTGAGATGATAATGTTAAGAATCCAAGAATATAAATTCTAGGGCTTTCCAGCACAAGGTATGTCTCTACTAAAAATTACATGGGTGCCAGGAGCAACCTGCCTGCTGCTTCTGGTTTGAGCAGAAGACCTTCTCAGGGTCAGCAGGAGACATGGGAAGGGTTTGAGGCACCAACCCATGGCTGCCCAGAACATTGAGGAGGTAGTGCTCGCTCTCAAGGCCCTCTGGAGGCAGGAGCTCATCCCACCCACACAAACTATAGGTTTGTCACCCTGCAGCACGTAGATTGCTTGCTTTTCCTTACTGCCTTCATCTCCTTCCTTTTCTTTAAACAATAGACTGAGCTATGAATCATGAGAAAATATTTTTTGAATACTTTTTATAAACCAGGCACTGTACCAGCTTCTGGGAATATCACAGAGGCAGATGCGGCGCTCACAGGCTACAGGGGAGAGAGGCATGTAAATCAGTGACCTTGCAGAGGGAGAGGGCTATGGGATGGGACCTGTGAGCTTTTTCTGTGAGGGGCCCCCATATTACACCTTGAAGTTTGAGGGCCCTTTGGCCTTGGCCTTGACTACTCAACTCTGCCTTGGAAGCAGGAAAGTGGCCGTAAGCTCATGTAAATGAGGGGGCGTGGCTTTATTTTCAAAAACAGGTGACACGCTTATTTGGCTCATGGGCCATCTCCCCCCTGCTTTTGAGCAGTGGTTCTCCAACTTATGTGATAATAAAGTGAAAATCGAAATCAACAAGCACTATAACCAGAGACACACTACAGGGCGGGGAGGAGAGAGTAGGATCAAAACAAGGGGGCGTGGGAATTGTATGGGGACTGTAACCAAGATGAAAATGCATACATTGTGCAAAAATAAAAAAATGATGTAAAAATATATAAAATTAAAAAAATAATAAAATAAAGTTAAAAATGAAAACATGCAAAAAAAAAAAAAATACCCAGAGCGCTGTGGCTACTTCTATACAGCTTCTGCCTCAGCTTTTTGATAGCGCTCCTGGTGGTTGTGATACAACCACCTCTAGGTGACTTTGCTTTCGACACATCACATCCCCTACGGGGCCTTCTCAGACCCTGAGCAGGTCTGGTGTTCCTGTTTGCTTCTCACAGCAGCTTTGGGGGCCTTTATCATGCCCTTAAATTGCTTCTTTAATCATTTGTTTCCCTCCTTAGGTCATAACACAGGGGCTGTGTCTGTCTTATCTATTGTGATATCCGCATACTAGGCTCAGACATCTACAGAGATAGTATTTCTTAAATGGTTTTGAATGAATTCATAGGACCTGTGATTCCCGGGAATCAGGCGGGCTTATAAACATCTTGATATCTGTGGGAAGAATTCTGGCTGCTTGGAGAGGGAAGGAGGTGGAGGTGGGGGAAGAGCTGCTATATCTGTGTCGCCCAGGGTGTGGCTGTCCCCATGGGTGGTGGAGAGCAAAGGGCCCGCATCTGTGATACTGTTCACATACCTTTCCTAGAGCGCTCACCCCTTACAAGGGAGAAGGAAGGTACCCAGGGAAAGTGGGTGTGGGGCAGGGAAGAGAGGAGAGCCTGGGTATGCATCTTCGGGGAGCAGGAGGGGTTCATTTAGTCACGACATCTCACACTTTCCCATCCACAGGTGTGAACGTGGACTTTTCCACATTCTACCCCCTACCTGTACCTTTGTCCCTTCTCATTTCAGAAGGGTGGGGTGTTCTTACTTTCTGGTTTAACATCACTTCGTCTGTTTATTGTAATGATCTTTGCTGGATGTCCTGATTACCAGAATCATTTGGCTTGGTATTTGGTGACTGGACTTATGGGGAACAAAGATGATGATACCCTGGAAGGGTCTAAGTAACCCCCAGGGGGGAACGTTTCTGGCTGACTGCCAGTAGACTCCTTTTTCCACATTAGGAGATGGTACCCAGACCCACATTTCCTATCTTGTTGCTCTAGAATTCCAAGTTCCGCGTCTCCTCTCACCATCACTCTGAACCGTTTTCAGGGGCCCTGACTTTTTTTTTAAGATTTATTTATTTATGCATACAAGAACTGGGGTACAGGCTAGAGGTGTAGGGAGGGTGAGAGGGTTCACCAGAGACAGAGTGGGGAGCAGAACAGGCAGATCTACTGAAATATACTGCTGAGGGGAGCAGTGGGCGAGACAGGAGAGGTCTGCTGTGCCATGTGGGTCAGCTCCCTGGCCAGGGATCAAACTCATGTTTCAGTGGCTGCTGATAGCTACATATCACCGAGACCCAACTCCCTGTGCCACCAGGGAGGCCCAGGGGCCCTGGGGATGCACTTGAGGATGCTCTCTTGGCATTTTATGAGGCTGCTGCTGGGCAGTCAAGGGAGGACTCCCTGGGGTTTGCCAGGGGCCAGGCACTGATCAGCCCACATGGGAGGGGTTCCCTGGAGCTGGGCCTTATCACTCCCAGATAGAGTCACCTGATAAAATACCCTGTGCAACATTTGGCACATACCTATGCTAACAAGTTATTCAGTGTTTATTTGAAATTCGAATTTAACTGGACTTCCTGTGTTGTTTATCAAAACTGCCAACCCTTCTGTGACCTTGGATGGCCCTTCATGGGTGCTTCCCACTGTGGCCGGTGGTGCTCCAGAGACCACCTGATTTATTTTCGGCTTCCAGGAATCCAACTATCCACCCTTTCCAGCGAAGATAACTGATTTCCACCCTTTCTCCCCAAGACCTCCTGGCATTCTACCTGTCCTGCCCACCCTAGCATTGTTAGGAGTTGGCACCTCCACTCCGTCCAGGGTTCCCAAAGACCACACGGAGCCAGAGATGCAAAAGCAAAAAGGCTTTATTGCTAGCTTAAGCTAGGTCCCACCTCCTAACAGCATAACAAAATCCTCTTTGAGGCTTGAGGGTCAGCTCTATCTCAGGCTCCCAGAGAATTCACAATTGCTTTTCCCGGAAGAACTGGGTCCCTTGACTCCAGGGCACCCAGACACTGGAACCTCATAGCCTCTATACAGGCGTTTCTTTAATTACAGACAGGTTGTAATTTGATGGCTTGGGAAATAGCCAGCGTGGGTTTGTGGTGATGCTTGTTTTTGAGTGGTATGTGGTGAGCACAGGGTGTGTGTTTAGAGAGGGTTGGAGACAGTGTGGAAAGTGGGAGTGAGTTCCTCTCCAGACATATCAACACTCGCACACAAACACCTAATTACATAACACCTGAGCAGTCTCTGGAGCCAGATCACCATCAGACACCTGCGGTTTATGGGAAGCAGAGCTCTCCAGGGTAAACTCAGCTTGGCTCCCACAGGGTGACGCTCCTCTGTCTGTGTTGACTGGGGTTGAACAGGAAGTCGGCTCTCAATAGGGCTAGGATTTTAGATGACTAAATATTTTGGGAAGGAACCCAAAATATTGTCTTGGTTGGCAGGCCTCCTCGTCTCTAAGTTGCTAACCAGGTCCTTAGGTTCCCAGTTTTCAGGGATATAAATATCTGAATCAGGGTGACAAACTTAAATGCCTACAAGAGCTAGGGTAGTAAATCGGAGAAACAGCCAGTTAGAAGAAACACCAGCAGTAACTGCAGCTGAAGTTCATTTATTTATTTAAAGATTTATTTATTTATGCATATGAGAACTCAGGTACAGGCCAGAGGTGCGGGGGGGGGGGTGGGGAACGGGAGGAAGGGGGACTGTGAGTGAGAGGATTCACCAGAGACAGAGTGGGGAACAGAACAGGTGGATTGACTGAAATACACTGCTGAGGGGAGCAGCGGGCGAAGGCAGGAGAGGTCTGCTGCACCATGTGGGTTAGTTCCCTGGCCGGGGATTGAACACATGCCGCAGTGCCGCAGTGGCTGTCAATAGCTTGATAGTGCTAAGACTTAACCCCTGTGCCACTAGCGAGGCTCAAAAGCAGGTGCCCACAGTCTCTGTTTACCATACTCAGAACAGATGACCACCCTAAAGATTTGACCACGCCTTGAAAAAATTAATCAGCTCATTTTATAAATTCTGTTCCTTTTAGAGAACTTTCTAGTACTTTGTCAAGACAGTCTTATCCATAGCCAGTTCCAGTGATTTCTGCTCCCTTCACAACCACCCTGCTCTGTATTCTCTCCTGACAGAGTGTCCCAAGGGCCCTGACATCCTGGTGGTCCTGCTTTCAGTGATGGGGGCCATTCTGCTCATTGGCCTTGCTACTCTGCTCATCTGGAAGCTCCTCATCACCATCCATGACCGGAAGGAGTTTGCTAAATTTGAGGAAGAGAGAGCTAGAGCAAAATGGGACACGGTAAGAGGCTGGGCTGGGCAGGGCTTTTTTTTTTTTTTTTTTTTGAGGTGGAGGCGGCAGAAGCTTAGGTGGTCAGGCTAGCCAGCACCACAGTTTCCCAGGTAGGCGCTTTTCTGGAAATTGCAAGGTGGTCAGACTGTTCCATGGTCCTTATACCTCCTGAAAACCACCTGATTCTCTCTCTATCCCTAGTGACCATGGGCCACACCAGTGAGTGTGACTGAGCAAAATAGGACCAAGCTCTGCTCTGAACACTGTTGAGAGATGAAAAAGGCAACTTATTCTTCCATTGAGGGAGACAGGACAAACTAGAGAATCCTGTATTAAGGATATACAGTACATTACATACTAACAAAGTCCAAAGCATTAAACACAACCAAAAAAAAAATACAATAAAAGCTAACATTTTTGAGGATTTACCATGTGTCAGGAACTGATCTAAATGCTTTTTATGTATTAATTTTTTCATCCCTGCAACAACCCTATGTGGTAGGCAATATTATTCCCGATTTGTAGATCAGAAATTGAGTACAGAGAAGTACATTTTATGGCTATAGGAGGCAATTAGGTTATGACAGGAGTTACTTTTGGGGTCAGCCTTTTAGAAATAGTAGCAGCATGGCATTCTACCTTCTCTCTCCTCTTATTTCCTCCCAATTTCCATCTGAAGAGTGAATGTGAGACTAAAATGAGTGTTAAGCTGTTTATCAGTGGTATTCCAGAGAGCAAACTTCTCAGACAAAAGATAAACTTGAGGGGAGGAAAGAATTGAGGATTCGCTGTAACACACTCTTCTGTCCTCTCTGCAGGCCAACAACCCACTGTATAAAGAGGCCACTTCCACCTTCACCAACATCACCTACCGGGGCACTTAGTGACCAGCTGCCTTCCTCAGATCACTGTCAGACTGTCCCAGGATTGTGGGCGTCTCTGCTACCATGTTTACAGGGACACTAACTGTGGGGCAGGACTGGGGGCTCGGAGTGGGGTGGGTTGGGAGAATGTCAGCACGTGGGAGTGTGGGTCTCTGTGCCTGTGTGTGTGTGCATGTGCTGGGGGAATGTGTAATTTAAAATTTGCGATGTGTTCCAGATAGAGCTCCTCAGCCTTCGTCCTCAGAAACTCTCTTCAGGGATTCTTCCTGCTTTACCTGAGAGTGGCCTACATAGCTAAACAGATGTTTTTCATTACCTCAGTGAGAAGTCAACTTTCCTTCTTGTGCCGTTCTCCCTGTAGAGAAGGGCAGGGCCGAGGCCTCTATTCCAGAGGAAGAAATAGCAAACTTTGACTCTACCTGAGATTTTGGTCCTTGGTCTCAGTGGCTATGGTGGGAACTACTGGGTTTTGCAGACTGTTGTCTCACCTGAACCCCCCGTCTTCTTCCCCTTCCCTCAAGTGGAAGGAGGAATCTGGAGAGAGCAGAACTGCCAGAGCTGCCTATGCGTTTAACCATCACCTCAGTCCAGCATGGTTCTCTCTGAAGGGGAGTCCTTGCTACCTAATTCTTCAGTCCCTTGGGTGTGAGGAGGGCAGGCCCCCTCAGGGGTCATGTATGCCAGGGTCTGCAAATCATGATCAGAGTCCTTCAGATTTGCCCTCATAAGCAGTTCTAATCTTGAGGTGTGTTACCCTTGGACCAGCACCACCTCTTTACCTCTAGCGTGCTCACTCTCACTGTTATAGACAGTTGCTATGTGGGAATTTCTCCCAGGAAGAGTGCTATGGTTAGAACTAGAGGTCTGGCTCCCTCTCCTCCCCCTCCCCCCCTCTTCAGGTATTCTGCTCCTTGTCTACAGCACCTCCACAAGCCCAACCCTGGGTTTATGTGCTATATTCATCCATGGGGCTAATTGCATTTATCTACCTCTTGGGTGTCTTATGAAGGAATCTCTACCGTGGGTCTCTGAGTCCGCTGGACTTAAGTCCAGGGTGAAATGACGGGCCAGTTGTTTCAGCATATGTGGCCTATTCTAATGACTGGGCAACCTCATTTTAACTCAGTCTTTAATCTGAGAGGCCACAAGTGCAATTCTACATACTTTTACTCATTGGGCACCTGAAACCACGATGAGGCTAGCGTAACCTAAAGGAACATGTATATAAACACACTTGCATTATATCTGTGATTTTATTTGATGAGGAGGAAGGAGAATATAAAAAAAAATCACAGACTCGATCAGGGTAGAGGCACTCCCCTTTGGCATCATTCATAGCAAGTTGCTGCCCAGTTTCTGGGTCTGTAAGGTCTTTCTTATCCTAAATACCTGTGGGGATGAACATATGGACATGCCAGTTCAATATTAACAACCATCCTTTCCCTTTGAGGAAGAAAGGACGGACCAGTTAACAGTTGTCTGATGATCAGAAAATATAAGTCCTGGCCTCACTATTGCAACCAAGGAATCTTTGACCTTAATTAAGGTTATCACTTCTTTCTCTGGGACTCCATTGTTTAGTGATAGGTTTCGTCCAGATAGTCTAGAAGGTCTCTTTAAGTGTTAACATCCTAAGCTGCTGGGCCATACTATGGCATCAAACCTGCAGATTTTGTGGGATGTTGAAACTCTATGTTATTTCAGTTGGGAGGTATGAGAGACCTGGCATTGGCAAGAGATATCATTCCATATTACCCTTCTCAATAAACCAGCCTCATTCTGTCCTCTCTTAGAACCCCTTCTCCAACTTTTGTTAGCAGATAACATCTCCACTGTGTTATTATTTCTAAATTCACTTTGCACACTTTCGCATCCATGTATTAGGTGATGAGGCATCCAGAAGTAGTTGAAAGGTGTATTCTGTGTCCACGTTCTGTGTCTCAGTTAATACTGAAAATAAGTCTTAAACTGGGAATGGGGCAAATGACCAAGCCCTGTCTCATTCATGGATTATTGCTTGCTGTAGGGGGTAGTAAAGGGGTAGACAGATAAATGGGGGAGGGTTGAGCACAGTTCCAAGATGTTTAGAACTTGGCTGTAGCCTTCAGCTATAGAGCCAAGAGTACATGAAAGTAGTGGTTGGACATTTTTTGAGATATATTATATGAAGAAACTCTATCAGAGGTGGAAGCATATGTATCCATCCCAAGGATGAAAAAAATCAGTAGGAACCTTGCCTAAGCTTCTGGAATGAGGCTTATGGCCTTGAAGACCAGTACTGTTTATTTATGTGTGGGGAGAGCTCAGAGTTGTATTCATGAAATAGCAAGTAGCAGTCAGTTTTGCCATCATGTAGGGTGAACATCTAAGCAGTATTTTAGCATCTAACAACACTACCCAAAGAAGGTATTTGTGCCCATCTCTTCTGGAAATAATTTATTTTCAATCTCAGGGTTCATGGACAATAATGCAAAACTTTGAACATTCCTGACAAGTTGTCACATAAGGAGTCTGTCCTTTACCTCTCAGTTGTTTCTAGATGATCCATGATTTCAAGATACTTCTCTTTGTTAAGTATTCGTGAATTTACTTAAGTGTCGTCCTGACTGCCTAACCACTCCTTGTGTTTGAGTTGTGCAACAGTGAATTAAATGTGCTTTCATTTAATGGCCTATGGCTGCCCTGTGCTTCCTGTGTTGTTATTTCGGTTTCCTTTGGGTGAAAAGAATAAGTGTCATTGCCTCAGAAATGATTATTTTAGAACAAACATGTTTCCAAATGTAACAGAATGATGACTACCATAGGAACTGGAACTTTTTTTTTAGACTTTAATAACATTTTAAAAGTGAGTAGGTTGTTACTGTTCTAGGAGTTTTTGTTTTTCAAACTGGAGATTATTTCAGACCACATGTAATCTCACAGATCAGATTGTCCATTTAACCTAGGTTTTATTTGCAGAAAGCACAAATTGGTAAAATAAAGGTTTAATGGCGAGTTATTTACAGCATCATTTAAATACCTAACTTTGATTTAGGGCCGTGGGTCTCACAGTATGGTTCTAGAACCAGCAGCATTAATAGCAATTGGGGAATGTTAGGAATGCATATTTACAGGCCCCATTCCAGAACTGCAGAGTCAGAAACTTTGGGGGTGGAGCCCAGTGATTTTTTTTTTTTTTTTAAATAAGCCCTCCTGGTAATTCTGATGCATGATCCAGTTTGAGAACAACTGATTCCTAGCTTAGAAGTTTACAGCAAGTCAGCTCAGCTCAATTACTTTAAGGTTAAGAACAGAAATTGTCTTACAGAAATTGTCTTCAGAAAATCAAATATATGTCCACAAAACATAAAGATCTACTTTTGTTCTATTTCCCAAGTTAAATGATCACAGGCTTCTTGGGTTCACTCACAGCCACAAATTTCCATGAAAAACTAAAAGAAGTAATAGTTCAGAATCACAGAGAAAAAACTGCCAATAGGATACTTGGCAGGCACCTAAAACTTTTTATGTGCATCAAGCTGAAGCTAGAAAATACTCTTACAGCATTAATTGTTAACATTAATGTCTTAGAGGATGCAGAAATAAGACTTTAGAATTCCATTTTTTGTTATTTAAATTTTATTTAGCACCAACAGTGTGGGACTGAAGTACTTTACAGAGCACTCATAAGGTAATCTCTGCCTTTGAGTCCTACATTCTTTCCATAATGTACATTTTTTTTAAACACAGTACAATGCATGACATCATAAAAAGATTATGTGAACACAGACAGACCTTTTATGGTGAAAATTTGTAAGATTTACTTTGTTTTATTTACATGATGGTGACTGATGACTAAATGTCTATGAAAATGGAGGATTTTATGTGAAAATGAAGTGAAAAGCTGTATGTCAAATCATATTTGTAATCCTTTAACTCTTGACTTCTGTAGTCCGACCTCTATAGTAGCTAGTGACCACATGGACCATTTTAAATAGATCATCTTGAAATTACAGTATGTTCATTTTTATGTTTTATAATGATGTAAGGAAAAATAGTATATATTTGAAGTCACTTAATACTTTTGAAAATAACTTCTATTTGGTTTGTAATATGCATATGTATATATATTTATATGCAAATACATGTATTTCTGGAAACATATATCCCTAATTTTAGTTTGACGACCACATATGGAGGCAGTCTTAAATGTATGTGATTGGGGTTAACCACATTGTTAAAGAAAATTTAAAAATCCACTTCACGTGGTTCTCAGGAATGTTTGTATGTGAAAGGAAAACATTGGTCAGGAATATGATTGCACTCTTTGCAGCTGCTAATGTCCTAGTGATGTCTCTCCAATCTCCTGCATAAAAGAAACATTTTTAATCAGATGTGTATTTTCTGACAGTACACTAACGTACACACGTGGTATATAGAGAGGAACATTTAGGAAATTTAAGAGTTTTTAGGCAAAACCTCCATTATAAATTATTCTTTAGCAGTGTCCCTGAAAAGGACTTTGTAAGAGAAAAGTTTCATATTTTCCCCCTCTGATCTATTAGTTGGGTTTCCCCATGATTCATACACAATTTGGCACGATTCTTTGGAGAGGTCAGTGATGGTTGCAGAAAGGTCCTTTAGCAGCCAATGGAAATATTTTAAGAAAAAGAACAATATTGATTTGCTGTTCCTGATTCTGATAACCACTTTGTGACAGATTATGAATTGTGCTCCAGAATCTTTTCCCCTTTTCACATAGTATCAGACTCTTGATTTTTAGTTGGGCGCACGCGACTCAGAATAAACACGATCTGCGGGCCTCCCTTGCAGGTGAGCGCGCCGCGGCCCCTCACCGACAGCGAGAGGTGAACGAGAGGAGCAGGCGATGCCCAGCAAATGCCATTTCTGGGAGGGCGCATGGCTTTCTTACTCTCAAAAGCCATCCTTCGGCCCCTGGAAGGCAGCGGGAACAACTTTCAGAAAACGTAAAGCGGTGGGACAAACGGCTTCGAGCCGTTGACCAAGCGAGAAGGACGGGCCTCTTCACCAGGGAGGGCGGGAGGGAGGCAAAGCCTGGCCAGAGGCGAACACTGCAGGGGGCTCAGGTTCCCGGGCCCGGGCGCCGGGGGCGGGCAGCGCCCGGGAGAGCAGGTGCGGGCGCGCGGGACGAGACGCGGCGCCGGGAGGCGGGCAGCGCGCGCGGGCCCAGGCGCCGGGTGAGGTCACAGGCCCTTGTGAGGTGGGGCGGCCGGGCCGCGGCGCGGCAGGCGGCAGGCGGCGGGAGGCCGGCCGCGCGGGAGCCCGCGAGCGGCGGGTGCGGAGGGGCGGCCGTGCGCTGGCCCCGCGCTCCCCGGGGCGGCTCGGTGGGCGGAGCGTCGAGCCCGAGCAGGCCCGGGGCGGGGCCTCGCGGCGCGGGAGTCTGGAAGGCGGAGCCCGAGAGCGCCGGGCGCGGGAGCGGCTGAGGCCCGCAGGTGGCACCTGCCCGCGGCCGAGGAGCCGACTGCCGGCGGTGAGGGGGGGCGGGGGGCGGGGAGTCCCCGTCAGGCCACCGAGTAGGGAGGCGAGACTGACTGAGGAGAAGGGAAGAGCCTCCAGGCGGAGGGCGAGAGGGCGACAGCGTGCGAGGGACGGAGTAGAGCAGTAACGGACTGGGGCCCAGGTTCCAGAAAGGGCAGTCAGGTGACAGACCAGGGGCAGCCTGCGGGATCACAGGCCTGTTCCTGAGGTCCCTCAGAAGTGTCGATCATTCTAGAAGGTCTGGAGGTCATGTGGTCGGGAACGACCCTGAGCGCTGCGCAGACACTGAGGTCCCTCCTGGGACGCTTCATTCTCTAGTTATTGGCTCCAAGTCTCCTCTCTCCAAAGAAGTCACACGCTGCCTCAGGGCACAGCCCGTGGAGTCCCCCGGGGCGTAGGGGCCTGTATGAGGAGGATGCTCACCCACATTCCTTATGCATGGACGATAATGGGGGTGACCCATGTGATGGTGGAGCGTTAATGGCAGGAGATGGAGTGAAGTTGTGGGTGCAGTTCCTGGTTGTGGACATGCGGGCCACGGTGCTGGAAGCGCGAGGGAGGGTGGCTGTGAGGGAGGTGGTGTGAGAGGAAAGCCCGGCCGTTCTTTTGTTGTTGTTGTGTATTTATTTTTATTTTATTTTATATATTTTTTACATCATTTTTCATTTTTGCACAATGTATGCATTTTCATCTTGTTTATAGTCCCCATACAATTCCCACCCCCCTTATTTTGACCCTAATCCCTCCTCCCCGCCCCCCAGTGTGTCGCTGGTTTATAGTTGCTTGTTGATTTTGAATTTTACTTTATGACTCGATCAAGAAGATGTGGTACATATACACAATGGAATATTACTCAGCAATCAAAAAAGATAAACTCATGCAATTTGTAGCAACATGGATGGGGCTGGAAGGGATCATGCTCAGAGAAATAAGTCAGAAAGAAAAAGAAAAATACCAGGTGTTCTCATTCATAGCAGGAATTTAGAAAACCTAAATAAGGGACCAGGAAAAAGACTAATTATAATAAAGCCGGGCTGTTCTTTATGGGGTGTCACCCTATAGTGATTAGAAAGCAGCAGCCAGTTGGTCTGTGAAGGTGGGGACAGGCAGGTCGCCACATAAGTGTGACTGTGAAAGCACAATGTGCTTTAAATGAAATTTAAAGCACTAAATGAAATCAAAACAAATATTATACTTTGGGAGTTTTTTTGGATTCTTCCTTTTTCTGCCTCGGCTCTCCCTGCTGGTTTACTAAGAAGCAGTGGATTTGGGGGTTTGGGTTCGGGAGTCAGAGGCCTGGGTTTGATACCATTTTTTGTGCAGAATGTGTGAGCAAATAACAGCCTCTGTGTATCAGTTCCCTCAATCTAATTAAAGAATTAGACTAGATTTTTCAGGTCAATCTGCAATTGAACAATAAACAAGGAATCCTCCCATTTGAGGATATTTAAAAAAAAAAAAAAGTCACCTGCTGTTGTTCTTACTTCTCACCTGCCTACTCAATTTTAGTTTCCTGGTCAATAATTAAAACCATTCCCTTACAGCCTCCCCCACCCCTCACCCCGTTTCCTAGTCACTTTTTCAGTTCCTTTTACTTTCTTGGCTAAATCATAGATTAAATCTAGATCTCTGCGTTCTGAGTGCCAGCATTTCTGTTTTGAAGGTGCTGGAGAAAAACAACCATGCTTATTGGTTTCACTCTAAGTTCATGATTGGTAAGCTCAGGAGGCCCCGAGATTCCCCTGGATTATTAGTTCTTCCACTCTCCTTGATCATTATTTTATTATAATGCCTCTCATCTCAACAGTCTCGCAACTCCTTTCCACACCCTTATTCTTTCTTCTTGGTTCAGTAAGAAAACTAGAACAATTAGAGATGGTTTCCACAGCGTCCCATAAACACATCTCACATACTTTAGGTGTAATTATGCCCAGTTACTCTGTCATATCTCCTATTAACATGTACGTTCTTCGCTGAGGCTAAACCCTCTTCTTGTTCCCTAAACCCCATCTGTTTTCTCCTACTTGAGAATATTGTCTCCCGCGTGAGAATCATTTTACCCTCCTGTATGATCACTTTTTTGCTCCCCTACCAGATCATTCCTATCAGTATATGAACATGCTTTAGCTACTACCCTATTTCGCTTTCCCTTTAGAGAACAATTCCTTCAAAGAGCCCTCTCTACTGTCTCCAGCTTTTCTCCCTTATTCTCTCTTGAATTTACTCTTAGGACCTTATCTTCATGGTGTACCATCCAAATGGCTGCCTTAAGGTTGTTGGTCTTCTCCACATTGCAAAACCTAATGAGTCATTCAGTACTCATTTTACTTAACAGTAGATTTGTCACTAATTATTACTCATTCTTTTGAAGCATGTTTTTTTCCCCTTGGTTTTTAGGAAATCAGACCTACCTGATTTTTCTCCATAGAAACTACAGTGATTCTTTCAGAAAGGACTTTAGATCATGTCATCTCTCTGATGGAAACTGCATGGCTTCCATCTTCTCAGAGTACAAACTAAAGTGCTTATCTTCATCAAGAGACTCTCCATGATCTGCCTCCCTCCCTTGAAATCTCGCATCTCCTCTTCTTTCCCCATTTGCTTTCTCTGCTTCAGCCTCTTGGGCCTTCCCACCGTTCCTTGACTATTCAGGCTCCTTGCTTCAGAGCTTTTATGCTTGCTTTTCTCACTAACTGAAATACCCTTCCCTATATTCATTGATTCTCTGCTTTAATTCTTTCAGGTCTGTACTCAAAAGACTCCCATTCAGTAGGGAACCTTTATCTGTTTCCTGCATCTCTAACACCCCCCCATAATAATTCATATTATCCTTCCCTTCTTTGTTCTTCCCCCTTAGTGCTTATTATAGATAACATGTTTTCCTTATTTTATTGTCTCTCCTCCTGACTAAAATGTAAACTTCATTAGGGCAAGAATGTTTATTTTTCTGTTTTGCTCACTGTTTTCCTGGGAGCCTGGAAGAGAGCCTACCTAGCACATAACAATAATGAAATATATTTGCATTTAATTCATGGGAAGAGGGATCAATGAATAGATGGAGAAGAGGGTGTATATATATGTTCCAGTAATAAAAGAGTTGAAAAGCCTGTTGTCAGGGGAAGAAACTTTCTGTGCTCTTTTTTTTTTTCCTCTTAGCTTGGAGAGGGTTATGTGGTGCTTGATTCATCTAGCTAAGACCTGCCAACTTGATAAGCAGATTAATAAGTTATCAAACAATTCTTCCTTTCAAAAATTACTTAAATCATGTTTACTCTGCTTAATTAAGTAGTTGGTGACTTAAGAACTCTTGGTTAGTTCAGTGGGGGGATGAATTCCTTTCTTCTTTTTCTCCCTTTATTCATTATACATATAACATAATGTAGTATTTTTTATATATATATACACACACACACTCACACACACACATATATATATGGCCTAGTGCTTGGTACTTTGAGTAATATTTCAAAGAATTATATCTTGTCCTTTCTTTAGAAATTTAGACTATAATTGATATAACAGCTATCTATGTGGTATATATTTAAATAAAAATATAAGACAAATGACTAGTGCCAGTTGAACAATGAAGACAAGAAGAATAGCAAAGGTGGTAAGTGCTATGCCCAGGAAGTTTAGAAGTGAAGATTGAACTGTTTAGAGAAGATCTAGAAGAGATTACCTGGAGTGAATTGCTTGAGAAACCTGTATAGCTTCCTAATATCTGCTGATATGGGTATTTTTAATCTGATTTCATTTTTTTCATTTTATTTTTTAATGTATTTTGAATTTCAGGGATCCTGGATATACCACATTCAACAGTAATAAACAGAAAATAGTATCCTTCAGAAATAAATAGGAAATTTAAGTATTATCTCTATCATATAGGAATATTAACACTTACAGTTAATACTTTATAATATGAAAATTTAACTAATGTAATAGTTTGTCAAATGTGACTCAGATATGAGTGAAAAAAATATGAAAATTTTGGCAATTTCTAAGTATTGGTTATCACATTTACACAAGGTGGAAATCTTTGGTTGAAACAGGCTAAGATATCTTTTGTTTGCAATGGTATTGTTTTAAGAGGCAATGTGTGGTCTTGAAGACTGTGGGCTCTTGAATCAAGCTGCCTGAATTCAAATCCTGACTCCACTCTTTGTTGACTGTAATTTTGGGCAACTTGATCTAAGTCTTTATTCTTCTCATCTTTAAAGTAAGGAAAACAATAATTTCTTAAAGAAGAGTTGTGAAGAAGAGAAGAAATAATTCTTGTCAAAGTGTTAATTGTAATGTCTTACATAGTTAGCTGCCAACATTAGTGATTACTGCTGTTATCACTTCTGTTCCCTGGGCTTCATTGAATAAATATTACAGAAATCCTCTACATTTCATGCCATTTGAATTTGGATTTATCTACTTCTCCTAATACCACAAAAGGTAAAATTAAGGGATTGAATGATTGAATGGTCCTTTGTTATTTATGATCTATTAATTGCTTTTTCTAACTTTTGTACACAGATCTGGGTAGGGGAAATGTCTATTAGATATGCCATAAGTGTTACATTGAAGGTAAGACTTCAGTTAGGTAGGTAAATATAGTTGCTTAAATTTCCTAAACAGGTATATGATTCATGATTTTTTTCATTCTCTCTCTCTCTCTCTCTCTCTCTCTCTCTCTCTCTGCAGGAAATCCTTTTGTGCTATTTCTCATTTACACTTGTTGAAGACCTTAGAGGTTTCAAGGGAAGAATTTATCTCTAAACAGAAAGATGGAAACTAAAATACATTTACTCTGCCAGGTATTTTTTCAAAACTTTCTAAAGATTTATTCCTTTCCTTTATTAGTTTATATTACCTCACATCCATAATCAGTAAGCAAATTCCTAGAGTGATAAGGTCATAGGATCTTGTCTAATAACCGAAGTGACTTTTGAGTTCTTCTAGTGGTCATATATTAAAATCTTATCCCAGTAATCCATGCAGTATCAAGAGATATTTTTGTGGTGTATTATAAGTCTTTTTGGGGATAAAGACCAGGATAATTTTTCAGGAGACCAGATTTAATTTACAGGAGAGGCTGTAGGTAATGTAATCAATGATATAGGAGTCTAGTATAAAGGTAATGTAAAAGATAGCAAGTTTTTTTAGTCTTCTTATCTGATTCAGGGGATGCTGCTATCCATTGGTCAGATCTGTATTGAATAAAAAAAAAATCTGAACTTGATAAGAAGGCACTTTTTTCTAAAGGATTGTCATAAGGGAGGAAAAGGATTTAATGAAATAAGAGGAGGGGGCACTGTTTCAATAGCAAAACCTGTGATCAAAAGATCTGCAGACATCTCAATAACTAGGCAAAAAAGGGATTTTATTTCATAGAGAGGAGTAAAGAAGGATAGATGAACTGGATATGGGAAAGTGGGATGAAAGAGTGGTGTGATTGGGTAAGTGTACTGGAGAATGTTTTTTTTGTTTTTTTGTTTCAATAATTTTACTTTTAGTATTTAGATCAAAATCCATTACTTAGGTTTGCAAAGCTCTTTATATTCTGTCACAATTTCCCTCTCCAGTCATAACAGGTTCACTTCTTCATTCTTTATACCTTAGCCATGTGGTATTTAGTATTTAGTATTTAGATCAAAATCCATTACTTAGGTTTGCAAAGCTCTTTATATTCTGTCACAATCTCCCTCTCCAGTCATAACAGGTTCACTTCTTCATTCTTTATACCTTAGCCATGTGGACTTTCTATCAAGTTCTACCTACCCCAAGATACTTAAATAAGCCATTTTCTCTGAAAAAATTCAGGTTTTCCTTTACTAATTAAATACTTTATGTTTCACTCTGAGGTCACAGTATTCTCTGGAGAGGCTGTGTGCTGGCTCAGGCTGAGGGTGAGCCAAAGTTCAAATGCCTGGAGGAAGGAGAGAATCTTTACCAAAGTTTGGTTAAAAAGCATTTTTGTCTGATTAATCAGCAGGATGACACTGTTCAGCTAATCATTTATGAGGCAAAGAAAAGCAATTTTGAGGGTGTTTGTATGTTTGACTTTGTCATAGGCAAACAAAGAGGTGTCATCCATTTTAAGTCTTAACTAAATCATATGGGAACCAGGATTCTTTGCGTTAATCCATTTTCCAGAAGCAAAAGAGTGAGGAGATTCCCTTAATTTTCACTGTTTTCCCTCTAGCAAGGCTCACAAAGAAAAAAAAGGGGCAAAACTCAAATAAATAGGATCATAAATGAAAGAGGAGAAATTGCAACAGACACAGCAGAAATCCAGAGGATAATTAGAGATTACTATGAACATTTATATGCAAACAAGTTGAAAAATCTAGAGGAGATGGACAAATTCTTAGAACTATACAATCATCCAAAGCTGAATAGAGAAGAAATAGAAAACTTAAACAAACCAATTACAGGCAGTGAAATCAAAACAGTAATTAAAACCCTCTCCCAAACAAAAGCCCAGGACCAGATGGTTCAAAGATAAACTAGTGCCTGTCCTACAAAAACTCTTTCAAAAAATTGAGAAAGTAATACTACCAAATACATTTTACAAAGCCATTATTATACTAATACTGAAACCAAAGACAAAAAACAACAACAAAAAAAAAAAAAAAAACAAAAAAAAAAACCCACCACAGGCCAACTCCCTAATAAACACAGATGCAAAAATCCTCAATAAAATCTTAGCAAACTGAATCCAACAATGCATCAGAAGTATTATACACCATGACCAAGTGGGATTTATTCTAGGGATACAAGATGGCTCAACATCTGAAAATCAATTACTATAATTCAGCATATCAACAAAAAGAAAAATAAAAACCATATGATCTTATCAATAGATACTGAGAAAGCATTTGATGAAGTCCAATATCCATTTATGATGAAGGCCCTTGAAATACTCAGGATAAAAGGTGTGTACCTGAACATAACAAAAGCCATATACAACAAACCTACAGCTAACATCATTCTTAGTGATGAAAAACAAAGCCTTTCTTTCAACTTCTAGAACAATACAAGGATATCCACACTCACTACAGCTTTTCAATACAATACTGGAAATCCTAGCTAGAGCAGTTAGGCAAGAGAAAGACATACAAGCAGTCCAAATAGGGAAAGAAGTAAAACTATCATTATTTGCAGATGATATGATAACATATAAAGAGAACCCTAAAAAAATCCATGGAAAACTAATTAAAACAATAAACCAGTTTAGTAAAATAGCATTTTAGTGAAAGATTTGACTCAGATGTCTTATTTAATTTATATGCAAAGAGAATATGACTGACCGTGGCTCTTGATTGCTCCCTAGGGAGAAGAAAATATTGAGTTATCCTGTGATGGTTCTAGTTCTTCTGCAACCAACTTACCATCAAAGAATATTGACAGCAAAAAATACATCACCTTTTCTAAAATGATAGAAAAGAGATTTTCACCTCAATTTAGGTGTTGGAAGCCAGAACACAAAAAAATGCAAGTTAAACTCTGATTGTACTTAATGGGATATACTTTTGCAAGCTTAAGAGAACCCAAAATGAAGCCCTTCACAGGGAAAAGAGAATGGAAATGGAGTTAATAATTGGTTATACCTATATGAAGTTCTGTAAAAATCCTAGTAGTGGGGAGTTCAGACATAATCCAGGTTGGTGAGCACATCCATGTAACAGGAAGGTGATACACCCCAAGTCTGTGAGGATAGGAGTTCTGTACTCAGGACCCTCCCAGACTTCACCCTTCATCTAGCTGTTCATTTGTATCCTTTATCATATCCTTTAATAAACTGGTAAACATGTAACTGTTTTTCCAAATTCTGTGAGCCCCTTTAGCAAATTTAGCAAACCCAAGGAAGGGGTTGTAGAAATTTCTGATTGCCAGAAGCATAGGTGACAGCCTGGACTTGCAAAAGGCATCTGAAGTGAGTTTTGGCGCAGTCTCATGAGATAAAGTCCTTAACCTGTGGGATCTAACGCTATCTCCGAGTAGATGATGTGAGAACTGAGTTTAATGGAGGGGCATCTGGCTGGTGTTGCAAAGAATTGTTTGGTAGGGAATCCCCTTCCCTTCCAATTTGGTGTCAGAAGCATTGCGAGTGTGGCAGTAGTTGAGAGTAAAGGAGAAATACAGGGGGAGAACTGGGTTTTTAGTATTTCTGTGTTATCACTTGTAATGTTTCCTCTTCCATTTCCATTTTATTCATGAGTCCTCTTTTTTCTTAGTCCAGCTAATCTTTGTTACCTTTGTTTACCTTTTGAAAACACCAGTTCTTAGTTTCATCAATCTTTTCTATTGTCTTTTTTTTTAGTGTTTAATTTATTTCTGCTCTGATCTTTTTTCCTTCCTTCTGCTAACTCTGAGCTTAGTTTATTCCCCCCTAGCTCTTTGATGTATAAAGTTAGATTGTTTGCTTGAGAGCTTTCTTTTTTCTTTCCGTAGTCATTTATCACTAAACTTCACTCTTAGAATTGCTTTTGTTGCATCCAATTAGCTTTCATATATTGTATTTTCATTTTAATTTGTCTCAAGATACTTTTAAATTCCCTTTTGATTTTTCCTTTGCCCCATTGGTGGTTCAGAAGAATGTCATTTAATCTCCACATATTTGTGATTTTCCTGGTTTTGTCCTTGTAATTGATTTCCAGTTTCATACTATGTGGTCTGGAAAGATGCTTCATATGATTGTAATCTACTTAAGTTTTTAAAGACTTGTTTTGTGCCTAACAAATGATCTATCCTGGAGAATTCTTGTACGCTTGAGAAGAATGTGTATTCTTCTGTTGTTGTATAGAAAGTTCTGTATATATCTATTCAGTTCATCTGGTCTAATGTCTTATTTAATTCTAATGTTTCCATTTGATTTTCTAGCTGGATTATATATCCATTATTAATAGTGGATGTTGAAGTTTCCCCTGCTATTATTATATTGTTGTCTTTACCTTCAGTACCATTAATATTTTCTTTATATATCTTTGTGCTGCTCCTGTATTATGAGTGTATAAATAATTATAATTGCTAAATTCTTTTGATTATTTCAGTCCTGTATCATTATATGATGATTGTCTATCTCTTATCACAGTCTTTGGCATAAAAACATGCATTAAAATTTATTTTGTCAGCTATAATTATAGCTACTTGTGACCTCTTTGGCTTTCATTTGCATGGAGGAACCTTTTCCATTCCTTCAACTTTCAGTCTGTGTGTTTCCTTAAAACTTAAGAGTGTCTCTTGGAGGCAGCTTATACTTGAGTCTTTTTTTTTTTGCATTGTTTTTGTTTTTTTATTGAGTAACAGTTTACAACACTGCATAGATTTCAGGTGTATAGTTTCTCATTTCAGCAATTGTATATTCTATATTACACCCACCACCAAATATCTAGCCACCATCCACTACCAAGCTATTCCATCTTCCCCTTTTACCTTCTAGTACCCACTGCTTTGTTGTCAGAGTCTTAAGTATTTGTTTTTGTTTCATTTGTTCAATTTTTCCCCTTATATTCCACAAGTGAAGGAAATCATGCAGTATTTGTCTTTCTCATTGTGATTTATTTCACCTAGCATAATTCCCTCAAATCCCTTCATGTTGTTGCAAATGGAAAGATTACATTGATTTGTTTTTTACAGCTCTCTTTTTTTTTTTTTTAACAAAGCTGAAGGGATAGGGATTACATTGAATCTGTGTGGAATTCCCTCCACATCTTCTTAATCCATTCATCATTTGTTGGGCATTGTTTCCATACTGTGGCTATTGTGAACAGTGTATGTTACACATCACACTCCTCACCAAAGCACCTTTTGTCTACCATGGTCCATTGTGTACCTTCCCCAATTTTTTCTCCCCATCTCTTCCCCCTCTGGTAGCCTCAATTCTATAGAGAAGCAGAAATTTTAAAAATCAATAAGAAAATAGGATAATTATTGAAAAACACCTTGTGGAAACACATATTAGAATATCTACGCATGAAATAATTGATACTGGAATTTGCTTCAAAATAATAAGGAATGGGAGTGGCAGTCGAGTTAAGGATGAAATAGGATTGTACATTTTAAAGGTGGGTGATGGATACATGAGCGATATCAGCACATTATTCTGTATACCTTTATATATGTTTGTAAATTTCCATAAATAAAATATGAAAAGAAAAAGGAAGAAAACAATTCAGGAATTATTCCAATTTTCTATGCAATTTAGGTATGAAACATCAATACTCCTATGTGAAGATGAAAAATCCTCTGCTATTTCAGGAGGGAAAATAGTCAGGAGAAGGAAAAATTTACAAGTGCAACTACATACTAAAAGACCCGAGGTAAATAAAGATATGGAAATATTTCTTTTGCTTTCAAGTGTTTTCCTTAGCCATCAAACATTCATTATGATTTAGTCCAAGTGTTAAAGTGCTAATCTTTTTTTTTTCATGTTTGAATCATTTCTATTTCCTTATTTATTTATTATTTTTTAAGTTAAATTTTATTTTTATATTCCCCATACAATTACAATCCCCTTATTTTGACCCCAAGCTCTCCTTTCTCCGCCCCCCACCCCCCATAGAGTGTCTCTGGTTCATAGTTGTTTGTTGATTTTGATATTTTCTTTCTTATAGTTACTCTTTTTCCTGGTTCCTTATTTAAGTTTTCTAGATTCCTGCTATGAGTGAGACCATCCGGTAGTTTCTTTTTCTTTCTGGCTTATTTCGCTGAGCATGAGCCCTTCCAGCTCCATCCATGTTGCTGCAAATTGCATGTGTTTATCTTTTTTGAATGCTGAGTAATATTCCATGGTGTATATGGACCACATCTTCTTGATCCAGTCATCTATTTTTGGGCATTTGGGTTGTTTCCAAAGCTTAGCTATTGTAAATAGTGCTGCGATGAACATAGGGGTACAGGTGCTCTTTGGAATTGATGTTTCTGTGTCTTTTGGGTAAATACCTAGGAGTGGAATTGCTGGATCATATGGAAGCTCTATGTTTAGTAGGTCAAGAAATCTCCACACAGCTCTCCATAGTGGTTGGATCAGTTTGCACTCCCACCAGCAGTGCAGGAGAGTTCCTTTTTCTCCACAACCTCGCCAACATTTGTTGTTGCTAGTTTTTTTTAATATGTGCCATTCTCACTGGCATAAGATGGTATCTCATTGTAGTTTTGATTTGCATTTCCCTGATTACAAGTGATGTTGAACATTTTTTCATATGCCTGTTGGCCATTTGCATTTCCTCTTCAGAGAAGTTTCTTTTTAGCTCTTCTACCCATTTTTTGACTGGATTATTTTCTTTGTTTTTGTTGAGTCTCATCAGCTCTTTGTAGATTTTTGTGATCCGTCCTTTATCATTAGTGTTGTGTGCAAAAATGTTCTCCCAGTCGGTGGGGTTTCTCTTTGTTTTTGTTATTGTCTCTTTTGCTGTGCAGAAGCTCTTTAATTTGATGTAGTCCCAGCTGTTGATCTTTGCCTTCACTATCACTGCTTTGGGTGATGTGTCTGTAAAGATGTCTTTGATGTGCATATCATGTAGTGTTTTGCCTATATTTCTTTCTATGTATTTTATGGTTTCAGGTCTTATGTCTAGTTCTTTAATCCATTTTGAGTTGGTTTTTGTGCATGGTGTTAGGTAGTAGTCAAGCTTCATTTTTTTGCATGTAGCGACCCAGTTTTCCCAGCACCATTTGTTGAACCAACTTTCTTTGCTCCATTGCATATTCTTTGCTCCTTTGTCAAAGATTAGTTGACCATAAATCTGTGGGTTTATTTCTGGATTTTCTATTCAATTCCATTGGTCTGTGTGTCTGTTCTTGTTCCAATACCATGCAGTTTTGATGATTATGGCTTTGTAGTATAGTTTGAAGTCTGGGAGTGTGATGCCTCCATTCCCTTCTTTTTTTTTCAGGAGAGCTTTGGCTATTCGGGGTTTTTGGTGATTCATATGAATTTCATCAATAATTGTTCTATTTCTTTGAAGAATGACATTGAAATTTTGATTGGAATAGCATTGAATCTGTATATTGCTTTTGGTAGGATGGCCATTTTAATAATGTTTATTCTTCCAATCCAAGAGCAGGGGCTGTCTTTCCATTTCTTTGTGTCTTCTTCTATTTCTTTTAACAGTGTTTTATAGTTTTCTTTGTATAGGTCCTTTACCTCTTTTGTTAGATTTATTCCCAAGTATTTGATTTTTTTTTGTTTTGATAATAAAAGGGATGGGTTTTTTTTTTTTTTTATTTCTTCTTCTTCAGATTTATTGTTTGTGTATAGGAAGGCTACTGACTTTTGCGTGTTGATTTTGTATCCTGCCACATTACTGAACTGATTGATGAGTTGAATTAGTTTTTCTGTGGAGTTTTTGGGGTTCTCTATGGATATTATCATATCATCTGCAAATAGTGATAGTTTGACTTCTTCTTTTCCTATTTGGATTCCTTGTATGTCTTTCTCTTGTCTTATTGCTCTGGCTAGGACTTCCAGTATTATATTGAAAAGCAGTGGTGAGAGTGGACATCCTTGTCTTGTTCCAGATCTTAATGGAATTGCTTTCAGCTTTTCACCATTGAGAATGATACTGGCTGTTGGCTTGTCATATATGGCCTTTATGATGTTGAGGTATGTTCCTTGTATCCCAAGAATTTCAAGGGCTTTTATCATGAATGGGTGTTGCACTTTGTTGAAAGCTTTCTCGGCATCTATTGATATTATCATATGATTTTTATATTTCTTTTTGTTGATGTGTTGGATAACGTTGATTGATTTTCGGATGTTGAACCATCCTTGTGTTCCTGGCATGAATCCTACTTGGTCGTGGTGAATTATCTTATGGATACATTGTTGGATTCTGATAGGTAAAATTTCATTGAGGATTTTTGCATCAGTGTTCATTAGGGGGATTGGCCTGTAGTTTTCTTTTTTTGTGTTGTCCTTGTTCGGTTTTGGTATTAGTGTAATGTTGGCTTCATAGAATGTGTTAGGTATTATCCCTTCCTTCTCAATTTTTTGGAAGAGTTTGTGAAGGATAGGCACTAATTTGTTTCTGAACGTTTGGTAGAATTAATTTGTAAATCCATCAGGTCCTGGGCTTTTGGTTTTGGGGAGGTTTTTGATTACCATTTCAATTTCGCTGCCTGTAATTGGTCTGTTTAGGTGTTCTATTTCTTCTTTATCTAGCTTTGGGTGATTGTAGAGTTGTAGGAATTTGTCCATCTCCTCTAGATTGTTGAACTTGTTTCCATATAACTGTTCATAGTAGTTTCTGATTATTCTTTTGATTTCTGCTGTGTCCGTTGTGATTTCTCCTCTTTCATTTATGATCCTGTTTATTTGTGCTTTTTCCCTTTTTTCCTTTGTGAGCCTGGTTAGGGGTTTGTCTATTTTATTTATTTTTTCGAAGAACCAGCTCTTGGTTTCATTGATCTTTTGGATTGTTTTTTTAGTTTCGATTACATTTATTTCTGCTTTGGTTTTTATTATTTCTTTTCTTCTACTGGTTTTGGGGTTTTTTTGTTGTTCTTTTTCTAGATCTTTGAGCTTAGAGATTAGGTTGTTTTTTTGAGTTCTTTCTTGTTTCTTGATGTGAGCCTCTATTGCTATATATTTTCCTCTTATTACTGCTTTTGTTGCATCCCATACATTTAGGAAATTGGTGTCCTCCCTGTCATTCAATTCAAAGAATTTTTATTTATTTATTTTTTTTAAAAAAGATTTATTTATTTATACAAGCACTGGGTACAGTCAGGAGCACGGGAGGGTGAAAGAATTCACCAGAGCCAGAGCGGGGAGCAGAGCAGGCAGAAGGACCGAAGTACACTGCTGAGGGGAGCAGCGGGCGGCAGATGAGGTCTGCATGCCATGTGGGACCCTCCTCCGGTGGCCGGGGAGCAGCCAGGGAGCAGCCGGGCATCGAACCGGCGCTGCAGAGGCTGCGGGCAGCTTCACAACCCAGCGCTCAACCGCTGCGCCACCGGGGAGGCTCAATTCATAGAACTTTTAAATTTCTTCTTTGATCTCCTCATTAGTCCAGTGGTCTTCCAGTAGTGTGGTTTTCAATCTCCATGAGGTAGGAGATTTCCTTGCCTTCTTTTTATGGTTTATTTCTAGTTTGATGCCTTCATGGTCAGAAAAGATGGTTGGTATGATTTCAATCTTGGTGTATCTGTTGATGTTTGTCTTGGGTCCCAGTATGTGATCTATCCTGGAGAATGATCCATGTGCGCTTGAGAAAAATGTGTACTCAGATTTTTTTGGGTTTAGTGTTCTATAGATGTCTGTTAAGCCCAAGCGCTCTAGATCCTTATTTAGAGCTTTAGTGTCTTTACTTATTTTTTGTCTTGTTGATCTATCCATTGTGGATAGTGGTGTGTTGAAGTCTCCCACTACGTATGTGTTTTCTCTGATGTCTGTTTTCAAAGATGATAATAGTTGTCTGATATTTTTTGGTGCTCCTTCATTTGGTGAATATATATTAATGAGTGTTATTTCTTCTTGAAGTATTGTCCCCTTGATCATAATGTAGTGACCATTGGGGTCTCTTTTTACATTTTTGAATTTGAAATCTGTTTTATCTGATATAAGTAGAGCTGTTCCTGCTTTCTTTTTTGGTCCTTTTGCTTGTAGGATTGTTTTCCATCCTTTAACTTTGAGTCTGTTTTTATCTTTTGTAGCTAAATGTGTTTCCTGGAGACAGCAAAAGGTTGGGTTTTGTTTCTTAATCCAGCCTGTGACTGACTCTGTCTTTTTATTGAAGAGTTTATTTAGTCCATTTACATTTAGAATTAATATTGATATGTTAGCATCTGTATTTGCCATTGTGTTTGTCTTTCTTTTGATTTTATTTATTTATTCTTTTAATAACTTTTTTTTTTTTTGGCCTTCTTTCATTGTTATTCGTCCCTCTGAGGTTCTGGCTTTAGGACTCCTTGTAGTATTTTTTGGAGTGGGGGTTTAGTCGTAATAAAATTCCAGAGTTTCTGTTTGTCTGGGAAGCTCCTTATTCTTTCTTCACAAAGAAAGGAAAGCTTTGCAGGATAGAGTATTCTTGGTTGGCATCTGTTGTCTTGAAGTCTGTTGACTATATCCCTCCACCCTCTCCTTGCCCATAGTGTTTCTTCAGAGAAGTCTGATGTCAGTCTGATTGGTTTTCCTTTGAATGTTATCTGTTTCTTCCCTCTTGCCAGCTTCATTATTTTTTCCTTGTCTTGGATTCTTGGGAGCTTTACTATTATGTGTCTTGCTGTATTTTTCCTTTCGTCATGGAAGTTTGGTGTTCTTCTTGCTTCTTATATATCAATTTTCAGCTCCTTCTTCACATTTGGGAAGTTCTCTTCAATTATTTCCTTGAATATTTTCTCTGTTCCTACATCTCTCTCTTCTCCTTATGGGATTCCTATAACTCTTATATTTCCTTTCCTCATGGAGTCAGATAGTTCCCGAAGTCTTTCTTCGGTCTTTTTCCTTCGTACTTCTCTTTCCTTTTCTGTTTTGGTTCTTTTTATTTCTGTGTCTTCAAGAGTACTTATTCGTTCTTCCATTTCATCTATTCTGCTTTCATTGCTTTTCCCAGAGTTCTTTAGCACCTCCATTAATTCTTTGATCTCCCGCATTTCTTTTACTTCCCTCTTTAAGGACTCAATTTCATTCTTCTCTGAGCATTGTTTTCTTTAATGACTTCCATCAGTTTTTTCATCACGGCAATTTTAAAATCTTTTTCTGGAAGGCCAGAAGTTCTTCCAAGTCACCGTAGTTGCAAGCTGGTGGGTGGGTTTTTTTTGTGTGGTGTGTCTTTTTTCTGAGGCGTTGCTACTTTGCTTTTAGTTTTTCTTTTCCCTGCTGCCTGTCTTCTAATTTGCCTTATGTGTTGGGACACTGTGCCACTGGTACTGGCTGGCTACTTTGCTTGTAGTTTTTCTTTTCCCTGCTGCCTGTCTTCTAATTTGCCTTATGCGTTGGGACACTGTGCCACTGGTACTGGCTGGCATCTTTTTGGTGTGTTCTTTCAGGAGTTTCAGAAACTGGCAATCCAAATGAGTCAAAAACTGTTAAAAATACCGGATGGTCTCACTCATAGCAGGAATCTAGAAAACTTAAATAAGGGACCAGGAAAAAGAATAACTATAAGAAAGAAAATATCAAAATCAACAAATAACTATGAACAAGAGACTCTCTATGGGGAGTGGGGGGTGGGGAGAGGAGAGCTTGGGGTCAAAATAAGGGGGTTGTGATTGTATGGGGAATATAAAAATAAAATTTAAATTAAAAATAAATTAAAAAAAAACTGTTATGCCAGAAGTCTAGTGAGGCAATGGTACTTTGAGTATGTTAATGGTCACTGTCACAGAATCTCTCCTCCTTCTGTGTTTAGTTACAAATGTGCATCTTGAAGTCCCACAGACTTCCCTGGAGGTGGGGCAGCTGGATTGCTAACGTGCTAATATTAAATGTTTTTTTTTTTCATTCTACACTTTCCCTTACTCCTCTTCCTCCTGCCCCACTGGGTTTAGAGTGTCCTCCTCCAGTCAAGTTCACTTCTGCCATGCACTCCAGAGGTGTTACAAATTTGGGACTATGTTAACTGAGTGTTTTTTTTCTACTTTCCTTGTTCATATATTTAGTGTAGATTTGAATTCTAAACTGAAGTTTGGGCAAAACTATGGCTGTAACTAATCAAGAGGAGTTCTCTCTCTACCCCTCCCAAACTGGAGTTGAGAGAAAGACATATTTTACTCTGCATACTCCTTCTATGAGAGGATACATTTTTTTTTTTTCTGGCCCATTCTTGCTGAGAACATTGCCTTTTGAAGACATTGCCTCTATGATCTCAGTACCAATTCCTGTCAAGCTTGTATAGCTTGAGAGTCTTCTGTCTATACCTTGCATGGTTTTTAAAAGTCGAGGCCCTAGGTTCTATGTAAAATTGAAGATACCTATAATTTTAATATTTATTACCTAAGGTGGGATTTGAAAAAATTCTGCCTAGCTGCTTACCTTTTTTGGGTCATGTTTTGGATCACGTGAAATGTTAAGTGGATATTTTTTCCAGTCATAAAAGCAAAATTATCTACATTATTTCAATAACTGTGTTGGTTCTCAATGATATTTTGCTCACACAATCAGAGCTTCTATATGTAACCTCTAATCTGGTGGTCTTGTGTTCACTCTATCATAGATTTGCTCTGGTTTATAAAATCCATTACTTTAAATTGACCCCATTTAATTAGGAAATGATTAGTTACATACTTAAGAAAAGTGTGGTTTTACAAAAGAATACTGTATATTTATTTAAAATTTTAGTATAAATTACTTGAAATTTAATTACAAAAAGCAATTTTATGTCAGAAGTATAGTTAAGTGAGGGCCCTAGGTAAAATTATCTTTTAATTAAACCAAGAATGCTGGTTTACCATTGTGATATCAGATACCAACATTCTTGCTTTTGCCTCTAGATTGCCCCTTCTATGAAGCCATCAAAGCAGAAGATGGCTATGAAAGAACACTCTTCATGCAAGTTGCTGAATCAGTACACTGTTCACAAGACTTTATCACCCCATTGTACATCTTCCTCTCTTACTCGGTATCTAAATCATTGTATTTTATTACTTGCTTAAATGTTGTGTTCAGATTTGAGGGTTTTCTTTCCAGAATCAACTATTCCTTTCATGTAAAGTATGCCAAATGTTTTTTTCAAACTAAGAGACTATGTTCTTAGGGAGGATGGTGTATAACTTTGCAAATTATGTGTGGGATTGAAACTTAGAATTGAGTCCTCATTGACCTCACATGCTACACGTGTACAATTCACTTTATATCTTTGGGCCTCAGTTTCCACATCTGTACAAGAATTATGTATTAATTGGAGGACTCTTAAGATTTTTTCCAATATTTAACATTTTGATTTCAGTTATTTACAAGTTATGGGATCAGATGAATTACCATTTTGAGATGTTTTTACTACCAATTTATTAAATCCGGGATTCTTTGGCTGTTTAAAGACATTCTGATTTGCCTTATTATGATAAATTTTTGTAAAATTTGCTGTGACCTGAATTAAGAGTAGGAAAATTGGATCACAGCTAAAGGATAGTAGATCATGGGTACTACTTACCCACTAGAGTATATTCTGCTCCATAGAGAAATGTCTAAAAGAAACAAGGTGGTAATACTCATGTAAAGAATATGTAATTCACTATCACTTGGACAGTTGTTTTGGAAAAGTTCTTATAGAATAATATGCTGGAGAATCTCAGCCTATTCTTAGGTTTGCTAATATTTAAATGGGCTCTTTGTATGTTTGCCTCTGTATGTGTGTGTTTGGTTTATTTGAAGCTTTCTCTTTTTTTGCATATTTAAAATTTTTTAAATATAATTTATTTATTTATATTTTACATCATTGTTCATTTTTGTACAGTGTTTGCTTTCTCCTCTCAGGTGTAGAATCCCCACCACCAATTTGCCCATGCACCATCGCCAGAGTCCCTTGATGCTCCCTAATGTGTCTGTTTCTTTGACAGGAGAAATGAAGTGCTTTATAACCTGTCCCAGACATTGTATGAAGAAGTACCTATAGGACATTTTTCCTCAGAAGAATTAAGTGGTAATTAATTGGTTCTGGAATTTCTTTCAAAAACTTCCTTATTGTGTGATTCTTAGGAATTGTTTTAGTAGCTAGTGTCTCTTTCTTTACTCCTAATGGCTTATGCTAACAACTAATATTGCATGACATAACAAATGCTGCTGGCTGTGAGCAAGCTTAAATAGATAATTTAATTCATAAATATCTTTTTTTATTGGTAAGATGGGCAAAATATAATATGCTTATTCTGGTTCATTTTTTTATTTTTTGGAAAAAAGTCTGCATGTTATGTATAGTGAATAAATTAGTAAGCACTAGACTCACTGATACTCTAGAATTTAGTCCTTGGTATCTTAATATTAAGGTTTATATTTCCCTTCACTTCATGACTTGCACTTTCTTCTATCTTGGGCCACTCTGATGTTTATGGAGTTACTTGGCACAATTTCTTCTCTACCCACAGTTTTATTGAGATATAATTGGTGTATAGCACTTATGTGTAAGTTTACTTATATGTGTAAGTTTATAGTATATAGCATCATGGCTTAACACATATATTGTGAAATGATTCCCATGGTAAGTTTAGTTAACACCTATTATCTTATAGAGATACAAAAAAGAAAATAAAATAAAAGTTTTTTTCATGTGGTAAGAACTCTCAGAATCTACTACTTTTTTTTTTAATTAATTAATTTATTTATACAAGCACTGGGTACAGTCAGAAGGGCGGGAGGGTGAGAGAATCCACCACAGCCAGAGTGGGGAGCAGAACAGGCAGACTGACTAAGTACACTGGTGAGGGGAGCAGCGGGCACAGCAGGAGAGGTCTGCTGTGCCATGTGGGACCCTCGCCTGGTGGCCGGGGATTGAACCGGCGCTGCAGAGGCTGCAGGCAGCTCAACTGCTGCACCACTGGGGAGTCCCGAGAATCTACTACTTTTTAAAGCAAATTTCAGTTATCCCATTAGCAGTGTTAACTATATCCATTACATTGTGCATTACATTCCCAGTAATTATTTATCTTAGAGCTGAAAAGTTGTTCTTTTTGAACACCTTCATTCAATTCATCTACTCCCCACACATTGCCTCTGGTAACCACAGATTTGGCTCCTTATTCTATGAGTTTGTTTTTTTACTTTTTTTTTTTTTTTTTTATAGAGGCATGCTTTATTTATTTATTTGTTTGTTTGTTTGTTTTTTGGTTTTTTGTTTATACATGCACTGGGTACAGTCAGAAGCACGGGAGGGTGAGAGAATTCACCAGAGTCAGAGCAGGGAGCAGAGCAGGCAGAAGGACCGAAGTACACTGCTGAGGGGAGCAGCGGGCGGCAGAAGAGGTCTGCGCGCCATGTGGGACCCTCCTCTGGTGGCCGGGGAGCAGCCGGGGATCGAACCGGCGCCGCAGAGGCCACGGGCAGCTTCGCAACCCAGCGCTCAACCGCTGTGCCACCGGGGAGGCCCCGAGTTTGTTTTTTTAAATGATTCTACATATAAGTGAGATCATTTGTATTTCTCTTACTTCACTTAGCACCAGTTGGCGTTCCCTTTACATTTTGATCAGATCCCTCTCCTGTTTCCTTTTGTGGCTGTTCAAACTTTCATTCCTATCTTCAAATCCTTAATCCCATCATCTAGTTTTTCAGCTCTTAAAAAGAGATGACTTGCTTTATCACAGAGAATTAATAAAGAACAGATTCTTCCTGAACTCCTTGCTTTTTCTACCTATAAATTTACCTGTAAACAATGTCCAATCATTCCCTATTGTCTCATTAAAAAAGATTATGGGACTACTCCCTTCACTTTTCATTGTCTTTGATTCAGTATTCTTCCACTTCCTCAGGCATTATGTTGTGTCAATTTTATACTCTTTGTTTTTCAGATAAATTTATTGAGAGCTGATCACTAATTGCTGTTTACTTTTCACTTCATTGAAATCTGATTTCTATCTCAAAAACTCTACTACAATTCCTGTTATTAAAGTCACTTTTATCCAATTTTTAGTCTTTCTTTTGTATTTAGCACTGTCATCTGTTGCCTTTTTTCTGTAAACAAAGTGTCACATTTTTAAGAAACTGTTTGGAATTAGACACCAGGACTAGAAAAATGAAAAATTCTGCTCCCTGGAGCTGACAGTTTAGTGAGGGATATTATGGCAAGCCATCACAATACCAAGAGTGTTAGCTGATGTACATACTAAATGATACAGGAGTGCAGAAGAAGGATTTAAAATTCCCAGGAAAGATGAAGAAGCCTTTGACTATTTGAGCTTTGCAGGACTTTTCTGGTACTTTCTGAGAATTCTTTAGGAGACTCATATACTTAGAGGTGTCACTGGCTCCAAATGGACTAAGTCACAAGATTGATTTTAAAGCAGCAAATTGTAACAAAAATTTTTCTCCTCTTTAATTTTTAATGACTATTCTTTTTCTTTTATTAACAGTAGGTGGGGGGAATAGGAATTATTCTGTTGAATTAATTGTTCTGTTATGTGTGTTTAGCACTTCAGAAAGCCTGTAAAATTTTTAGTAAAATTCGAAGAGGTAAAATTTATGTAAATGATCTGCCAATGATCCTTCACATCTTGAAGATTTCTCTCAGTGATTCAGAAATGCGAAAGGCACTAACAACTACTGATGTTGATGGTAAGTTTTATATTTTCACTGTAAGTTTAGGGTCTACAAAACATGGATATAAATTATATGTTGACCAGATTAATTGCAAATGCTAGGAAAACTAAATTTATTATAAGAACGTTTTTAGCTTATTTATAGTAATGATATTTAAAAATTGGTCTTCGGTTATGGAGTGTTTGATCACTGGATTGGATGATGACATAGTCCCGACTATGACGACATTTGTTATTTTCAGACTTTTAATTCTTGCTAACTGCATGAGTATAAAATGAATGGGGTAGGGAGAATTTTCTGAAACAAGGCCAAAAGTTTGAGTATAAAAGGAGAGATTAATTTGATATATTTGATTGCATTAAAATTAAGAACTATTATTTATCAAAAGATGCTTTAAAGTAAAAAGACAAGTTACAAACTTGGAGATATTTTGCAATTCACCCAACTGACAAAGGATTACTTTTTAGAATGTTTGAAGAACTCATATCAATCAGTAACAAGCAATAGAAAAGAAAAATGAACAAGACACATGGACAAATGTGTCACATAAAAGGCTATATATATATATATATATATATATATATATACAGATAGCTAATAATCATATAAAATATGATTCTGTGCTGTGGCACACTTTTAAAGTCTGGATTTTCAGCTCTAGTTGCTATCAGAGATGATCTGTGCATTAACATGAAAAAGCCACTCCATAAGTTTCAACTCTTATTCAAGCTAAACCGAAAATTTTTACTGAAATTTTCACTTGTAAAATTTAAATATTTTTCTATTAAGAAATAACCATTATTCTTTATATGAAAAATGAGTTGGTTTTTGGGGTAGGGATGGTTTATATGTTATGAGATACTTTGTGCATTTGTCTTGATGCAATGTGTGTGTGTGTGAGATAGAGAGAGAGAGGAGAGAGATCTGGAGGGAGAGAGAGAGAGAATTCTGTGAGACAGAACTTTCATTTGAATCTCAACTGGATCCATAATCTCCCCCATAATCAATAGTATAGAGGGCTTTTCTGGAAGAAATAGTCCTCTCCTTTAAGGTAAAATCATGTGTATGTAAGATTAGCATGTTACATCTATCTTTTGTACCTAGTTACAAATATAAAAATTACAGCCTTGAGCAAAGAGCACTGCAGTGTCTCCATTCCTAGTCTATATCAACCTTTATTATTGCTTTATTGTTTGCTACACAATTACAATACATAAATATTTTTCTGGTAAGTATTCTTTTTACATTCAATATTTAATACTGATTGCTCTTGTGTGTAGACTATGGCATTCTTATAAAAGTTAATTCTATTCACATTATAAAATTGCATTTTAATCTTATTAGTGGGTTTGCTGATAAATTTACTGATGGAGGTTTTTTTCCCCATCTTCTGTTTCTTCTTTTAGTTAATGGGATACTGCCTTTTACAGATTTCCTGAAGGCAGTGAATGATGTTTCTTATTTGGTCTCTCAGGATCCAGGTAAAAGTTCTTCAAAATTGTAGAATGATTTTGATCATAACTGATTTATATGAATCTTTTATACTATCTTTTCTTTATTATATTTTTAGGCCATTAATGACTATCCCAAATTTTGGATTAAGTTGTCTTGCTATTTGTAGGTTATACCACTGGTATGAAATTGTTTTAGTTAAGTTTTAACTAAGAGGTGAGTACAGTAGAATGATTAAGGGTAAGCATTCAAGACTAAGACTAGTAGATTAAAATTCTGGCTTTTCCATTTTCTATCTGTGGGATCAAAAGAGGGATTTCATAAACCATGGTTTCCTTATGTATAGTGTAAGGGTGATAATAGTTTTTATTTTATATACCTATTATAAATTTAATGAGATAAATAGCTTTTAGCACAGTGTCAAACATAAATAGCATTTATTGATAGTAAATACTAACTATTATTGGTATTATTATATCAGTATTAATGATAGCAGCAACAGTATTTTATACTAGAAATGTGGCCAGAATTGGGAAAATTCCTACTTGCAGGTAAATTTTTAGAAAACCCTGTGCCTATGTAAAGTATTTTTCTCTTGGTAGCTTATTGACACAAATTAGACCCTCCAAGAAAAGCTATTGATTCTCATGCTACAATAATTTCTTTGTTTTTTTTTCCCAATAATTTCTTTGTTAATTGCTGTGTTTTTTTTTTCAGCATTTCAGAATGCCTTGAAGATTTTTCATAGGATAAAGGGTGGTCGAGTTGCTGTTGATGAAGTGGCTACTGTTTTGGATAGCATGGCTATCCCTGTAATTCCTGAAATTTTACAGGAAGTGTTAGCTCATGCTAGTATTGACCGTGAGTTATTTGAAATGATATATTTGTCTATATCTTTCTTGGATAACAGTTTTCTGATTCATTCTTCTCCTTTTCTCTGTTGATTCTTGCCTTTTGCCATCAACACTCTATACTGATGTCTATCATAAGAGATAGTCAAGGAAAAATAAAGGAAACATTTTTAAGAATGTTGTATTTTGTTATATTTGGTAAGAATCTAAGAGAAAAATGAATTTTTTCTTGAAAAACTTTATCTCTCTTTTTCAGTAGTCATGTCTTGTCTTTATGGAGAGGTAGTTTCTATAGTGTCAAGGGCATTGGTCCTACAAGTTTTGAGAACTGAATTTCTTGAATTTTCAACTTAGTCTTGCAACTTTGATTAGAAAATATATTTGTAACATTTAGGGAAATCTACATTTTGCAGAGAATAACTGAATAGTTTTTTATTCCAGGGTGGAATAAAAAAAAATACCTGAACACAAATGAAAATGGAACTTACTGGTTTTGGGGCTACAACAAAGCAGTACTAAGATGGGAGTGTAAAGCAATATAAGCTTATTTCAACAAACAAGAAAAAAGTACAAATAAATAACCTGATATCACATCTATAAACTAGGAAAAGAACAAATGAACACAACATTAGTACAAGGAGGGAAACCATACAACTCAGAACAGAAATAGAGGCCGCAAAGTCTCTATTTTATAGAATAGAAACAGTATAATAAAAGATCATTGAAACTAAGAGCTGGTTCTTTGGGAAACTAAACAAAATTGACATCTTTAACTATATTTACTAAGGAAAACAGAGATGACTCAAAATAAATCAGAAATAAAATAGAGTACAATGGATACCATAAAAATATAACAGATTATAAGAGGCTACTATGAACATCAATATGCCAACAAGTTGGATAACCTAGAATAAATAGAGAAATTATTGGACTTGTACAACCTTCCCAGGCTGAATCATGAAGAAATAGAAAATGTGAACAGACTGACCCCTAGTAAGGAAATTGAAACAGGAATAAGAAGCCGCCCCAAAACAAAAGTCCAAAACCAGAATTCAAATATCTATTACTCTCAAATGCTTATAGAAAATTGAAGGGAAGGAAATGCTTCCTAACTCATTTTCTTTTTTTGACGCCAGCATTACCAAAATCAGACAAGGACATCATGAAAAGAGAAACCCACAGGCCAATATTTCTGATGTACATCAACGCAAATATTCTCAACAAAGTATCCTGATTTCCTAGCTTTGGACCTTAAATTGTGACTAACTTCTTGTGATGGGAAGCTCTTTTATTAAGGAGAAAAAAAGGTCTTAGTCTTATGTTTTAGTGTGTACTGAATTATTAATTCACAGTTCCAGGTATACTCAAAACTCATAATAGCTGATCCTTTATTTCTACTTCCACACATTTCTGTGTTGTTTACATATTAGAATAGAATGGCAGCTATATTTGTATTAAAAAGAAAATGCAGTATTTGAAGTTAATCTTTCTGTTGCAGGTAACTTCACGGTGGATATTGGGGATATTATATTTACTTTGGATGAACTACAGCAACAATATGAGGCTGTTTGTAAGTTAGCTTTTGTTGCTATAACAAATTTTATCCATAAATAAATTGCCTCTAAATTAAATCCTAATTGTAGGTTTTAATTTTATATCAGGTTTGAAAGTCTTCTCTGAACCTTTTACTGTAACTCTTAAAAAACCCTAAATATACCTAAAGAATATAGATTACATAATATAATGATTGCATATTTTTTCTGCTTTTATCTTTCCCTTAATATTTTGCAACATAAAATCAATTTTGAAACAAAGTAGTAACATAAAAAAGATGAATATTTAATTTGCAATTTATGGATCATTCTGACATGCTGACATTGTTTAAAAATTTTTAGTATGCTCTTTACTATCATTTGTTATTTAGTTTTTCTTCACTAAATGCATTGTTTTTGTTCTCTTCTTTTTGCACATCATGTCACTCCTTATTCATTCTTTCATTTGTCCAAATACCATTTGGTCATGATTATTTATGTACATAATATTAAGAATCATATAGTTCTATAAGAACAGCTGCAATAAAGCAGCCCTTTGCTCGATCTTCCCCTCACCTTTTCCTGAGGCAAGTATTTTAAATGTTTTAACTGATTATTTGATAAGTATGTTTATATTTCTACTTGTTGATTTTTAAAATTTTAGGTAGACGTAGTAAACTCACTACTATGAAAAAATAACATTGCTCTGTTTCACTTTTCCTGTTCCCACTACATCATCCCATACCCATCCATCCTCCCAATATAATTATATGGTAATTTGAGTAATTTTTAATTCAGTACAGTAAGTCTTGTGGATAGGTTCTTGGAACTGTCACTTTAAGTGAAACAATGTATAAGCAAACCAATTTTACTAAGCAAAATTGATATAAACACAAGTTAAGTTCCTATGATATATTTCTGACCACAAAACACCACCAAATTTCTAAAGCTCTCAAACACTTCTAATATTAAATAATAATTTGTGTTTTTACAAATTACTTAATTATTAAATAATCATTTAATTCATTTAGTTTCCATCATGCTTTTTTCAGTTTTGGAGTCATGGTGACTCGAATCTATTTCAGTAGATCAAGGACCAATCCTGACAGGACACCATTGACTCACAGGGCACACTCACACCCTTGTTTGTGCTGGAGCAATGCAGACATGCCTGTGAAGCTAACATGTAATTCTTTGGGATGTGGGAGGAAACCAGAATACCCTGAGAAAATCCATGACAATGTGGGAAGAATGTGCAAACTCCACACAGTGGCCCTAACTGGGAATTGATTTTTTTTATAATCAACATTATAAAGAAATGATGCTGAATGAAATGACATTATTTGAAGATGTGCTATATTTATTTATTTAATTAATTTTATTATTAATTTTTAAATTTTTTACATCATTCATTTTTTTTATTTTTTAAAGGTTAACAAAAGGTTTATTTACAAGGGAAGGGGAATGAGGAAATGTACAACTCAGGGAGAAAAGAGGGAGATAAATTCTTAAATGTGTCCTACGTTCCGCTGACCTGGAATCCCAAATGACCGGCGGAGACCAAACCTGCCTAGCCAAGAGCATGAGCCAAGTGCGCCCAACCCCACTAACATGGCTAGTTTTTATTTACAAACAGAGAAAATGGCTGCTTAACTCCGCCCTTAGGTCCTCACAATTTCCCTTTGGGGATCCTGGGATTTGTAGTTCCCAGTGTCTTGATGGACACTGGGGGTGAGTGGGGGTGGCATCCACAAAGCCTGTATGGAATTAGCTCAGGACATCCTTTCCCCCTAACAATTCCCCCTTTCACTTTTTGCCACCATTTCCATGGTGTTGAAGATCAAATGTATGTATGCTGGGGTACAGACTCAGATGAAAATTTTTCTCAGGGTTCCCATTGGAAAGTAAACCAGTCTCTCCAGGTATTGTCCATGTGGAAAGCAAAAGTCCTCCATTCCAGGAAATACTTTATCAGTCCAAGCCAAAAAAAAAAAAGAAGAATAAAAAAAAAAAACCATCTGGAGGCATTAGCCAAACAAAGCAGCAGGGCCTCCCCGGTGGCGTAGCGGTTGAGCGCTGGGTTGCGAAGCTGCCTGCAACCTCTGCAGCGCCCATTCGATCCCCGGCTGCTCCCCGGCCACCAGAGGAGGGTCCCACATGGCGCGCAGACCTCTCCTGCCGCCCGCTGCTCCCCTCAGCAGTGTACTTCAGTCCTTCTGCCTGCTCTGCTCCCCGCTCTGGCTCTGGTGAATTCTCTCACCCTCCCGTGCTTCTGACTGTACCCAGTGCTTCTATAAATAAATAAATAAATCTTTTAAAACAAAAAACAAACAAACAAACAAAAAAACAAAACAAAGCAGCAAAGATATCAAATCACAGGAAAAATATTAAAATTGATTGAATTTATGCAAAACAGTTTCTCTCAACTTTGATCCCAATTGTTTCAACAGCATAGTAAAAGTTTGCAAACCAAATCTACTTTTAAACCATATTACCTATTTTTGTATGAAATCACAGGGCAGAATAACTAAACAGCAATTTTAGCTGGCTTTGTTGGAATACTCCATAAAGGATCAGAGCGAACTCTTGACATCCGGTCCATGTAGGCTTCAAGAACAAAGTTGGTCTCATCAGACTCCACCTGGGCTTCCTCTTCTCGAGGGTACCAGGGCTTTTTCTTTTTCCAGATTGTCCATTCCTGCCCATGGAGGCAGCTTCCTCACCTCCTTTGGAGGTCTCTGGAACCTGCAGACAAAGCAACAGGTTCTCCTCTTCTTGGTTCAGCTCTGTTTCAACTTTCTGGAAGATTCCATTCAAAGCCACACAATGACACTCATAGCTAATTGTTTTAGTTTAAGCAGACAAAATCCCTATGGAAGTTATGCAAAAATAGACTCTGAGATAAGTAGTAAAAAAAAATACTATCACTATTTTCATGCTGTGTTGGTATCAAGGGGAGAGAAAATGTGAACACATTAACTTTGCTGGAAAAAAAAATACAACATTGCTGCAGATCCTGGTCACTCAAAACAAGAAAAGTTTATGAATTCAGAACAAAATGCAAAAAAGAAATTACCAGTCTTAAGACATGCTATATTTATATTAATAGGTTTATGTGACTATTACAGCTGAACCATTTATTTCTCAGAAAAAGAAAGATAATAAAAACCACATGCTCATATATTCCTCTACCATTCTAAACATATAAAATATGCTTTCAATCACTGTGTCAATGTAGTTGTGTGATAATTCCAAAAGTTCTACCATTTCTGGGTAAGTTTCTATTCATTTTCCTACTGATTATGATTATTTCATATGACTGTTAATTTTTGATGGGATGCTGCCTGTTGTGAAGTTTGTGTTGCTGCCATTGGATTTTGTAATACTTCCATGAATAGTGTTGGAGTTTGATCTGATGCAGTGAGTTACTTGAAATATCAGCTGGATCCTTTTGAGCCTTGCTTTTTAGCTTTCTAAGCGTCATCTCGATTTTCATGCTAATTTAACTCCCCACTAAGATAGCATTCTTCAGATAAATCTACATATGCTCCATGTATTATGAGGTTTTTTTTGCCCTGACTGGTGGGATCATAAATCATTCTCAATTCTCAGCTGCAAGGATTATCCTACCTACACTTTTCTGGTAGTTCTTTCCTTGTTTTGGGGGTAGTTTCTTCTCATATATGTGCAGATCAATATTCTGCTAAAGGTTCAAATAAATCTCACTGATGATCTTCAGGGCTCAGCATTTCTCTCTTTTAGCATTGTGCTCTCACATTCTAGACTCTTTGGCCTTCTGGATTGTTTCTGTTTCCTCTAATCATTCAGACCAGCAGGTTCTGTTCAGGTTTTACTTTCCTGTGCTGTGCCATAGTAACTTTGAACAGATTTGCATGGAAGTATTTTAATATGGCAAGCCCACATATTGCATTTAACTTAGTTAATAATTCAATCTTTTGGCTACCGGCTCTGTTAGTTTTTTCGACTTACTATGTTTTATGTATTAAAGCAACTTATAGTTTCTTAAATAGCTTGCATGAAAACTAAACTATTATATTTTTTAAAATATTACACATTGTACAGGTAAAGGAAATAATTGAATATGTTTCTTTTCTTCTTAGCTATCATGGAAGGGTCAACCTTGGATGAAACTACTTTAGACAAAAAGTTATCAAATGTGTTAGGAAGCCATGGAAAATATAAGAGGAGAGACACTTTTTCATCTAAATCATCTCAACTGTTATCCCAAAGATTTAGTGGAAATGACCTCCAATATCATAAAATTATGGAGAAAAATGACCTTGAATTTAAAGACTCAAAAAGAACGGTGCAAACAAGAAAATACCTGGATGGGGTTGATAGCAGTGACATAAGATTCCAGGAACCACATTCAAAGGAAGGAGTAAACTTTAAGAGAAGTGTGGAGAAAGCTGAAATTCATGGTTCAAAATCAAAACCACAGAACTTGAAGAGTATTAGCAGACTCAAAAAGTCCCTGGATAAAAGTGATACTATTAATATCCCAAAACTTCAGGAACCATCTGAGAGAAGTCATTCCAGCCTCCCTAAACAGGGTACATTTAAGGAAAAAACTACAGTTAATGCATTGGGTCAGTATCCTCTCTCTCTCTCTCTATATATATATATATAGGATATATATATATGCAAAAATGAACAATGATGTAATATATATATTAAAAATAAAATAAAAAATTATTTCATACCTCTAAGAAACAAAAATGTAAACATTTACATATACATCAAAATCTAAGTCCTTGAGTTCTTGAATTATTACAGACATGATGCAAACCCGTTAGGTAGTCATATGCATTTCAGTTGTCAATACTCTGTAACCACCACTTCTGGTACTTCAGGGTAATGATTCTGGTACTGTGGCTTTGATTTTTGGACTCATTCATTCTATTATATTCAGACATAAGCAGCAGCACTGGCTGGATCTCTGGAGCAGGTTATTCCTCCAAACAAATAGTTTATAAATGCTTATAGAATTTCAGAACTCTTTTGTGTTTGAATTATACGAGAACGGTTAAGATATAATTGTAATATGGAGAGAAAAAGCATTCTTTTTATAAGTAGATAAAAATTGCTTTTTGATTACTTATTATTATACAATTATTGTTTAAGACATAAATTCTGTTGCTGAGTCATCCTTCACATTTTGTGTATTTAGAAAATGTCCTTGAAGCAATCAGTAAACTCCAGGAAGATTACATTGCTGCAGAAGAACTTCAGTCTATCTTGCCTTCAATAGGAATTACTTTATCAGATAAAGAGTTCCAGAAAATTGTGACAAACACTGATAGAAATGGTGAGAGATTGATAATATCAATTTTTTAAAGAAAATTAGTTCTTGGCACTTAGTTCTTGGCACTAGTATGCTCTCAGTAACTGCTGAAATGAAATGAATTGACCTAATTTAGAAAGATTTATGTAGGGAAACAAATGTGAAGAAGAAATAGGATGATGATGAAGTAAAGGATCAAGTAATTTTTTCATAGTTGTATTAAAATGTGAATTTTCCTTTTAGGCAAAAATACAAAGACTGATAATCTAATTTCTTTATTTTACAGAAGATGGGATGATGAAGTTAGATGACTTTTTAAGTGCTCTCTCTAAGGAGCAAAGTCTTCCTGAACATGATGGTAGGTAGGACATGTATTTTAAAAATACCTTGAAGTTAGGTTGAGGAAAATAAGGTTTAAAACTGAATTGAGTTTGCTTTTTTGGATTGACTTGCTGTATGAGGGTAGTAATAGCTAAGTTGCTTATAGGGTTGTTATGTGGATCTTACAAACTGAAAAGTGCTACATAAACATACAATAATAGTCATAGACAACAAGGAGGACAAATAGGTAATTTGTCCCTTTGTTACCAGTTGCTGAGTGACTAGATTTAAATTTTTTATGAGGAAATTGTTTGAATAAAATATTGGTTTGGTTTCCTTTATTTTAGAATTATTTTTCAATAACAATTCTATTCAGGTAAATTTACATACATGAAGTTCACCCTTGCATTGATTTTATTAAACTTAGAGAGTTATACAACTATTACCACAATCATCTAGCCTTTGTTTCATTTTTTATGTACAAATATACAAATAGTCGATTATTTTTCAGCAAGATTAAAATGAGAAATGAAGTCTATTAAAGGTTACTGTTTTTATTTCCTCTTATTTATCCGTATACTTAAAAAGAAAGATGAACTTTTATCTTGCCTTCAATAGGAATTACTTTATGACACAAATATCAGATTTAAAAATTTTTTTATTTCAATTTTTAATTGAAATATTGGTTTACAGTGTTGTTAATATTTTGGAAGCATAGATCTCCCCCTTCAGATACAGTCTCCATAGTGCACCCTTCATTAAAAGCTACTTTACCAGGTGGAAGTAAATCTCTATGTTCTCCACCCAGTGTTCAGTATTATCTGAGCAGTAAAAATTTATCAGTTTAAATTTTATACAGGGACTACTCCCCAAATTTGTGAGGCACAGATTCCAAAGTATTATAAAAAACATTATTTCCAGGTAATAATATTTTTATTTACACAAGGGAAACAAAAATTTAACTAGGACTAAGTAATTCCTGTTTTGCTACAGAGCCTTATCCCAATTTTTCAATTTAAATTCTGTTTCTGCTACTGAGAAACAGACTGTTAAGCAATTTAAAATTGCTATAGAATTAAATGGCAAAATTATGTAACATTCTGTTTCTATGGAATTTTAGTTGTATTGTCAGTACAATTAAATTGATGCGTCCTTCAATACAGAGACTATATAGCAAAGCTAAGTGGTAATTTTTGACTCTGATTTTGTAAATTGTTGATTTTTATGTTATCAAAGATTCTGGTAATGCCTTTAATTTCAACGTTTCTGAAGATTTTTGCCAATTTTTAGTGTTAGAACTAAAATTTACGACCATTGACATTTTCCTTTTGACTTATATTTAATGCTTATCAGCATACTGCTTTATTTTCAGTGGTGAAGAATGTCATTAAAGCCATCGATAAAATTAAAAATGAAAATGTTGATTTTGAGGATTTGAATACATCTCTTCAAAACCTTGGCATTTATCTTTCTAAGCCAGAATTTGAGAAAACCATGGAGTTGATTAAAGTTGATGGTAAGAGATATGTTTTCAGAAAAACTGGATACACATCTGAGAAGAGGGTCGGTTTACTGTTTTTCTTCTGAATGATGACTTTATTATTTTTATTAGAAAAAAGTATTAAAAATAAGCTAATACAGAAAAGTACAAATATACTTAAAAGTACAAAAAAAATCAAAGCCCATTTTCCAGAAATTATCAATATTAATAGTCTTTTCAGATATTTTTTCCCTAGGGAAAAGTACAAAGAAAAATAAAGTAAGATTTGTGATTTTTTTTTTTCTGAAAAGGTAGAAGTCAGGACAAAAGGCATTAAATAAGGCAAAAAAGAACTCTTTATTTTGTCAAAGCTCACAATTCATAATAAAGGTACCAGTTTTAAGTGCCTGTGCCCCTGTAACAAAGCAGCAACCTTTGTAAAGGGAAAGTGTAGGAGTGAATTAGACAAATAGCGGGGTTGTAGATGAAATAAGAATGGCTATTATTATCAAAAAGAGAAGAAACAGCTTTTGGTGAAGATGTGGAAAAAGCAAACCCTCTTTGTTGCTGGGATGTAAAATTGATGCAGCCCTTATGGAAAACAGTGTGGGGATTCCTCTAAAAATTAACAGCTGGGTATTTACCTGAAGAATATGAGAACACTAATTTGAAGAAATATATGCACCCCCTGTTCATCACAGCATTTATTCACAATAGCCAAGAGTTCGAAACAACCTAAGTATCCATCAACAGATGATTAGATAAAGATGTGGTATATATACACAATGGAATATTATTTAGCTATTATAAAAAATGAAATTCTGCCATTTGCAACAATATGGATGAACCTAGAGTATACTATGCTAAGCATAAGATAGAGAAAGACGAGCACCACTTGAATATAAACACTGCATGGAAGATACATGAATAAACAAGACAAAACACAAACTATGAGAACAACATACTGGTTACTGGAAGAGAACCGGGTAGAAGAGTAGGTAAATCAGGCAAAAAGAGTAAGTTATATGGTGAAGGATGGAAGCTAGACTTTTGGTGACAAACATAATGTAGTATATACAGATAGTGGTTTATAATGCTATACACCTGAAACTGATGATATAAAACAATGTTACTGCAGTAATTTTAAAAAATGATTGTAAGTTGATAATATTTCCAGTTATGGAGGGTACACATGTTACTTTTTAATTTTTCATAATAAAAAGCTCATTATAAGGTGCTTTTTAATTTTTTCATAATAAAATATAAAAAAGAAATAAGCACAAATCAGAGTTGTGTTAAGACCTGTGTGGCGAATATAAGACTTTTGTTAAAATACACATAAATAGGGCCTCCCCGGTGGCGCAGTGGTTGAGCGCTGGGTTGCGAAGCAGCCGGCAGCCTAGGCAGCGCCGGTTTGATCCCCGGCTGCTCCCCGGCCACCCAAGGAGGGTCCCACATGGTGCGCAGAGCTCTCCTGCCTCCCGCTGCTCCCCTCAGCAGTGTACTTTGGTCCTTCTGCCTGCTCTGCTCCCCACACTGGCTCTGGTGAATTCTCTCACCCTCCCGTGCTTCTGACTGTACCCAGTGCTTGTATAAATAAATACATAAATCTTTAAAAAAAAAAATACACATAAATAACAGGAGCATATTGGTGTGATGCTACCACCTGATGTAGGAGAAACCAGGAGTCAAAAGAACTTGCTCCTAATTTTTGATCTTGTCTTTCCTTTTGGGACCTTGGAAAAACAATTATGATAGCATGTTTAAGTAGATTTAAAAAAAAAAACATGTAAAATAATTCTAATTCTTCATTCTCATATCTTAGCTGTTGCAAGGTCAAGGCAAGATAATGTAAGTTAAAAGTTTAAAATGTTGGATGCTTCTGAAAAGAAGAATTTTAATTGATTTTCTTTGTGGTTTTCAGTTTTCACTTTTTGCCTGTAAGTTGAATTGCTTTTTTCTTCTTATGCTCATGTTTTTAGTGGTTAGTATTAGATGATATATAATTTGATTTGCATGATTCAGTATTTGTCATGATTTAATATTTGAAGGTCCTGAAGAAAATATGTTCTTTTCCCTTTAGAAATGAACAAAGTGAATTTTAAAGAATTTGTTGATACTGTGATGAACAACATAGAGCACGTCCCTGAAAAATTATGTATGCATGCAAAAGCATCATATGTAGCACTTTTGTGGACCAAACGGTTTGAAAAGTTTTAGAAGAGTATAATATACTGAAAGAGCTAGTCATCAGAAAAGTAAAATGCCTGACTTACTGCTATTAAGTTTGACCTTAATCTTCTCTGTTGCTGATCCCTAAATCTAGAACAACATTCTTGTGCAAGTGAATTGAAAGTTACCATACTCTTGACCTTGTTATCTTCACTTACTGTAGTGAGGATATTATAGAGAAATAGAGCCATGTATATGAAATTCCTTGGAGGGAAGATTTAAAACGTCTTCTCACTTTGGGAAAGTGATGCCATTTAGTGACTACAGCTAAGTACCAATATGTAGAATTTCTGGCTGCAGCCGTTCTATTCAGTAACATTTACTGAGCCAGTATTATGTACCCGGCTTTTTGTTAAACTGTGAGTATGCTAGGATGAAAAAGATAGCTGTTGCCACTAAGAATCTCATTCTTAAGAAATGTAAGATTATATATGTATATTTTAAATGAAGATAGTTTAAAAGTCAGGGCTACCTCTAAACAATATATAGTGTTGTAAACTATCATTACCTCAATAAAAATAAAAGTGCTAAAAATGGCACTGTATTATATTGTGCTTACATATTACAGAATAGCACATTTTAAATAACAGCTTTTTTTTTTACCTTGTAAATAGATTTTATTTGTCTTCTATACAAGGGAACATAATAGATTAAAAGATTATTTACTTTGTCATGGAAATAAGTTTTATCAGCACAGAGTTGTATTATCTTATTCATATCTGAAGTTATAGTCTCCTAATTTCCCTCACACCTGCCTAGCTCTTCCTTAACAAAAATTGAGATATAATTGACATATGACATCATGTTAGTGTTGATTTGATGCACCTATATGTTGCAACATGATTATCACCATAATGTTAACTAACATCTCCACCCCATCACACACTTATTATACCTTTTTTTTTTTTTGTGGTAAGAATATTTAAGATTAGTCTTTAGGCAACTTTCAGGCATATAGTCCAGTACAGTTAACTATAATCACATTGCTGTGCATTATATCCCCAGAATTTATTTGTCTTCTAATTGCAAATTGGTGCCCTTTGACCAGTATCTTCCTAATTTCCCCACCTACTCAGACCCAATAACCACTATTTTACTGTATCTGTGAATTTGACTTCTTAAGATTCTGCAATTAAGTGAGCTTATGTAACATCTGTTTTTCTCTGTCTGATTTATCTCACTTAGCATAATGCCCTGAAGGTCCATTCATGTGTCCCAAATGATAGGATTTCCTTGTTTCTCATAACTGAGTAATATTTCATTGTATATTTATGACTTTTGGGTCTCGTTTGCTATCTGCTTCTTTTCTGCTGCCTCTTAAGTATTAGCATGATTCCAGACTCTGTTCAGGCTCTTCCTGAGTGATCATCCTGCTTTAATATCTAGAGCCTTTCAGTTCCCTATTTATAGCAAACAATGTCCATAAACATGATTCTTGTTCTTCAATAAACTTCTCTCTCCCTAATCTTTCTTCTCTGTTAGTGACACCACTATCCACCCAGCTGCTCAGGTCTCAATCCTGGGAGTTCTTCACAGCTCTAACCTCCTTAGCCTTTCATTCAGTTCCTCTGTAGTTACAGATATGAATTAGATACCATGCATGCTACAACTCTGTGCTGGTAAGCTTGATCTCCGAGAAATTGAAATTCCTCAGAAAAATGAAGTGACTGACAGCACAAATAATCTTTTAATCTATTATGTTCCCTTGTATAGAAGACAAATAAAATTTTGAGCTACATTCTCAAAATACATCCAGTATTTGTCCACTTCTCATTATCTTTCTCACCATCACTTGTTAAAGCCACTGTCATATTATTCTCAGAATTATTTAGTTTCTAGCTGCCCAATCTTCCAGTCAGTCGATTTTCTATATAACAACAGAGTGATCTTTTACTCATTTATAATAAGAGATTTTCACTCCCCTCTTAAACACCTGCAAAAGGTTTTCTATTGGAATTTTAATAAAAACAAAAATTTTTTCCCATGGGCTGCAGTGTGGTAGATTGAAGAGGAGGTAGGATCCAGGGAAAATTTGGGGAGGGGAAGAGATATAGAGCAAATCTATTTAATTCTTGGTTTTATCAATTGGATAAAGCTTTGTGAATTCAGACTTTTGTAAATTTATATTTCAATGAAAATTATTCTTTATGATGATTATTCAGAGCTGAGGACTCAATAAGTTCTTGAGATATTTCAGAATCCTCAAAGACACACTAATTGTGTGTTAAATATTCTGTTGTATTTTAATATTTGAAAATTGGCAGTTAATTTATGTTGTATTTGTTTTTTCTTAACCATAAAACTTTAATTCCTGACTATTCCACTGTATTAATTTCTTGGACAAACATATTGAAAACTTGTATTTTATCTATCTTTTAGTATTGTCTGATACTGTTGAAAACCTCCGCAATCTCAGCCAAGAGACTATCAGTGCTCCTGATCTATGGAACAGTCTGTCTAGTTTGAATAGAAATTTAAAAAAAGATGAGTTCCTAGCTGCACTGAAATTATCAACAATTGATGGTATGTATTCCAAATCCTAAAACTGAAAGATACACAAGAATGCGGTTTTATTTTTTATTAGCCTGTATTTGTCCTTGTATCTTGCATTTGATATATACACACTGATATATACACTTAGGAACTATAAATAAAGCTCAAATTATTTGGCTGTCCTATAGAAACATATTAGTATCTAACTCATTATTATTCTAAATTGATCAGTTATGCATTGACTACCTTGAAGTGGGTAACATGTTACTGGAAAATGGCATAGCCTAGTGAACACAGCATTATTAGGAAATGCTGAGCTCTATTCCAGTTTTATGGTAATACTACTTGGGATATCCATACTGTTTTGTTGAAAAAGGCTTTTATTTAATTTGCTAGAAAAACACATTTCCTGTGGGCTGCTACCTCTACTTAGCAAGTAAAGAAAGATCCAAGCAAAATGAAAGTTCACAATAATTCTATAAAACCGATAATGTAGACTACAAAGTTTAAAATAAGACTCCATCATATACTGACAATATTCTTCATGCAGGGGAGAGTACAGGGCTTTGCCACTCCCTGTTATTATTAATACCTTGACATTACAAATGTACTTTTGTACTTTTTCGTGAGGAATGTGTATGCACAAGTATTCTAGCACGCAAGCATGCTGTCTGGGGCCTTTGTTCAAAAACTGTCTTTCTCTATGAACATTACTTATCTCTTTTTAATCTCCTATGTAATTGAGACTGGTAATTTTGGACTTCAAGTGTTTGATAGTTTTGTTTGTTGGGATATTTGAGGTGAGAGGTTGATGAGTACTTGACAAGTACTTTTCCCTTCTCTTTTCCTCTGTGGATGGTAATAGTTGGAGAATCACTTGGTGTTGGAAGGTCTTTTAGGTTATCTGGTAGAGAATTTTTATTTGCTAACATTTGAAAGGTTAACTGACTGAGGTTTGTAACTTAATTTCATCTGTAAGAATATGGTGAGTATGCAGTTTCTCTTGATTGATGGAAATTGAAAATTTAACCTGATTTAAGATTTTTAAATAATCTTGTTTATGTTTGTTTTTGTTTTCCTCAAATTTATGAGGGAATAATTGGCAAATGTGATTATATATTTTTGAAGTGTATGATGTGAAGATTTTATATATACACATGTTTTTGTTTTTTATTATTTTTATTAGATTTTAAAATAATCTTAAGATTTATTCATTGCATTAAATTAATCTCTGGTTACTCAACAATATGAAAAGGAAATATAATTATTATGAGTACATCTAATGATTTACATTTTAATAGATTGCCTCTGTGGATCTTGACTTGCTTAGTGAAGCTGATCTATCAAAAATATTTTTCTTGCCAAAGGTGACAAAGTACAAACTGATGAATTTGCAAAAGTGGTAAAAAACATGTGTGATGCCTCCAGGTTAGAAGGTAAGTAGTGGATTATTTGTGACTATTAAGTGTACATCTTTTTGAATGGATGCTTTCAATTTTTTTATTTTTTTATTTTTATTTTTTTTTTTTTTGAGCTGTTACATACAGAGCAGCAACCAGGGTGTTTTATGTGTTTTTTTTTATTTATTTATTTATTTATTTATTTATTTATTTATTTATTTATTTTTCTGTTCTATTTTTTTTTTTTAATATTAAATTTTATTTTTATATTCCCCCATACAATTGCAAACGCCCCATTCTGACCCCAATCCTTCCCCTCCCGCCCCCCACCCCCAAAAAGTGTCTCTGGTTCATAGTTTTTTGTTGATTTTGATTTTCACTTTCTTATATTCATTTTCCTGGTCCCTTATTTAAGTTTTCTAGATTCCTGCTATGAGTGAGACCATCCGGTATTTATCTTTTTCTTTTTGGCTTATTTCGCTGAGCATGATCCCTTCCAGCGCCATCCATGTTGCTGCAAATTGCATGTGTTTATCTTTTTTGAATGCTGAGTAATATTCCATGGTATATATGTACCACATCTTCTTGATCCAGTCATCTACTTTTGGGCATTTGGGTTGTTTCCAAAGCTTAGCTATTGTAAACAGTGCTGCTATAAACATAGGGGTGCAGGTGCTCTTTGGAATTGATGTTTCTGTGTCCTTTGGGTAAATACCTAGGAGTGGAATTGCTGGATCATATGGAAGCTCTATGTTTAGTAGGTCCAGAAATCTCCACACAGCTCTCCATAGTGGTTGGACCAGTTTGCACTCCCACCAACAGTGCAGAAGAGTTCCTTTTTCTCCACATCCTCGCCAACATTTGTTGTTGCTAGTTTTTTTAATATGTGCCATTCTCACTGGTGTGAGATGGTATCTCATGGTAGTTTTGATTTGCATTTCCCTGATTGCAAGTGATGTTGAACATTTTTTTATATGTCTGTTGGCCATTTGCATTTCCTCTTCAGAGAAGTTTCTTTTTAGCTCTTCTGCCCATTTTTTGACTGGATTATTTTCTTTGTTGTTGCTGAGTCTCATCAGCTCTTTGCAGATTTTTGTGATCAGTCCTTTATCATTAGTGTTGGGTGCAAAAATGTTCTCCCAGTTGGTGGGGTTTCTCTTTGTTTTTGTTATTGTCTCTTTTGCTGTGCAGAAGCTCTTTAATTTGATGTAGTCCCAGCTGTTTATCTTTGTCTTCACTATCACTGCTTTGGGTGATGTGTCTGTAAAGATGTCTTTGATGTGCAAATCCCGTAGTGTTTCGCCTATATTTCCTTCTATGTATTTTATGGTTTCAGGTCTTATGTCTAGTTCTTTAATCCATTTTGAGTTGATTTTTGTGTATGGTGTGAGGTAGTGGTCAAGCTTCATTCTTTTGCATGTAGCGACCCAGTTTTCCCAGCACCATTTATTGAACAAACTTTCTTTGCTCCAATGCATAGTCTTTGCTCCTTTGTCAAAGATTAGTTGACCATAAATCTGTGGGTTTATTTCTGGATTTTCTATTCGATTCCATTGGTCCGTATGTCTGTTCTTGTTCCAATACCATGCAGTTTTGATGATTATGGCTTTGTAGTATAGTTTGAAGTCTGGGAGTTTGATGCCTCCATTTCCTTCTTTTTTTTTCAGTAGAGCTTTGGCTATTCGGGTTTTTGGTGATTCCATATGAATTTCATCAATAATTGTTCTATTTCTTTGAAGAATGCCATTGAGATTTTGATTGGAATAGCATTGAATCTGTATATTGCTTTTGGTAGGATGGCCATTTTAATAATGTTTATTCTTCCAATCCATGAGCAGGGGATGTCTTTCCATTTCTTTGTGTATTCTTCTATTTCTTTTAACAGTGTTTTATAGTTTTCTTTGTATAGGTCCTTTACCTCTTTTGTTAGATTTATTCCCAAATATTTGATTTTTTTTTTTTGTTTCAATAATAAAAGGGGTGGTTTTTTTGATTTCTTCTTCTTCAGATTTATTGTTTGTGTATAGGAAGGCTACTGACTTTTGCGTGTTGATTTTGTATCCTGCCACTTTACTGAACTGACTGATGAGTTGAATTAGTTTTTCTGTGGAGATTTTGGGGTTCTCTATGGATATTATCATATCATCTGCAAATAGTGATAGTTTGACTTCTTCTTTTCCTATTTGGATTCCTTGGATGTCTTTCTCTTGTCTTATTGCTCTGGCTAGGACTTCCAGTATTATATTGAAAAGCAGTGGTGAGAGTGGACATCCTTGTCTTGTTCCAGATCTTAATGGAATTGCTTTCAGCTTTTCACCATTGAGAATGATACTGGCTGTTGGCTTGTCATAGATGGCCTTTATGATGTTGAGGTATGTTCCTTGTATCCCAAGAATTTCAAGGGCTTTTATCATGAATGGGTGTTGCACTTTGTCGAAAGCTTTCTCAGCATCTATTGATATTATCATATGGTTTTTATATTTCTTTTTGTTGATGTGTTGGATAACGTTGATTGATTTTCGGATGTTAAACCATCCTTGTGCCCCTGGAATGAATCCAACTTGGTTGTGGTGAATTATCTTATGGATACATTGTTGGCTTCTGATAGCTAAAATTTTATTGAGGATTTTTGCATCAGTGTTCATTAGGGAGATTGGCCTGTAGTTTTCCTTTTTTGTGTTGTCCTTGTTCGGTTTTGGTATTAGTGTAATATTGGCTTCATAGAACGTGTTTGGTATTGTCCCTTCCTTCTCAATTTTTTGGAAGAGTTTGTGAAGGATAGGCACTAATTCGTCTCTGAATGTTTGGTAGAATTCATTTGTAAATCCATCAGGTCCTGGGCTTTTGTTTTTGGGGAGGTTTTTGATTACCATTTCAATTTCGCTGCTTGTAATTGGTCTGTTTAGGTGTTCTATTTCTTCTTTATCTAGCTTTGGGTGATTGTAGAGTTGTAGGAATTTGTCCATCTCCTCTAGATTGTTGAACTTGTTTCCATATAACTGTTCATAGTAGTTACTGATTATTCTTTTGATTTCTGCTGTGTCCGTTGTGATTTCTCCTCTTTCATTTATGATCCTGTGTATTTGTGCTTTCTCCCTTTTTTCCTTTGTGAGCCTGGCTAGGGGTTTGTCTATTTTATTTATTTTTTCAAAGAACCCGCTCTTGGTTTCATTGATCTTTTGGATTGTTTTTTTAGTTTCAATTTCATTTATTTCTGCTTTGGTTTTTATTATTTCTTTTCTTCTACTGGATTTGGGGTTTTTTTGTTGTTCTTTTTCTAGATCTTTGAGCTTCGAGATTAGGTTGTTTCTTTGAGTTCTTTCTTGTTTTTTGATGTGAGCTTCTATTGCTATATATTTTCCTCTTATTACTGCTTTTGCTGCATCCCATACATTTAGGATATTGGTGTCCTCCTTGTCATTCAATTCAAAGAATTTTTTAATTTCTTCTTTGATCTCCTCGTTAGTCCAGTGGTCTTCCAGTAGTGTGGCTTTTAATCTCCATGAGGTAGGATAGTTCCTTGCCTTCTTTTTATGATTTATTTCTAGTTTGATGCCTTCGTGGTCAGAAAAGATGGTTGGTATGATTTCAATCTTGGTGTATCTGTTGATGTTTGTCTTGTGCCCCAGTATGTGATCGATCCTGGAGAATGATCCGTGTGCGCTTGAGAAAAATGTGTACTCCGTTTTTTTTGGGTTTAGTGTTCTATAGATGTCTGTTAAGCCCAAATGCTCTAGGTCCTTATTTAGAGCTTTAGTTTCTTTACTTATTTTTTGTCTTGTTGATCTATCCATTGTTGATAGTGGTGTGTTGAAATCTCCCACTACGTATGTGTTTTCTCTGATGTCTGTTTTCAGAGAGGACAACAGTTGTCTGATATATTTTGGTGCTCTTTCGTTTGGTGAGTATATGTTAATGAGTGTTATTTCTTCTTGAAGTATTGTCCCCTTAATCATAATGTAGTGACCATTGGGGTCTCTTTTTATTTTTTTGAGTTTGAAGTCTGTTTTATCTGATATAAGTATAGCTGTTCCTGCTTTCTTTTTTGGCCCATTTGCTTGTAGGATTGTTTTCCATCCTTTGACTTTGAGCCTATTTTTATCTTTTGTAGCTAAATGTGTTTCCTGGAGACAGCAAAAGGTTGGGTTTTGTTTCTTAATTCAGCCTGCAACTCTGTGTCTTTTTATTGAAGAGTTTAGTCCATTTACATTTAGAGTTAATATTGATATGTTAGCATCTGTATTTGCCATTATGTTTGTCTTTCCTTTGATTTTATTTATTCTTTTAATAACTTTTTTTTTTTTTTGGTCTTCTTTCGTTGTTATTCGTCCCTCTGAGGTTCTGGCTTTAGGATTCCTTGTAGTATTTTTTGGAGTGGGGGTTTATTCGTAATGAAATTCCGGAGTTTCTCTTTGTCTGGGAAGGTCCATATTCTTTCTTCATGGAGGAAAGAGAGCTTTGCGGGATAGAGTATTCTTGGTTGGCATCTGTTTTCTTGGAGTCTGTTGACTATGTCCCTCCACTCTCTCCTTGCCCGTAGTGTTTCTTCAGAGAAGTCTGATGTCAGCCTGATTGGTTTTCCTTTGAATGTTATCTGTTTCTTTCCTCTTGTCAGCTTCATTATTTTTTCCTTGTCCTGGATTCTTGGGAGCTTTACTATTATGTGTCTTGCTGTGTTTTTCCTTTCGTCGTGGAAGTTTGGTGTTCTTCTTGCTTCTTGTATATCAATTTTCAGCTCCTTCTTCGCATTTGGGAAGTTCTCTTCAATTATCTCCTGGAATATTTTCTCTGTTCCTACATCTCTCTCCTCTCCTTCTGGAATTTCTCCTAAAGTTTTTGTTAAATACAGTGACTCTGGGCATTTTGGCAGCACAGGTTTCTTATTATAATTTTTGTTTAAAAGTTAAAAACATAAAACTAAAACCAATGAAGATAGTTTATTTGAATAGTCATTTAAAATGGCCATTTGTGGGCCATCCTTCCAAAAGCAATATACAGATTCAATGCTATTCCAATCAAAATTTCAATGTCATTCTTCAAAGAAATAGAACAATTATTGATGAAATTCATATGGAATCACAAAAAACCCCGAATAGCCAAAGCTCTCCTGAAAAAAAAAGAAGGGAATGGAGGCATCACACTCCCAGACTTCAAACTCTACTACAAAGCCATAATCATCAAAACTGCATGGTATTGGAACAAGAACAGACATACAGACCAATGGAATCGAATAGAAAATCCAGAAATAAACCCACAGATTTATGGTCAACTAATCTTTGACAAAGGAGCAAAGACTATGCATTGGAGCAAAGAAAGTTTGTTCAATAAATGGTGCTGGGAAAACTGGGTCGCTACATGCAAAAGAATGAAGCTTGACCACTACCTCACACCATACACAAAAATCAACTCAAAATGGATTAAAGAACTAGACATAAGACCTGAAACCATAAAATACATAGAAGGAAATATAGGCGAAACACTACGGGATTTGCACATCAAAGACATCTTTACAGACACATCACCCAAAGCAGTGATAGTGAAGACAAAGATAAACAGCTGGGACTACATCAAATTAAAGAGCTTCTGCACAGCAAAAGAGACAATAACAAAAACAAAGAGAAACCCCACCAACTGGGAGAACATTTTTGCACCCAACACTAATGATAAAGGACTGATCACAAAAATCTGCAAAGAGCTGATGAGACTCAACAACAACAAAGAAAATAATCCAGTCAAAAAATGGGCAGAAGAGCGAAAAAGAAACTGCTCTGAAGAGGAAATGAAAATGGCCAACAGGCATATGAAAAAATGTTCAACATCACTTGTCATCAGGGAAATGCAAATCAAAACTACCATGAGATACCATCTTACACCAGTGAGAATGGCACATATTAAAAAAACTAGCAACAACAAATGTTGGCGAGGTTGTGGAGAAAAAGGAACTCTTCTGCACTGTTGGTGGGAGTGCAAACTGGTCCAACCACTGTGGAGAGCTGTGTGGAGATTTCTGGACCTACTAAACATAGAGCTTCCATATGATCCAGCAATTCCACTCCTAGGTATTTACCCAAAGGACACAGAAACATCAATTCCAAAGAACACCTGCACCCCTATGTTTATAGCAGCACTGTTTACAATAGCTAAGCTTTGGAAACAACCCAAATGCCCAAAAATAGATGACTGTATCAAGAAGATGTGGTACATATATACCATGGAATATTACTCAGCATTCAAAAAAGATAAACACATGCAATTTGCAGCAACATGAATGGCACTGGAAGGGATCATGCTCAGCGAAATAAGCCAAAAAGAAAAAGAAAAATACCGGATGGTCTCACTCATAGCAGGAATCTAGAAAACTTAAATAAGAGACCAGGAAAACGAATAACTATAAGAAAGTGAAAATCAAAATCAACAAAAAACTATGAACCAGAGACACTTTTAGGGGGCGGGGGTGGGAGGGGAGGGATTGGGGTCAGAATGGGGGGCTGCAATTGTATGGGAATATAAAAATAAAATTTATTATTAAAAAAAATAAAAAATAAATAAAATACCACATAAAAGTCCAAAAAAAAAAAAATAAAGAAAAAGGAGGCATGTCTGTCTTTATAATTTTATACTGACATGTAGGAAGCTGAGTCGAAACAAACAAAATAAAAGCATAATTTTAAAACCCTAAAAAAAAAAATAAGTAAATAAAATGGCCATTTGTGGCCTCCCCGATGGCGCAGCGGTTGAGCGCTGGGTTGTGAAGCTGCCCGCAACCTCTGCAGCGCCGGTTCGATCCCCGGCTGCTCCCCGGCCACCAGAGGAGGGTCCCGCATGGCGCTCAGACCTCTCCTGCTGCCCGCTGCTCCCCTCAGCAGTGTACTTTGGTCCTTCTGCCTGCTCTGCTCCCCGCTCTGGCTCTGGTGAATTCTCTCACCCTCCTGCGCTTCTGACTGTACCCAGTGCTTCAATCAATCAATCAATAAATAAATAAATATTTTTAAAAATCAATAAATAAATAAAATGGCCATTTGTGGGGCCTCCCTGGTGGCGCAAGGGGTTAAGACGCAGCCTATGAAGCTAGCCACAGTCACTGCAGCATGAATTCAATCCCCTGCCAGGGAGGTGACACACATGGTGCAGCAGACCTCTCCCGACTCGCCCGCTGCTCCCCTCAGCAGTGTATTTCAGTCAGTCTGCCTGTTCTGCTCCCCACTCTGTCTCTGGTGAATTTTCTCACCCCCCACCTCTGGCCTGTACCCCAGTTTTGTATGCATAAATAAATAAATCTTTAAAAAATAAAAATAAAAAAAATGGCCATTTGTTCAGTGAGCACTCTCAGGAGAAGATTAACAACACATATAAATGTTTAGGAAACACAAATGTAGAGTCATTCCTATGTGCAAAGAAGTAGACAAATACTTTTCAGCCTGTCCTGGAATATGATATTCCTACCATTAGAGTTTTCTCTTGGTTAAGCAAAGTGTTTAAGAATTCCCTGTTAATATATAAATATGTTACCTGGGTCACATAACATAATTATCATCAACACAGCACCATAGTTAGATTAGTAATGTTATAAGACTCAATACATAGAGTTAGAAAAAAGCATGGGCCTTCAAGGATGATAGATGTAGCATGTGGTTTTTGACTTGCAAGCGGGGTAATCTCTCTTGGCCATTCTGGTCTCCTCATCTTTAAAAATAAGAAAGCTAAGAACATCATGTTTCTCACAGAGTTCTCGGGATCAACTGCAAAAACACATGTAAAGTTTGTAACCTTGTTATCAGGCACATATTATGTGCTAAGTAAATGTAGTTAATGTAGAAATCAGACAGCAGAGCTCAAAAAAACCGGTATTTTGGACAGGTAAGTTTTCATGAGGAGGAAGGAAAAAAATTAAACTTTTGCAAAAAGAGAACAGATGTTAAGTTAGGTATAGGAATTTGAAGGATGGTCACAGTGATTGGTGGGGGGTGGCATTGAAATCTTAACAACTAGGGCAGTGTAAGGCTAATAACCACAGGGAAGAGTTCAGAAGGACCACTTGCGATGTAAAGAGTTAACATAGCAATCCTGAGCCTGCTGTCTTTAGAAAATTCTGCCTGTAAGGGTGGCTATCATATGGGAACTTGATTTTCAGAATGTTCCCTCCATTACTAACTGATAAGACTAGTTCACTGTTCTAGACTATTTGTTGCAAAATTTGGAGGGATTTAGAAAATAGGCATAGTTTGAATTGAGTTATATGCTTTTCTTAAATAGATACACGTATAGCTTTAAGGAATTATGGTCAGTGTCTGATCTTGTGATTTAACATTTGAGAGATTGGACAAGCAGTTCTAGGTAATGATGAAAATGAAGATAATTGTCCCTGGTATAAATGACTTTAGAAAGGAAGTGGAGGCTTTTGGCCTTGAGGTCAAAGGTGCTTTAAGGCTAGATTTATCTTTATTGTTGCTGAATGGTAATGAAATAGGGTTTAGGGAGGATTCTGATCTAAGTGCCCAGATCCTCAGAGAATGTGAAAGAGTGATCAGAAAGTAACAGATGATGGTGTTGGGAGGGTGCCATCGTTGAATCCTAGGACTGAGCCTCAAAGGATGGACTAGGTTTTGACTGAAGACATCACTAAAGCACCCGACTATAGCAGCAGAAAGCTAGGAGACTGTTACTCTGTTTCCTCGTCCTAGGGTGTAGGGAGCTTGGGAGGAGCTTGGGAGGAGATGATTGTAAGGAAACAGTATTTTAAAGGAAACCAAATTTTAGTTAAAACAAAGAAGCAAAACTTGACACAGGTCTTTAGGTGCTGGCAAAGCGCAAGGTGCCATCTACAGTTGCCTCCCAACGACTGAAAGGGAAATGAGGAAAGAGCTACGGCTCTAAGAAGCTATGCTTACTGTTTGCAGCTAGTTCATGTTGGTAATAACAACAATAATTGTTTTACTTCTATATGACTTTTGTTAAACCCATAGTATATGTGTAATATTATTCTTTTTTTTCTATATTATATTTAATCTCCACATCAATGTTGTGAGGTAGATTTCATTATCATCTCATATTAGATGTAAGACTATTGGATTTTATAGAGGGATTAAGTAGTAATGGCTTGCTGCAGGTCACAGATCTTGGAGGCAAGATTTGAATACAGGTCTATCAGACTTGATCCTGCCTCCTCTGAACATACTGGGAATAAAGCAATATTCCAGATACTGGGTTATATTTCAGTTTCGGTAGAATTGAGAAGGACAGGGAATGAGTCCTTGTGATACCTCTGTTTTATATTTTATATTTCTCTTGATTCTAAAATTCACCTCAATGAGGATGAGTTAATTTTTTCTACCATTAGTGCTTAACGGAAAAATAACTACTTGGTACAATTGCAGTGAAAATTTCAGCTATATAAATTTTTTTTTGTTGTTGTGCCAATTTCACATTAGCATTCATGAAACATGATAGACTAAGAACCCTTTGCATATTGTGCTGCTGGGCATAGAATCTCCTGAGGGCTGGGTTCTTTGCTGAGGTTTCTTATTCCTCCACGCAGGTTATGATAATAAACTATGAGCTGCCACTGACAGATGTCTTTAGTAATGGCTACTGTTGTTTTTTAAATCAGAGGTTAGTTCAATTACCAAATAACATTTTTTTTTCTATTTCTAGAATTAAAGGAGGTTGTCTCAGCTCTTGATTTGCTTGAAGGTGACATGATAGCTGGGAGGAACTTGGAAGATTTTCTAAGAAATATTGGGATTAAGTCACCTTCAGAAGAGGCAGAGAAAATTCTTCAATCAGATTTTGTTTCTGGTAAACATTTAAATATTACTCTCTGGGTTATTTGTTTGCTTTTGCTTTGTTTTGTTTTTAGTAGGTAAATGTGCAAGGTCTTTATTCAAGCAAATGGGATTCCTTTGTGGAGCAAATATCTATAGGTATTTGCTTATGTTGTTGTAAACATAATCTTCCATATAAGTCTTTAAATTTTTCTTAGGCAGTTATGAAGATACCTTCAGCAAGCAGGTTGAAATTTTGAGGGGGTCGGGTTGTTGGAATCTCTTTCCTCAGATATATTTTGATTCAAGGACTGAGGAATAATTTGGGAATTCAGGTCCTGTGAATAGAAACTCTAACTTTGCTGCTTTAGCAGAGTGAAGTTATTGGTCTTTATACATATCTTAGTGTATTGGTTCCCTTACAGATAGAATCAGAACTAGTATATAATCTTGTAGGGTTATTGTATAATGGATAAAAATGAGCTCAAGGAGACTTATAAATAAAGTGTTCAAGAAATATTTAAAAGTTGTATGCTATGGATGGCGCTGGAAGGGATCATGCTCAGCGAAATAAGCCAGAAAGAAAAAGAAAAATACCAGATGGTCTCACTCATACCAGGAATCTAGAAAACTTAAATAAGGACCAGGAAAATGAATAACTATAAGAAAGTGAAAATCAAAATCAACAAAAAACTATGAACCAGAGACACTCAATGGGGGATGGGGGGCGGGGAGGGGAGGGATTGGGGTCAAAATAAGGGGGTTGCAATTGAATGGGGAATATAAAAATAAAATTTATTTAAAAAAAATAGAAGTTGTATGCTGATTTTGATTTTGATACTAGCTTTTAAATATTACCTTGTCCAGGAATTCTTGTCTGTCAACTTTCTCTTTTTCTTCCAGAAGATGGCATGATTAATGTTAAAGACTGTGTAAAGGCTTTGACAGACACCCAGACATTTTCCAATTTTATTGGTAAGAGTTTATGGTAAAACTGTTGAAAGTCCACAATGCAGGATTTGTTCAAATGTTATCTAGTCAAACCCTAACTTTGGTGTTTGAATCTTCTTTGCCATCTGTCCCAAGTGTTTGTTTCATCTGTATTTCAATACTCCCAGTTATGGTGAGCTTTACTATATTGTTTATTTTTTTCTTTTAAGCATTGTGCGTTTGTGATTAAAAAGATTGGGAAAAATCACAAGGTTGAGCTCTTTTCCTATTATTAAAATGCCTTTATTATTTACTAATAGTAATTTTTGTGAAAAATTTATTGCCCAGAAATATAAGAAATACAAAGCACATCTCTCTCTCTCTGTATATACCCCCTTAGTGTTTGATAAATATACTTTTAAGCTTTTAAACAATTATGTCTCTGAATATATATTTAGTCTGAAATTCTTTAAAAATAAGACTGCTATGTCCATAATATCCTACAATTGCCTTAAAAAATTTGGCTAATTGCTCTGCTCCCTGCTCTGGCTCTGGTGAATTCTTTCACCCTCCCGCACTTCTGACTGTACCCAGTGCATGTATAAACAAAAAACAATCAAATAAATAAATAAATAAAACATGCCTCTATTAAAAAAAAATTGGCTATTGTTTCCATTCCATTATATCATATAAGCTACCTCATTTTTTTAAAGACTGCATAATATTCCATTATAGGGATGGATTATAATTTTACCCACCACCCTTTTAATGAATATTTAGATTATTTCCAATCTTTCACTATTACAAACACTTTGATAAACATGCGTGTATTATACATCTACATCTTTGTGCACATGTATACAAAGTTTTCCTGTAGGATAAATTCCATGGAAGTCAAACTGCTAGCCTAAAATATATGCATTTATAAGGTACTAACAGCTACTACCTAATTATTCTTCTAAAGGGTTGTAAGAATTCATACTTTGATAGCTGGTGATGTATATTGAATATTCTGATGGTGAAAATATTTTTATTGTTTTAAATGTTTTTATTTAATTACTAGTGAGTTAACATTTTTCATGTTGTGAATGTGCTTTGGTCATGATTTAATTAGGTTGTGTCTTTTTCATATGAATTTGTAGATAGTGTTTTATATAATAAGGGTGTTAATATTTTATCTATTGCAGGATTTTTCTAGTTTATTATTCATCTTTGACTTTGTTTTTGATAGATTTGGGTTTTTTTTTTAACATCTTCTGTCTTATTTTGTCAGTTTTGGTAACTTTTATTCTCCTAAGAAATTATTTAGGTGTTTTATTAGAATATTAGTACAGTCCTATGTACTGATAATTTTGATTTTTTTTTTGTATCTGGTTATTTTCTCTTTCTTGAATATATGTACCTATATCTATATCCCTTTTCTTTATTTGCTAGCAAGCATTTATTTCTCTTTTTGAATCGCTAATTCTTACATTAACCTTTAGTGTTTGTTTACAATTAAAAAATTAACTTCTGCTTTTATCTTCATAAAATGCCCTTTTATTCCTTATGGCCATTTTGGTAGGTTTTCTAAATTATTTGAATTACAAATTTACTTTATTTTTGCTGAAAATTAAATGTATTTTAAAGCCACCAGTTTTCATTTTTGTGAAACTTTAACAGTGTTGTTTGTTATTATTGTTTTTAAAATATGTCCAGTGTATTTTGATTTTCTCCTTGATATTAGAGCTCTTTAAGAGAAAGATTTAAATTTCAAAAAATTTGAATTAATTATTATCTCTCTTTATGTTTAATCTTATTGTGATCAGAGTATGAGGTCTGTAGTACAGGATTTGATAGCTTTCTAGTGCACTAGTTTCTTCAATTTTTATATATTTATTTAAAAATTAAATTAGTGGGTTTCAGGGATAGACTAATATAATGTAAATTCAATCCATTGTTGGTCTTGGCAATCCTTGTAAGTTTTTGAGGCAGTTTGTACCATAATTTTGAACAACTATGAAAGTAGACAATTATTCCACATATTTGGTGGAAATCTTGCTTAACATTTCCATCCCTGAACCATATTTTACATTTGGGCTTTTCATTAGGAAATGTGAAAACTCATATGTTTTCTTTCCTTCCCATTAAGTCATCTTTTTTCTAGGCTCAAATTTCCCTTCAATTCTTTCTCATGTGACCTGATTTTGAAACTATGTCAAGTGACCATGTCATAGAACAAAATATTCTATTAATTTATAGTTTTACTTTAGCTAATTTAAAGTAATTTATTATCCATTTCTTTTAATGACTCCTGAGGGATGCCTTTTTAAAAATAAATTATTTTAGAAATGTGAAATTTTCTTTTTTAAAACTAAAGGAGGTCAGGCATGAATTTCCTAATCTGAATATTTAATGTTAATTTGCTAATCATGATAGATTATGATTCTTCTCTAAATTGGGTGAAGCTAGCTGACAAGAGCAAAGGGTATGGGGAAGAATTGGGGTTTGAGGGGGCCTCCCCAGTGGTGCAGTGGTTGAGCGCTGGGTTGTGAAGCTGCCCGCAGCCTCTGCAGCGCTGGTTCGATCCCCGGCCACTGGGTGAGGGTCCCACATGGTGCGCAGACCTCTCCTGCCGCCTGCTGCTCCCCTCAGCAGTGTACTTTGGTCCTTCTGACTGCTCTGCTCCCTGCTCTGGCTCTGGTGAATTCTCTCATCCTCTCGCACTTCTGACTGTACCCAGTGCTTGTATAAATAAATAAATAAATCTTAAAAAAAAAATTGGGGTTTGAGAGCCATTATGAAGAATTAAGGGTAATTTACTGAAATAGTGAGTTTATTAATAGGAAAACTAGAGAAACTTTGATAAATTTTTGTTTGCAGAGGAACCATTCATAAAAAAGACATTTAACATAATTAAGGATAAAGGTAAGGGACTACAGAAAGCTAGGAGTGAAGAATAGGTTGCTCTGTTACTTAAACGACCAGCTATGGCTAATGACTGCCATTTTGGAGAGTGAAAATCTAAAAATCCATCAGTTTTGTTATTTTGTTCCAGTGCTTTAGATCCTAGGGACTGAATTTCATGTTGTATGTATATTCTCTGTGTTTGTAGCATTGAATGAGGCCATGAAGGCATTGGACTGCATTAAAGAAAGTAACCAGTCTGATAAGGACCAGTATTTAGATGTACAAAAAAACACCAGTAGAATTAATTCCATTGATCATGTTCCTCAAGAAATACTGGATGATTCCTCAATTCAGGGTGAGTTGATTAAGCAAATAGCAGAAGCTTGTAATAAAAATTCCTGTTATGTTTTTATCTAAGAGTTTCAAATTATTTTACCAATTATTAATTCCTAAATAATACCAAATCTATAGACCAGATTTACTAGACCAGATTCAGGGATATACCACAGAAACTTATTTATAACAGTATCAAATTACTGGATGATCTCCTGTGCTGGGTTGTAAAGTTGGTCTCAAAGTATTTATATATATTGTTGCATAGCCTTGAAGGTAATGTTTATTCCTAGAGTAATTTCATTTCAAAATTATCTCTTTTCCTTTTTATGAATTTTAGAAAGGTGTTAATAGTTGTCTAGCTTTTTTTTTTTTTAAGTTTTAAAGGCCCTTTGAGAAGTACAAGTTATTATTGAAAAATTAGGCTAAAATGTTTGCCTCTATAACACTCCATATATAAGATGTTGAGTTGCTGTTTGTTCTATTTACAAAGAATTTACTTCATCTATCTATATTCTCATCTGGGATGTACCCAAATGGATTTTACCCATATTTAGAAATTAATCTCCCGTCTTTAAATTTGGTTTCAGCTAAAAAGTAAAATCAGATTTGTGTCACAGAATGCAACTGGCAAAGCCCAACAGCAGTTTTGGTTGGAGAGGATAGCTGGATCTGGTGATTGGAGGCTAGTCACACTGCTAAACATCCTCCAGTGTACAGGGTAGGAATTCCAACCCCAAATAATTATCTGGCCCTAATGTTAATTATGCTGAGATTGAGAAAAGTGTCTTAGAGTTATCTTATAAAATTCCCCAACATACTAAACTGTTCTATCTATGCAAATGGAAAGATTTTATTTCTATCACTTATCTCTCAAATAAATCCCTATTAATTTGCATTTCTGGTAGGGGGTGTGTGAGATGAAAGGGTGAACTACAATTTGTCCTTAGAAAAGACTCTGTGATTAGATAGATAATACAAAGGTTGGTAAGCAGAGATAGAAAAGGACAGTTCAGACTGCCCTCATAGGGAGAAAGAAAGTATCTGTGGCATTAGAAACTTGGCCACATTTAAAACCCTGTTGGAGGATGACAAATCCATGGAGGAGTCTAAGAAGAGGCGCATGAAGAGAGAATAATATTCTGGACACCAGAGGAAGATTTTTGAGAAGGGAATGGTCATCAATGATAAATGTTATTGAGAGTTTAAGTATTTTATCTTGATTATTCATTGGTTTCCTTTCAGACTAGGTAGATCTATTACTTATGGTCTAATCTCTTTAAATTTGCAGATTTTAGGAAAAAGGCTATATCTTCAAATCTGAAATTGCCAAAAGCTGATGGTAAGAACTTTAGATATTAATGAGAAAATGTTACCTATAAAAGTTATTTTTAAGTTCCTTATAAAAGTTTTGTTCTTTATTGTTAAATACCAGTGGGATTGGTTGCTAGTCCATTCTGCCCACTCCAGTCATAGCAAGAGTTTTCCCCAAAATAGTAATTTGATCATGTTACCTCAACCTATTAATAACATTTTCCATCCTTTTTAGGATAAAGATCAAACTCCTACTTTCCCTTGTCTCACTGTCACAACTTTGTACCATTAGCCTTGCGTTTTGTACTTCAACTATATTGACTTCCTTTCAATTTTTAGGTAAACTGTATTCTTCTACCACAAGGTTGTTGCATATTCCCTAGAATATTCTTCTCTGGCCCTTTCTGTCTAATTAAAGCTAACTCATCTTTCAGAGTAGCGACTGGTTCCTCAGGGAAGCCTATCATTATCTGCTAGTCTAGGTCAGTTTCCTTTGTGATATACTCTTATTAAACCATGTCTGTCATAGCTCTTATTTCATATTATAAATATTCATTCATAGTTTTGATTATTTGATTAATGTTTCTTTCTCCCACTTGTTTAGAAGTGACCTTTGGCGAAGGACCATGTCTCCATTTGACTTTCTGTTGTTTCTCTAGATCAAGCACAATCCTGATTCTAGCAGCCTCTCAGTAATAGCTGATAAGACTTACATAGTATTTATTGTTCCAAATCTCTTTTGTTGTTAACTCACATAATGGTAAATAGGCAGTTAATGAATGAATGAATCTTTTATTTCTTTAGACTTATTTCTTAATGCTCCTACATTTGTATTTATTCTGTAGCCATACTATTTGATATGTTTTAATTCTATTTGCTTCTGGTTCTATGTCTTTGCATGTGTTGTTGATTTGTGAATATTTCCTCACCAAACTCAGCACATACATCACTTACCTCCCCAAAACACTTACCAGAGTGTTCATTCGCTAAAGCAGTACTTCTATGATATCTTGTGACATTTTTCTGATAGTACAACTATATAATATATTGTCATTTTGTTTATAGACATTATAGATTCAGTCCCATCCTCAAGGAATTTCCAAGACACTCTTTGATAAGAGAATTTTTATTTCATATCTTAATATGTATAAAATAAATGTTAGTAGAATGGATGTAGGACTAGTATCATAAAATGATACTTTTTTCCCCCCAAGTATCCTCCATGAAAATTTAGGCCTGAGGGTGTAATGCAACAATTTTTGGACTATGGAAATATACAAAAATTTTATTTTGAGGGAGAAATGAAGTGTGAAATGGTATTGATGAAAAATTGAACACCTAATAATGATTATGTTTTATATTTTAAATTGATCTGATATCAACAGGGCTGCCCCATTTGGTTGTATGGATTATGCCTTGCACACAGTGGAGGTTGAAAAGCGGTTCATATTCCAATGTGTGCTCTGAGCCCTGAGCCCTAGAAGTAGATTGCAGGTGTGCTATTTTAAAGTTAATACGTAGAAAGGGGATGTCTTTTTCTGATTCACACAAAAACACAGTGTGAACTTGGCCCTGGGATCAAAATCTTCAGTCCCAAAATTTAGTTTTCATTTGTCTCATCAGTTGATAGAAATCTTTAGATCTGCTAGGCGTAACTTAACTAAGAAAGGCTTACAGCTCATTCAGTATTTATATACGAACAGATTCAGATAACCCGCCACATTGTCTTTGCCACAAATTTTTTGTTTTCAAATGCTACTTGAATTAAGTGGGTTGTTGGTTATAAATAGAAAATGTTTGACTTTTTTTGCTGCAGAGATTTGGTTAAAATAAATATTTGAGAGTTTACAGTGGACTTTGGACAAATATTTTTGCATTTTTTAAAACAATAATATTTTGTATATATTTATCTTTGCAGATTTTAGGGAAGCTGCTTGTATCTTGTCACATGTTGATAATGGCAAAATTGGCATACCTAATTTGGAGCATGCCCTGAAAACTTTGAATGTTAATTTAGCTGAAGAGGACTTCAGGGAAGCCCTTAAATATTGTGACATCAATGGTGAGCATCTTTTTCACTGGAGATTCCTTTCCTTTCCCCCTATGTGGGGGAAGCAGTCTTAGAGATTATATATGAGGGTAAGATGCTAAAGGAAGTCATACTAGATACTTGGGTTGATACAAATTAACGTCAAAGCACTTTACTAATGTAAATATTTATTGGTGTGGCTATTGTAAATAACATTGCAATGATTATGGGCATGCATATAGCCTTTCAAATCTTTCAAAGCCAAACTAATAACAAATCCTAGAAATCTCACTGCAGAACTGAGGCTATCAGAGTAGGAGTGGGAGGAGAGAGATCTAAGTAAGGAAGAGCACAATGGACTACTGTGGAGGACTGTAGGTGTTTTTGATGGTGGAGGTAAGATGGTAACAACATGTAAAGGGGGAAATCCTGTACCTCTAAATCACAAGCAACACTGTAAACCCCATGTTATCTCAATTAAAAAAATATTTATCGGTCATATTTAATTATCCATTCTCATCTGCATACTGTATATGCTTAGATAATTGCCATTCATTACTTAAAGCATGGATGGAAAAGTATCAAACATCATATAATAAAACAAAGACATGATATTAACAGTTTCAATTTGATATGTAATCTTCCTTCCAAAGAGATTCAACTTCCTTTTATAGTACATGTCCCACTTTGTTTTTCAACTCAAGGAAATACCTGAAGGTCCACTATATTTTAAAAGAACAGTTATGTAATTTTGGGCTTTGCCTCCAAGTGGCCATATTTACTTTTGTTTTCCATCTTGGACTCAAGTTAATATGTATTTGATTTTCTATCCTAGACACATTCACTCTTAAAAAAATCAATTCATGTGGGAATACAGTTGCTGAGTTTCATTGGTTTTAGGTGACCTTTTATTTTGCACTTATCCTATTAACCAGTTTTTTCTTTCCATGGAAATCCATGAGTTCTAGGTTTGAAAATGTCTCTTCAGCAGTTTGGTTCTTACTTTTGCCAGGCACTCCAGATTATTATTGACCTGGATCAATTTTTATGTTTTTTTAAATATGTATTTTACATCATCATTCTTCCTTTATGTGCAATGCATGCTTTTTCTTCTCTGGTGTAGTTCCTGTAAAATTCCCACCACCAATTCACCTGAATTTTTGTGTTTTGAATTGGGGTTCTCATAGTGGAATTATAAATATAGGATCCAAACCAATAAGAGATGATTTGTGATCTTGACAAATTACATAATCTCTCTTTGCTTTCATATTTTAGAAATAGGCATAGTAAGGATACGTGCATCATAGAATTATTGTCAAAATGACATGAGGTAATAAATGTAAAAGCACCATAAAATGATGCTTAGTAGGTACAAGGAAACCAAAAGTTACTTAAGTTCTTACTTTTGAATAAGAACTCAAATAATGTTAGTTATTGGTATTATTAACCTCTCAATGGGTGTGAAAAGTATGAAAGGTTTTATTGAAATAGTTTCAATTATTTGAGATGGAAATAAAGTAGAATGGAATTCTAGGTAACTGTTGTCAATCAGAGACTTTGTTTCAATATCAGGTGTTTAACATTAGTGTGTTTAATTTTGACCTTCCAGATAATAATGAGGTGGATTTAAAAGATTTCTTAAGTGGAATTAAGGAAAATCCACAAATCAAAGATTCCCAAGGTAAGTGAATACTTCAAAGGACAGTGACTGAAAAATAAAGACGAAAAATTATATATAAAAATCAATATATGGATTTAAAGTTTTTAATTTGTAGTCTATGGTTTTTTTTTTTAAGATTTATTTATTTATACAAGAACCGGGGTACAGGTCAGTTGTGTGGGAGGGTGAGAGGATTCACCAGAGACAGAGTGCGGAACAGAACAGGCAGACGGGCTGAAATACACTGTTGAGGGTAGCAGCGGGTGAGAACAGGAGAGGTCTGCTTTGCCATGTGGGTTTCTCTCTGGCCGGCCTGGATTGAACTCGTGCTGTAGAGGCTGCAGATTGCTTCATACTGTGGTGCTTAACCCTTTGCACCACCAGGGAGACCTTGAGTACAAGCTTTTGTGTGAATATATCTTTTATTTCTCTTTGGTATATACCTACTAATGGAATTGCTAGTCCATATAGTAACTTCATGTTTAACTTTTTTGAGGAATGATGAAGTGTTTCCAAAGCAGTTGCATCATTTTACCTTCCCACCAATAATGTATGACTTTTCTACATCCTTGCCAACACTTGCTATGGCTTGTCTTTTTTATTATAGCCATTATTAGTTAATGGATATAAATTATCTCATGTGGTTTTGATTTTCATTTCCCTAATGATTAGTGATATTGAGCATCTTTTCCTGTGCTTACTGGCTGTTTGTATATCTTCCGCAAATATATGTATGCTATGTTTATTTTAAAATTGCGTTATTTGCCAAGTTGTAATATATAAAGTCCTTTATATGTTCTGAATATTTCTTCCTTGTTAGATTCATGATTTGCAAACATTTTCTCCCATTTATGAGTTGTGTTTTTTCTTTCTTGATGACATTCTTTGAAACATGGAATTTTTTTAACTGGGTGAAGTCCAATTTATATTTTCTTTTGTCATTTCTTTTGTTGCCTTATCATGAAGATTTACACTAATGTTTTCTTCTAAAGGTTTAATAGTTTTATCTTTTTCATTTCAATCTTTGATACATTTTGAATTAATTTTTGCATTTGGTGTGAAATAGTTTGCTTTAAATTCTTTTGTATATGGATATCTATTTTCCCAGCATCATTTATTGGAAAGATTATTTTTTCCCCACTGAATGGCCATGTCAAAAATCAATTGTTCATAAATACATGGGTACTTCTGGATTCTCAATTCCATTTCACTGATCTTTATCTTATCCTCTATACCACATGGTAGTTTGAGTGCATCTATGTTAAAAAACCCATCCTATACCAGGGGGGTTAGGAGATGTGCTGTACCTTTCTAGTGAATAATCTAAACAGTAACTTTACCAAAGCAGGTAATCAGTATTATTTATAAGTCTTGATCTCCTTGCAACTTTCACTATGTAACTTGTATCATACCAACTTTCCTGCTAAGTATAACTATAAAATCTGAACTAAATTAAGCAGCACCAACAACCACAACAACTGTTTTAAGATGCTGGAAAGTAACAAAGGCTGTCAGAATTTGTGAGATAAATACACAAATACAAATAGCATGGAGTTCTTTTTGGGGGGATCTATTTTGTCTCTGTGAAGTAACTTTATGCTAAATAATGCAATATAGTTTTGATGTAAAGCTTATTTGTAATGCTTCACAATTATTTATGTGAAGTGTTATATAGCCATGGGCACAGAGGTCTACCACTTACATATAACTACTTGAAAGGCACAGTAGTTTAGAGCATGGGATTTGGAACTATAGTGGCTGAACTTGAATCCTGTCCCTACCATTTATTATCTATATATTCTTCAGTAAATGACTTAGTTTCACTAATTGCAATTTTTCATCTGAAAAATAGTCATATAATTGCCTGCTTTGGATTATAAGACTTAGATAGGTAAAGAAAAAGTATTTAAACAGTATCCAGCACCTAGTAAATGCTCAATAACTGTTAGATATTACAATACACAATGTTTTTTGAAACTATACCAATAGTTCATGTAAAAAGTCTTTAATTCAGTGTAACACTGTTTATCTTTTTTGATTGCTGAGTAATATTCCTTGGTGTATATGTACCACATTTTCTTGATCCAGTCGTCTATTTTTGGGCATTTGGGTTGTTTCCAAAGCTTAGCTATTGTAAATAGTGCTGTTATAAATATAGGTGTTGTTTGCTCTTTTCAGCTACACAGCTACTATTATCTACTACGCAAGTTTTCCAGAATGATCTAATTGATATTCCTGCCCTCAAGACATTATTGATGAACAGTGACCTCCATGCAGCTAATACTTTACTTAATGAAGTATTAAGACATGTACCTGAACATGGTTAGTAGTTTGAATGCATCTATAACACATCCTCCATCAGAGAGGGTGGGACATAGTTACCACTGGTGGGCTCACCCTGAGGTCCATGGAACCAAGCAAAGGGGAAAGTCAGGTCCTATCCTGTTGCTTTGGAAATCCAGTGGTGGTTCCTGGGAAGTGACGTTATTTTGTGAATACCTTCCATGTAGTGGAATGAATTCCTGGAGATGCTGTTGCCAAGTGGAAATTATAGTATACTGATATCCAGGGATACCTCAGTGGGGTTGTACATAGTGTTGACTCGGAGAAGCAGGTAAATGTAAAAATGATTTATAAATGTAAAATCATTTATAAATGATTTATAAATGTAAAAATGATTTCATTATTTTAATGACTATTTAACTTGCTGCATTTTAAAATAAATTGGAGGTATTCTTTATTTTTCCATTCTCTAGAAGAGACTTTTTCTTCCTCTAGTGTTTAGTATAGCTCACAGGTGAACCAATATGGTCTTAGAGTTTTATTTATGGGAGAGTTTTGTATTATTGACTTAATTTCCTAAATTGCATGTGATTTCAAAGAAAATATTCTACTTTTTGTTAATTTTTGAAAGTGGTGTTTTGTAGGAATTTGTCCATTTCATCTGACACTTCAGATTTTTTGGATAGTTGTCCTTGATAGTTGTTCTTTTCTTTTTGATGTGTTCCTCATTTGTAATGACATCCTCATTTTCAATCTTCATATTAGTGGCTTGTGATCTTAAAAAGATGTTTAAAAAAACCCCAAAACTCAGCTCCACAGAATTTTTCTTTAAAAAATTGAGATATACGTTTCATGTCAATACCACGATGTGAGGCGTGGATGCTGAGACCTACCTATTGCATTCCTGATCCTACTTCTCTACCCACTTCTATCGGTTGGGTGACCCCAGTTCTCCATAAGGAGGCAGGTGGGTGTGGTGTTGAAAGTCATTCTCCTTCATCCCCTAGAGTAGGGATTCGCTTTAGTCTTTTAACAGGAAAGTGAGGTTGGGGATTTTTGTTTTTAATTTTGAGTAGGAGGTTGACTCTAGAGCCCCCCCAAAGCAAGCAGGTTTAACTTAATGCTGCTCTTGTGCTTGAAGGCAGACAAAAAGTCCCACATGGCAGTATTTCCATCAACTCTCAGTAGAAGACACCAGTTATTTTTTAAATTGCAATGGTTTTCTTGGTTGGTTCCGTTTTCTTCAGGTAGAGCTCCCAGCATATCTCGTTTTTAGATCTGGAACAGATATAGAATCCAAGAGCAATGCAAAAAACAATTACTGTTTTTTTGCTGTGCCTCAGAGCTGCAAGATAATCAGCTAAATGGACTTTGAGCAGCTATTCCATAGAGGCTGCTGTAGAAACAGCCACCACAGTATAACAAGTGTAAATAGTGAAGAGAAACTTCTAGGTTTACAGGTGTTATAGATTTTCAAACTGATGAAGGTAACGGTTTGTTAAATGGTCACACAGCAGTTGGAATCATTATATAATAATGAATGGAGGTAGCATTAACACTTCTTACTCACTGGATCTTTTGGATGAACCGTTTCTGGGTGTTTATATAATGATTTCCATATTATTGACTGGATACAAGAGAAGGGCAAAGAGAAGGGCAAAGTTGAATCAACAGCTAAAAGAAAGAATCAGCATGGGAAATGACAAAGATTTGTTGATTTATGGTCTGTATTGCTAGTGGTCTCGCTAATACAACTGGCATCAGGGACATTAGCTGGATGAATAGACATTGCTGCCAGTTGGCTGACTGACCTCTATTTTTGTGGTGAGAACGTTTAAGACCTAGTCCCTTAAAACTTTGAATAATACAGTATTATTTACTTGACACAGTTTTAGTCATATCCTTTCTACTTTGCATATCTTTACCTGTGTCTATTTTTTGAGGTGACTTTGTGTTTCTCTTTTCTGATTTTTGTCAACTTTCATTTCAAATCTTCCTTTGTCCATTGCTGTTCTGATTTGTTGGAAGAGTTGAAGGTATTGGGTGACTTAGACAGTTTAAGAGTGCCCTCTTCTGTCTCTGCAGTAAAGAACATTTACTGGAATAAATCTCACCTTTGATGGTTATTATTCTTCTGACCTTTGATGTCATTTAGTAGGGACTGCATCTGTAGCTGTTTTTTTTTCTTCATCAGCAAACCCCTTGTGATACTGTTCTCTCTCAAGATTGCCATTTGGGTCCTTTGTTTCTCTATGCTCTTTTCTCAGAGGTTAGGGCTCTGATCCATTAGATTTCTGACCTGTTCTTATTTCCCCACTCAGGGTAGGTAGGCTTTTTTTTTTTTTTTTTTTTTTTTTAAAGGTTTATTTATTTATTTATACGAGCACTGGGTACAGTCAGAAGCGCGGGAGGGTGAGAGAATTCACCAGCGCCAGAGCGGGGAGCAGAGCAGGCAGAAGGACCAAAGTACACTGCTGAGGGGAGCAGCGGGCGGCAGGAGAGGTCTGCGCGCCATGTGGGACCCTCCTCCGGTGGCCGGGGAGCAGCTGGGGATTGAACCGACGCTGCAGAGGCTGCGGGCAGCTTCGCAACCCAGCGCTCAACCGCTGCGCCACCTGGGAGGCCCAGGGTAGGCTTTTCTTATGGGTGAACACTAAGTGTTATTATATGTCTTCTGCCTGACAAGCATCCTTCTTCATTCTTCCTTCTGTCACTTGGTTTCAAACTCTCTTGGACTTAGATTTTTATTTCCCAACTCTATCTTTTAGTTAAGCTATAGGCATGGTCTGTGGGTTATTTTATTTGATCTACCTGTTAATTTGTTTGGGTTTTTGGATAATATGTAGAAAGTAACTTTAAGTGACTACCATTATTCTAAAGCAGGGCTTTTTTAAATTGAGGAAACATTGGTTTGCAATACTGTACATGATTTAGAGGTATAGGGTCAGACCTTCAGGTGTATGATACCACACCACACCCACCACTAAGGCACTAGTAAGTCCTCCACTATGTCCCTTGGGCCCCCTGCCCACTTTGCTCCCCTTCTCTTCCTATTCCCCTCTGGTAGCCTCAATTCTATAGTCAGCTTTTTAATTTTTTTAAGATTGATTTATTTATATATACAAGAACTGGGGTACAGGCCAGAGGTGTGTGTGGGGAGGGAGGGGGTGGGGAGAGGATTCACCAGAGACGGGGTGGGGAGCAGAACAGCCAGATATACTGAAATACACTGAGGGGAGCAGCGAGCGAGTCAGGAGAGGTCTGCTGCGCCATGTGGGTTGCTCCCTGGCCAGGGATCGAACTCGTGCTGCAGAGGCTGTGGATAGTTTCATAGGTTGCATCTTAACCCCTTGCGCCACCAGGGAGGCCCCTATAGTCGGATTTCTAGAGTTTTATTATTGCTTTGGTTTCATCTGATCCTTTGTTTTATTTCTCTATATTCCACATATAAGTGACTCTGGACACCACTTTACACCTGTGAGAATGGCGCATGTCAAAAAGACTAAAGCAGTGTTTCTTAAACTTTTAAAAAATGTATCACTCCCTTAAGGAAATGCTTTAAGTATTTTGGTTTTTATCACCCTCTCAACTCAGGAATTTTAATACCAAATATACTATATATGCTTTGGTACTGTGGCCACAAACCATTGTAATATCTAAGTTTTCTTTCCTCCTCTGAGAATCAGTTTCCCTCAATAAGAATTCATGTCTTAATGGCATCTAGAACTTTTTCTTTGTTTTTTGGTTGTACTGCTAAAGTCTGTTTGCTAGTATTTTACTTAGACTTTAACACATGTGTAAGAAAAATTGGTCTATAATCTCTCCTGCCCACAATGTGTTTGTTATCTTTTTGGGTAGTTTTTGCCTAACTTGGTGCTCAGGGAAGTGACAAAATTTTCAAATTAAAAAAATTTGTTTTTACTTTTTCAATTTATTTAAGCTAAAAGAAAATAAAACTAATTCACCCATTTCTCTTCCCCCACTTTTCAACACCCACCACTCTGTTCTCTGTTTCTGTGATCTTGCCTTTTAAAAATTATTTACTTACATTTTAAATTTTACATATATGAAAGCCAATAGTGTTTATCTTCTCACTGCCTTATTGGGAGTTGCTTGTTGTTTTTTGTTTTTTAAAGAAATTCACTTCCCTTGCCACATGTGAAAATTAATGGAGGGAAGTGATATGATGATAATTGGTTTTTAAAGATGCTGTTGTAAGAGCAGAGGCATTAATTAACACAATGATAAATTATAAAAGTATTTGAAAATAAACTGAACAGAAATTGACACTCATACATATGCAGAAGGTAAGAAAGAAGGAATAGTACAAACTGATTCCCAAGCTTCTTACCTTGTTATAACTTGACTACTAGCTTCAGCTATATTAATTGATTCACAAACACTGGTTGCTTCAGTTAAATTTTGCTTTGCATTACAGAGAGTGGCAAGATTACCATTCAAGAATTTATGATTAATGTTGCCAATACATTAATTCCTAATACCACGGGTGAGTTTTATTTACGATGTATTTTCTGCCCACATCTGGAAAGACAAACAGTGGCTTTCATGCTAAAACAATATAGGATTAGAAAGTTAAAGCACAGATAACTAAGAAACAGAATGAAGACAAAGCAGAACAAGACTAGATTATATACTTTTTGTTTTAATTATGAGGTACACTGCTAAACTTAACCCAAACTCAAAATTGTGAGTAGATTTACTTTGGTACAGCTAGAAATTTACTGTTGATAGATGATCTGTTTTTCTCTGAGATTAGGAGATTAATTTTTTAACATTTGACAGTTCCTTTATTTTTCCCTTTTTATTCCACATATCAGTGAAACCATTATTTTTCTTTCTCCTGACTTATATTACTTAGAATAATACCCTCCAGGTCCACCCATATTGTGGCAAATGGAAAGATGTCATCTCTTGTTATAGCTAATTAGTATTCTATTTTGTATTTGCCATCCATTCATTATCCACTCATCTGTCAATGGGAACTTAAGTTGTTTCCAAAGCTTGGTTGAATCTTTTAATTCTTACTGATGTTTACTTGTTCTATTAATTATAAATTGCAAAGAGTTCAAATCTTCAATTCTGATTGTGGATTCATCAAGTCCTTCTTTTAGTTCTTCAGCTTTTGCTTTATTTTTCTGAAGTAATTTTTAGGTGTATACATATCTGGTATTGCTGCAGATTTTATGTATGTGAGCTTATGGAAGGTACTTTGTCTATTTCTTTCATTGTATTTATTTTTCTTGTGCTTTTGTTCCTTCCTCCCAATTTTCTGACTTATATTTATGCTCTTTGTGAAATTATTTT